ATTGTTCAGTAGGGCCGTGCATGGCCTATCACACCTGCCAGTTCCCGTCTTCAGGTTCCCTCAAAATATCTAGTTCAGTCACAGGTAAGTACACTAGAGCTGAGACCACACAGCTGAACAAATAGTAGATAACCTGGCAGAGGCCGTGTAAATATTGAGACAAATCAGATCCATTGATTAAACAGTGAACGGGTTAATGGAGGGGGTGGAGGGGAAGACATTCTATATAGGCCTTTTCTTTTGGTCGAATTCTTTTGTTGGGCAGGTAGAAATGTCAAAGGCTCAAAACTGTGAATGAGGGTGGTTAGCCTTCTGAAAAGGAGCCCTCTTGCTGCATAGTGCATGTTCCAGAAAACCAATAACATGAGGATCCTTAACCAGCAGGGCCCAAGGCTGCCAAATTCCAGGAGGAGAATTAAGTCATTGTGAGGCTCACTGCTGAGAGGCTGGCTGCCAGCCCAAAGCACTGAACCATTACTGTCGCTAGTGGGCTCCTCACCAACCCAACTACCGCCCGGATTTGGCAAATTGAGCTCTTCCTGGGATTAGCCAAGAGTGACACCTGGACTACCACCAGTGCACGCAGTTCTGAAGCCAGCCTGGCACCCAAGCAGTGCGTACTCATTAAACATGGAAGATTCTCAACGGTGGCTTGTTTTGTTTTTCCAGATTAAAGGAATTGGAGGGCAGCCTGTGGCTCCAAACATGAATTGTTTGCGGAAGGATGATTGTGTTTGTTGAACGGAATTCAAGTGAGGTTCATTTATAGCGAAGACTGCTGCCCATCTGCACAGAATGAGAGCTGCGGAGAGCTCACCCAGACAACTGCTAACGCTTTTTCTACTGCCCTAAACGTTGTTCACTGTACCTTTTGGGCACTGCAGTCTAACTTCCCCAGGAAGGTTCCCGAATCTTGGCATTAGCTTTCCAATAACCCCCTAAAATTGGTTTCATTTAAGGCTTTAGCTGCCCAGCCTCAGCCATTTTCCTGTGCTTTCCTTTGACCTGAGACCCTGAGGTGATGGCGTTTTTAAAAGCTCGTGGGTAACCTTTGATAAGGAGGTGCCACCTCCAGTGATGTGAGGTGAGCCTTCTAAGAAGGGAGGTGGACTGTGAAGCTTGTAAGTCAGAAGCCTCCTCTGCCGCCTCCAGGGTGCTTCAGGGTTCCATTCAACAAATTTACACTAAGGCACACATCTGTGTGTGAAAACAAAAGAGAACAAACTTCGGAAGTATTGCCAGTTTGAAGGAGAGTGCTTGTGCAGTTTGGGGTGTTGACTGAAGGACCTACTTAGGTTACCCAAGGGTAGCCTCTGCCCTGTAGACATTCCATGCTTGCTTGATTCACCAGAAAGCATCACATTTCCCAAAAGCAAATCCAGTAAAACCTTGTGCATAATGATCCTCAGTCTTAAGGAGCTGGAATATTTACTTTATTCCTTAAAACAATCAGTGTCTCCCCCAAACCTAAGGGACTTCAGCTTTGAAATGGCAGTATTTCCGTTCCTCGTGTCTGGGCAACCCCACCCCTGCCCCTGGTTTTGGCTAAGGCTTAACTTGCTACCTATGGAGCACTTCAGAACGGGGCCCTTTGTTTTCTCTGGGATGGTTTCTTTGCCATTTAAGATGCATTGTTTTCGGTCCTTTCATTTCTCAATAAGAGGGTTCTGGTTACCAGCTGCCCTGTGGGTTCTGGGAAATCTACAACTTTTGTGGCTCTGTTTTGCATCTCACTTTGGGCCTTTTCATATGTGCTTTACCTTCCTTTATCATTGGGGGCACTGGATGTAAAGAATTCGAGTTGGGCTTCCACAGAGTTGGGAACCATTGTACCCATCATCCTTGAAAGTTATAGGCCAGGAAACAGCAGTGGAAAATTAAGCATATTTTTCAGTCAGGAAGCCAGCAGGCAGGAGAACTGAACGGGTATGTGGGCGGGGGACCCCAGACCTCTTCATCTCCAAAGCAGTGGTCATTTCACCACATGGGGTGTCTCCCATTTCATGCTGAAGTCTCCATTTATCTGCATGGAATTCAGCCATCTTCATGCCTTGTATGTTGACTACTGAGACACACTGTACAGGGCATTTCATGAATGAATTCACATTTTAAAAGGGCACTTACTATGTAGAGTTGCCAGGCACTGGGGTCACAAAGATGAATAAGGCAAGTCCTTGGAAGCAAGGCACTCACAAGTCCTTTGGTATGACGGGCCTTCATGGTGGCTTTTTTAAATGTCCACAAATCTTCACAAAGATTTGGATGACAGTAGTAGCTTCCCTCTATAAAAAGCTTCTGCCCCTGCTAGCTTCCCACTCACCACTCCAGAGCCTGGGCCGCCTGCCTGTCCCTCCTCTCCACCTGCCCACCTGATCTTATAGGCACCTGGGACAGAGAGATCATACTTGATGCGAAGGAGTTTGAAGCTATCGGTATCTGTACCAGTATTTATAGCTTAATCTTTTACTTCTTAATCATGGAATGAAAATTTACTGCCAATAAAAGATTGTCAAACTGTCAAGAAATACCCAGAATTGAAATTTGGCTTCTCTAAGGTAAATCTGATTAGGCTAAAGTGTGCTGTGAAATGTTAACAATCCATCATAACAGGCTGGGGAGAGGGCTGTCAGCTGTGAAATTTCCACTTTTATTAGGACTTGGGGTCTGGTGCCTCTCAACCCCCTGCTCTGTCTAGAGCAGCCCAGGCCACTTGCTACATGTAACTACTGAACACTGAAAATGTGGCTTAGTCCAAATTGAGATATAAATGTAAAATATCACAGAATTTTGAAGACTTGGTAGAAAATGTATTGGTAATATGTTGAGATAATATTTGGGATCTACTGGTTTAATATTATTAATTTCTTTTTCAGTTTTTAATGTGGCTACTAGAACATTTAAAATCACCCATGTAGGGCCGGCCGAGTGGCGCGATGGTTAAGAACTCGCTTGGGATGCCAGAGGGCCCCGGTTCGGATCCCACATATGAGGGCCAGTGACACTGCCCTCCACAGCTAAGATGCTGAACAACAGCTCGACCTGGAGCTGGGCTGCCATGAGTCGCCGGCGACGGCGTAGGCTGCAGTCCCTGTGGCAGTGGGTTGCCATGGGCTACCGTATGTAGCCAGCAGCCAGCGTGAGCGGCCAGCAGCCGCAGTGAGCGGCCGTCCAGAAGCCGGCGACTGATCTGCCTCACCCGGGAAGAGCGCAATGATGGTGCCAACTTGGGCCAGTGAAGCAACATCCTCCACAACTAGATTGAAGAACAAAAACGACAGCAACTTCTCTGTTCCCCTTCCCCCAATTCCCCAGCACTGTTCCCATTCCCCAATTCCCCAATAAAAAATCTTTAAAAAATAAATAAATAAATAAAATCACCCATGTATATGGCTTGCATTACATTTCTATGGGACAATGCCCATCTGGAGGCACAGCACCCCCACCCCCCACCCCTGCCCAAGCATTTGGGCCTGCAAGCCAGTTCCCCTGCACAGGTGCTCATGCATTACTTACACTGCTCTGGCAATGTGGGGAGGGCTGGAAGCCAACTGTGAACCACAGACAGAAATGCAACATTTTTAGACTTGATTTTTAAAAAGGAAAGGTGTAAACAAAATTATTACTAGTCTATCAGAATTGACATTTACAAGAATAATGGCGGGAAGGTCAAGGAAAAGAAGAAACAGGTCGACCTCCCCGGAGGGCAATTTGATAATACACATCAAAAACCTTAAATTGCATATACTGTACTCTGTAGCCTAGAAATTGACCTTCTTGCAGCTTAAGGAATAATTGGGCAAAAACACAAATATCTAATTGCATGATTAAAATTAAAAGTTAATTGAGTGTTCAACAATAGCAGATAGGTGAAGTATGTTAGAACATAAAACAGAAAGATGTTCAAGAAGGGAAATGGGAAAGCTGGTTATGAGACAGTATGTGAGGAATGAACTAAAAAGAATGTAAATTGTTCTATAAGTAGAATGACATGACACTGGACGAACATACACCATAATGTTAACAGTGATTATCTCTGGGTGGTGGAATAGGTGTGTTTTTTAAATTGCTTACTGGTATTTTCTTTTTGTGTAATGCGCACACATGATGTAATGACACTTTTTTGATGAGTATATGAAAACTATAGATTACGCAATGATAGCCACCATTTGTGGAGTGCTTACTATGTACGAGGCATTGTGCTAAGCAGTGTGCTATTTTGCTTTGTGGCGTTTGATGTTTAAAAAGCAGGCACCTTCGGGGCTTCAATTGGGGATACTGGCCAAAAGCGCCGCTTATTACCTCGCAACTGCAATAATAGGACAGCCAGGTAAACAAACAGCAACTGCCATGACAAATAGAAACGATGCCAAAGCCAACCTTTTCGCATGAGTCGGAGCAATAAATCCTGCGGAGTCGACCGCGGAAGGCACAACTCTCGCTACTGCACCATTCAGAGAGCGGCTGGGACCCCGCGCAGGAGTAAGTACCTTCGTTTATTTACCGACTTTGGCCAGCGGCGCCTTGTTTAAAATGCGAGAGGCGACGCGGGCCGGATTCCCAGAAGCGCCAAATGCACCTCCCGCGCCGCTCTCCCCGCCTCCCCTTGCGGAGAAACACAGGTGTCCCACGTGGCTCCCACCCCCGGCGCGCCTCGCGCGGGCCTGCAGCGCCCCCTGGCCCGAGCCGCGCCCGTGCGGGCCAGCAGAGCCGACTCCGCGCCAGGGTCCCTCTGTGTGCGCCTCGCCACGCGGGTCCCAGGAAGCCAGAGCCCAGAGTTGTCTCAGCCCCTCCGGAGCCCGCGAGCCCCGGGTCCCACTAGCGGCCTCGGAAGAAGCGCCGGCTACTTATTCGCTCCCCCAGGAGCGGAGCCGGCTGGGCTCCCAGCCCTCCCTGTCCCTAGCCCGGAGACCGTGCGGCCCCGCGTGGACCGAGCGGCATCGCGGGCTTTGTTCGGCATTGTCTGCGCTTACCTGCGCGCTGTCGCGGGGCCCGCGCGCCTCTCGGGGCAGTCGGTGTCTCGGAGAAGATCGCACCTGGCGCACGCCTCCTTGGAGCTCCCTGCCCGCAGCCCCAGAGTCTCGGGAAGGGGGCGCGCGGCAGGCCTGGGAGCTGCCCGTCTCTTGGGTCCCCGGCACTGGAGCGCCAAGTCGAGGGGCGCGGACCGCAGGTAAGAGGAGAGGGACTCGATGGCTGTGGGTGGGGAGGGAGCCACGTATTCAACCAGAGCTGCTTGGCACAGTCTCGGAAACCCCTAACCTGGTGGCCGCAGAAAGGGCTTGTCTTCTGAATAAAGGCTTTGGGGACATGTCCAAGGCCCTGTTACACAGCATCTGCAGGTGTTATGGTTACTCCTGTGCAGCTTTCCCAGGCAGCTGAGTGCCTCCAGCGCAGTGTCCTCAAGCAGAGCCCGAGAGGGGTCCGCTGCCCTGACAGACTCGCCCTTGGGCGATTGGGAAGTCCAGGGGATTTTTTTTTCTGTGGTGATCTCACCTGCTGGAGAGCCAGGAGACAGACGGACAGACGCGCGCGCGCGCGCGCGCACACACACACACACACACACACACACACACACACTCACACACACACACTCACACGACCCAGACCTTCCTGCACTTCTGCACTTCTGCCCAGGGCAGGGCCCCGGCCACCTGCTGGAACGGTAAATGCGAGGGTGTCAGAATCGAACTTTTGAAACTTGCCAAGGGGCATCATTTAGTGCCCCAAACTTGGTGGACATCCAGGCAGAAGAGAAGGGAGGAAGACACCTGGCTGCCCTTTCATTCTGGAACCAGTGACTGTCCAGTTGAGAGGGGACTTTCAGTGGGGACACCATGCAGTGTGTTTGGTGTCTTGGAACTGAATAATTAGAACCTGCAATTTTCAAATTATGGGGTCCTTTAATTAAAAACAAAAACCCTAGAACCTCTCAGTGTTTTATAAATTGAGGTCTAAAAATATAAGCCTCAGTGTGATATATTAAGAAATGTGCATTTATTGAAAAAAGAGTCAGAAAAGGAACAAGTCAGAGAAGTCAGAGGTAGCCTTGCATTTGGCAGGTGGTTGTTCATTTGTAAATGCCACTCACCTTCATTGGCCGTAGACATTCTCTTCTTATGGCTGATGGGGGTACAAAGTGCCACTGGGCTGCCCTTCAGGTAGGCTATGGCCCTTACCCTTCTTTTGTAGAAATCCAGCTCAGAGCCATCTCTCAACCATGTAAGAATTTTCCAGACTCGGTCCCCAGGCAAATCCCAGGGGAAGAGGGGAATTCCTTCCTTCATCATACTGGTCTGTTTGACTGAAAACTGGCAGTGACATTTTTCTTCAAATCTGGTTTTGGGTCTGCCACCCAGAGTTTAAAGTAGCTACAGGCATACCTTGTTTTATTGCGCTTCACAGATGTTGTGTTTTCTACAAATTAAAGGCAAGAGCCTCCTCCTGCAAAAAGAGTATAACTTGCTTTATGGTGATACTCGCTTTATAGCGGAGGGCTGGAACCAAAGCCGCGGTATCTCCAAGATATGCCTGTTTTTCCTCCCCCCCTCTCCTCAATAGGCTTGACTCCTGTGGAATGAATCATAGTCAGATGCCTATGTATTTACAGATGAGAAAACTGAGAGTTACAGAGAGTGGAAGACTGCCTGAGGGCGAATGAGAGAGCCTCCCAGGAACCTGGACTCCTGGGTTTTTAATGAGCTTCATAAATGGCACAGTCATTAATTGGCAAGTGATGACATTGGGGATAAACTACTGGTGAAAATGTAAAAGCCTTTTGTTAAGAATGCCCCCACCAGGTGTGCATCTTAAAGAGCGTTTTCATGGCTTCCCGGACACCTGGGAGGAGGGTGCTGGGCCCAGGCCAGATGCTTTGTGGGTTTTGTTGAATAAGTGAAGTTTCATCTAATATTATCAGTGGGTCAGCAACACTGTTAGTGTTTTAGAACAGTGGTCCTCAAACTTTTGTACTTCACAGATCGGTAAAAGCTGTTTTATTTGGGAGGACTGTAACAGAATGGCTAATGTTTAATTTTATCCCACAAGGATATTAAAAAATATATCCCTCCCATCCTCTACAAGGCTATTGGAGGGCTCTTGGGAGACCCTGCACAAGGGAGCGCCTATCTGTGCAACACCCTTGCTTCAGCATCACCCCAAGCCAGCTTCCTGGGACAGCTGAACACACTTGAAGTCCTTCTTTTACTTTACCCTTTCACCTTCTAAGCAGCTCCAGACTGCTTTCTATTCCTCTTCCATCTGCAAAAGTACCTGTAGGGCTTCCCAGAGTACGCGTATGATTGCTATCCTTTGGTCCCTCGCTTTCTTTCCCTATCCTGAGCCCTTCCTTCTCTTAAACTGGATTTCTCTGATCTCCATTTAGGAAACTTTGCCCTGGCCCAGGGGGCTTTTGCCAACCTTTGCAGGTCAATAGGATGGGTGATTTCACCCCAGCTTTTGAGAGAAGGAAATTGAGAGACTGATGTGAAGGAATTTACTGGAGAGGCTCATGCTCAGGTCTCCTGACGTCCGATTAGTGCTCTTTCCACGTCACCTGTGAACTGCACACTTCTTGTCGTGGCCAAGCTTTCTGCCATCAGAAGACCTGGGCTTGAATCCAAGCTTGTGCTTTACTGACTCTGTGACTTCAGACCCCAATTCCTCCAAGACCCTTTTCATGTATAAAAATGGAAATGATCATGTCTACGCTATAGGGTTATGAGGATTGTTAAATGAAATAAGTGTAATCGTTTATCACACATTTAGATGGTATTTTACCAACAGGAGGGATGCTCACACATTATTCCACTGGGTCTTTACAACACTGTGTGAGTTTATGAAACTGAGATTCTCCTCCTTTGACAGATGAATGAACTGAGGTAGGGGAAGTTGTTGCTTGCAGTCACCTGGCTGGTTACAAGCAGAGCCAGGCTGGAATTTGGTCCCTGGGCTTCCTGTCCTGTGTGTGTGCTTCCCAAAGTCCCAAGGCAGTGAATTTGTACAACTTAAAGGATTTTCCAGTATCATCAAACATCAAAATCTCTTTTGGCTGAAAATGTCTCTTAGCAAGCGTGGCGAGTGTGGGAGGCCCTGTGATTTATACCTGTCTGCCCAGTTTTTTCCCCAGCCATCCAGGGAATTGTCTCTTGGTGCTGACTTCTGGTTGTCAGACTGTTGGGCTCTCGAAATTTGTGATTCTCTTAGGGGGACCAAGGCTTTACCAGGGCAGCTTTTAAAACTTTCTCCCTGCCTCATCAAACTAGAAACGTGTTGTCCACTTCCCTGGACTCTGGGCCTGTGCCAAGGGTTTTGTTCAATGGACAAGAAAGATAATTATTACAGCAGAAAACACCAAGGGCTTCCTGTCTGGAGACTTCTACCTCCGATTCTGGTTTTCCTGTTCAGGCGTTGACTGTTCTTATAAAGGGCTCAGGTTTCCATCCCTCTGACTGAGAGGAAGGAGGCTGCCAAGGGCTAATCTAATATTAGGGGTTGGAATTGCGTTTTGTAAGGAGGTGGAAGTGGTTTCCTTTTTCACCCTGCACCCCTTTCATTTCCGATCATAGAGGAGAAGGCAGGCATTGTCCTGTAAAACTGCTTTTAGCTACAGCCAGTCCGGTCCTTCTTTTTCAAAAGTAGCCTTGTTTTGCCCTGGGTTTCGTCCTTCGTCGTGGGATATGTAAGCCCAGAGGGCAATGTTTTGTGGTGCCCTGCAGCACACCCCGCTCTTCTGCTGTCCCCAATGCCCCCCAGTCCTGTGTGGAACCAGGATTTGAAGACAACAATCAGATGAGAAGATTGGGAGATTGGGAGGGCAGGGGGATCTCAGCCCATGTGGGAAAGTTTCAGAAGCCAGGAATAACACGTGGAAGCGGCACGAGTCGTGGAACAGAGAGGAACAACTGTGGTGAGCGAGGCGTTGTGATGGACAAGCCTTGACAAGGTGGGAGCGAATGGTCTGTTTCTGCCCCGGGGTTGCACACGACTCCTGACTACTTTGTAAAAGATTGCAGAAAGCTCTGGAAATCGCCTCAAGTGCTCCAGTGTGGGAATTGCTGGCAGGTTATTAGCTGGGTGGAAAACTGCCGAAGGGCGGGATCCTGGGTGGCTGACTTTTAATTATGCTTCTGTTCTCCATGCTGATTCCCCAGAGCCAGGAAGGTGGTGGATTGAACCGATCACTGGGGAGGCCAGAATGGAGTCCAATCTATTTATTAGCTATGTAACCCGGGGCAAAACACTTAACTTCTCCATGCCTCCAATTTCTCATCTGTAAAAAGGGAATAATACTTGCACTGGCTGGCTGTGTGGAGTAGGAGAGAGAAAACACACAAATATGGAGCCCGGCGCCAGGCTCACAGTAAATGCCCACAGGGTGGTAGTAGCTGTTGATTTTTACTACGGAATTCATCCTTTTAAAAAAGTTTTCAGATGTAAGGTTGTAAAGTGTTGAATTAGTATTTCAAGGAGGTTTTGACATGTGAGGAGGGGGTAATGAACTGAATACTTGAAAATGATTGGGTGGGAACAGATACTAATTAATACTTAGTACTATCAATGCTTCACCAGCATCGAAATAGCCCTCATTTCCTTTATCTTGGTATAAAGAAAGACAAGGTTCAGCTGGAAGTGTCCCATTTGTGTTTAGTTTACCCAGAAGGCACCTTCTCACCTACTGTGTGCCAGACACACTCAGCAGGGGCTCCAGCAGAGACAAGACTGCAGTCCCTAGTCCCGGAGGCATTCGCCACCTGGCAGGCAAGATAAACATATCAGCAGGCTGTTCTGGTGTGGGCTGTGTGACAATAGGGGTTATGTTAGGGGACAGGGGAAGGAGGTGTTACAGTGGTCCCAGAGTGAGCACAGTCTTATCCAAACACTTACAAGGAGGCGTTTGACTTCTTGCATTGATGTGCAGATTGCCAACTTAGGTTTTGTTTTAATGAGCAGAAACTTAGGAGACTCTGGAAAAAACATTCACCGGGCAAGCAGGGGCACATAGTAGAGCAAGATGAAGTTGCTTAGGTTTACTTCATAGCTGAGGGAGAAGGCCCATGTTTACTGAGCACCCTACTATGCCGACAGGAACCTTCCAGACTTCCTTTCACCTTGTCCTCATGGCAGCCTGGGGAGGCTGCTAGAATCATGGTTTTATAAAAAATTAATAGGCCTGAGCCTCACAGTCCTTCATGTGCCCAAGGTCAGAAACTGTGACCCCAGAAACCATCCTGAACTTCAGGACTAGAAAGCACTGAGAAGTCCATTACCCCTGCCCTGCCTCTCATGCCCAGGCCTGGCCCCTGGTGGCAGGTGGGGATTGTCCTGCTTCTGCTGTGTGGAGTAAGAGGAAAGACAGTGTATCCTTGGGGGAAAGGCAAGTCCCTTGCTGTCTTGAGCCAGGCTGGAGGCTAGCAAGAAGAGGGGGTCTCTCAGCCACCCAGTATCCTCTTGGTCTAGCTTTGTCCCCTGGATCGTATCTGGGGAGCTCCTGACTCCCCCACTCTTGATGTTAAATACCTGATTTTCCCCTAGATTAGGTGACGACATGAGCCTCTTAGTCATTTGAAGCACAAAGACTCTCAGCTGGTTGGGACCTTTGGCTTGGTTTTTTTCAGAAGTGTTTTGAAATCCAACGAGCTGAATATATACAGTGGAGTAAGGTCTGACCATAGTAGGTCCATGATGGAGGGGCGATCAAAGGGGATTTTTAAAACCAGAAGACACCTTAGCAGCATCTGATACAACCTCCTCATTTTGTGAGTGAGGAACCATGGCCCCTGTCAGGGTTGCAATGCACGGGATGAGAAACCGGGGCTTCTGGATTCAGGGTGCAGGTGCTCTGCCACCACAGGGCCACTTGCAGATGGGGGTGGAGTTCTGAGCTGACCTCGGCTCCAGACGTGGCGTGGTTAGGGGAGAGTGCATTGCATTAAGAGCTGGCGACCTGAGCTGTGCTCCCCTTCTGAGCATCAGCGACCTCTTCCGTTCATCTCCAAGGTGTGTATGCGCATTCACTCTGCGTCTCCTCTTTCACACCATACTGTGACCGTCTGATCCCCCAGCTCCCTGTAAGTGGGGTTGCAGGTCCATGGGGTAAGCACTGACTCACGATTGCACATCCCTACTGTCGATTCATCTCTCCTGTAGTTCCAAGTAAGGTCTGGCCATCGCACCTTTATGGATACGAATTGGGTGACTTTAAACTTTCCTGAAGAATCTGCATTTCCAGGGGGCCTGCTTTTCAAGGCTGCCATTGCTCTCAGCCTGCACAGCAAGTCCTCTCTGGATTTGCAGTTTTGCTCTTGCAGCGGGGAGGTGTGTTTTTAATGCCCCTGCAGAGGGGGTAGAGTGAGTGTTGGTCGGAGAATTCATTGTAGCGCAGGTTAAGTCAGGCCATTTCGGTGCCTTGCTAGAGATGAGAAGGAAACTCCTGTTCTGTGTTTTGGAGAACTGGCGCCCCCCAGTGGAGGCCGGGAGGTCGGAAGGCCTGGGATACATAACCGAAGATCTGGGGCTCTGGCTTGTGGTCCGTGGTCTTAGATGCAGGAGAATGGTGCTTACCTAAGATGCTGAAGGGCCTTCCCGAGTGGGTGCATCAGGTTGAAGTGGGTCTCCCACTGCCTGCTGCAGCCTTGTGTCCCACACGCAGCGACTGAGCACTTCTCTCCCTGCCCTCCTCTCTAGGACCTGGGATTCCCCAGGACCCCAGCAGTGTTTCCCGGTCCATATCTCTGCCAGGGGTCCTCTCTTCAGAGTTACCTCTTCCATGAGTGTCAATGTTATTTGTTTAATGGAAGGAAACTTTAGTAAGACCCACAAGTGGCATTGCCTCACTCTTTCAAGTCTTGTCTTCCTGGGCAAGTTGAATGCAGAAAAACTGTAGGGTGAGATCGTGAAGGTATTGGATCCCAAAAGGCAAAAATTAGAACTTCTAGAACCTCTTATCAAGATATTTTTTAGATCGTTTCCTGTTAAATTATACTGGGGGGGAAAGTCTAAATTTCGGTTCTTATGGTACATGTGCGCTTGCTGTAAAACCTAAGATTGTCTGAGCTGTGCATCTTTGTGATTGAAGGACAGTGATGCGTTTCCTGGGCCTCACAGCTAAAATTAGAAGTAAACCTCAGGTGTGCGCCCTTATAGAATCAGAGCTACAGCCATAGTTTCTTATTAAAAGTGCTCACTTAAAGGGCTGGCCGAGTGGCTCAGTTGGTTAAGAGCTTGCTCAAGAGTTTGAGCTCTGAGCAACAGGGTCCCCAGTTTGATTCACGGCCTGAGCTGAGCTGCTGCTGAGCTGCCAACAGGTGGCAGGATGGCGCAGCTGAAAAAAACCAAAACAAAACAAAAACAAAAACAAAAAAATAAAAGTGCTTACTTAACACCCTAATACTTCCTTCAAAAATTAATAATCAGGCTCCACGGAACTGAATTGTATCTATACTGTAAGCATTACTAGGCAATAACAAACTTTAAAAAATACTTTTGTTTATTCCTCAGCCACATTGCTATTTATAAATAATTTAGCAAGTACAGGCTGGTGACCTTGCTAGGTTTCATAAAAATGAAGATGTTGAAATCAAATCTTCAACCTGTCAAGAGTCTAACTGCTTATGAAGAAATGGAGGCGCTGAGAGGGAGGGGATTTCCCTAAGGTCACGGCCCAGGACGAGCTAAGACCCTCAATTCTGGACACAGCGCTCCTTGTGAAGGAGCTGGGGACGTGTGTGTGTGTGTGGGTGTCTGCAGAAAATGTTAAGTTGTCCTTTAAAATCAAAGTCATTGGAGTAAAGTCTCCAATGTCTTTTGAGAATTTGGGTCTTCTCCAGGCGACTCTAGTTATTATGGTGAGGACGGGCCCCCAGGATCATGTTTGTGCCCTGGGAAAGGTTGAGGACTCGTCCTCTTGTTTGAGGGTCTGACTTGAGCTCACAGAGCCCATTGCTGATGGTTTTTTTTTTCTTTCTTGTCCTGGCCTTATAGTCATATCAACATGCCCTCTGTCCTGTTGCTGGAAGCCATCTGCATTTTCCTGTTTGCTGGAGGTAAGTTTTTGACGTGGAGGGTACAGTGTTGAGGGGTTTGGTTTGCCTCACACCCTGTCAGTTTTAACGTCTAAAGGTCGCTTGAGTGCATCAGCGTCTCTTCAACCCCACGGCCACCTGCCTGGTCTAAGCCCCATCATCTCATGCTGAGACCACTCCAGGCTGGTCTATCTGGTTCTCTTCCAGCCGATTCTTCACCCAGCAGCCATTTCAAAATGCAAATCTGATTGTGTCTGGACCTCTCTCCACTTCCACCCCCTGCCTGAAACTTTCAAGCAATGTCCCATTGCTCTTAAGAGGCCTTGCCCGATCTGACCTCATAGCCACATTTCATCCTCTGGTGCCCCCTCGCTTCACCCTTTGTGCTGGAGTCCATGCCCAGCATCCTTGCTGCATCCCACCCTAGGAATTCTCAATTATGGTGACCCCTCTGCCGGGCTCACCACCTTACCCCAACACTGTGACCCTGGTAACCTCCTACTCATCCTTCAGCTCCCAGAACACCTCCTCCTGAACCCCCAGATCATGTCAGGTCCCCCTATTAAAACCTCTTATAGTCCTGGGTGCCTTTGCTGTGTAGCACTTAACACAGTTAGGAGTTTATTTCTGTGTGAATTTTTAAAAATTAGTGTCCATCTTCTTAGCAGATTATAAGCTTCATGATAAGAGGCTGCATGCTCTGTATTCACTACTGTGTGATCTCGATGCCTGACACTGGGCTTGGCATATATTGGGTTGTCGGAAAGGTCATGACGTATTTTGTCTATGTTTATCAAAGGCCATTTATTTATATAAAGAACAAAGATCAATCAATGATATATTATGCGTTTTGTTCGATAACCTTTTGCCATCTTTCAGTGATTTTCATAATTCCTCGTTCATAGAAGGGCCTGTCTTTATTTGTGAAAAACTGAACAAGGTGCTGATTTACAGCCTCATCTGAATTGAATGTTATACCACGCAAGGAGTTTTGAAGAGAGCGAAACAAGTGCAAGTCTGACGGCGCAAGGTCAAGTGAGTATGGTGGGTGTGGCAACACATCTCATCCAAGCTCCAATAATTTTTGACCGGTGATCAAACTTGTGTGTGGTCTCGCGTTGTCGCGATGGAATACAACTTTTTTACAATTAAGCTCTGGACATTTCTGGATGATAGATTCATCCAAACTGTCCAATTGCATACAGTACACATTCAGATTGATTGTTTGGTTCCTTGGTAGGAGCTCAAAAAACACGACAACTTTAAAATCCCTCCACACTGAGAGCATAACCTTCCTCTGATGAATGTTTGCTTTTGATGTCGTTTGAGGTGAATCATCACGTCAGGACCAGGACCGTTTGCGCACTACATTTTTTTGTAAACAGTCCACTTCTCATCACCAGTTATCAGTCGCTTCAAAAAAGGATCATTTTCCTTATGTTTAATGGGCATATTGCAGATGTTTATACGTGCTGTCAAATGAACCCAAATATCGAGCTTGCTTACGTATCCCAGCTTCTTCAGGAGGTCGCGAATGCTTGAATGATGGATGTTCAATGTTTCTGCAATCTCTCGTGTTGTGTAACGTGGGTTTGACTCAATCAATGCCTTTATTTTGTCGTCATCAACCTCGGTGGGCCTCCCTGACCGAGGAGCGTCGTTGAGATCAAAATCACCAGCACGGAATTTCGTGAACCATCGTTGGCACTGACGTTCTTGTAGAGCGTTGTCACCGTAAACTTTATGCAACTTTTCACAAGCTTGATGCGTTCTTCCCTTTATGGAAGTAAAACAGTAAAATGTGGCAAAAATGCACAGTTTGGTCTTCCATCTTCAACTTGCTGTACAATCTCCAAAACGCAACCAAATCACTCAATTTTTTTTAGAATGAAGCTAGAACTGTCAGCTGTCAAATGGCAGCAATAATATAGATGTGGATGACTCCAGTACTTCCAAAAATGAATTAGTGCCATCTGTTGCAAATATGCGTCATGGCTTTTCCGACAACCCAATAGTTGGTGCTCGAGAATGAATGAATAATGGAGCCAGTCAGTTTCCTTTTTACTTCGCACTTTGTCACTCCCAAATTCTAGCCTCTGTGAAATATGAGATGGTAGAAAGGAAAAGTGTGTTTCACGATTGTTGTCCTATAAGCAAGACCAAGTGGACGGGGTGGCCAGCTGCCCGGGTCTCGCTCGGGAGCCTCTGGCCGTCTGAGACGCCTCCTGCAGCTCCTCCCTGGTCTGTGCTTCAGTGAGCAGGTGTAGTCTCTCTGCTGAGTTGGCTGCTGTCACCACCTGCCTGTTCCCTGGAGCCTGGGGGAGATAAGAGAGGCCGGAAGAAGAGTGGTTGCTCAGCTCACCTACCCCCACCGCTAAGCCATGCAGCTGGACATTGTAACACAGTAGCTTCATGGTCAAGGCACTGAGGAACCATGAGACGTGTTGGGGACAGGGTTTGAATGTGGTCCCTGGAGGCCCAGGTACAGTAAAGGTTCTGCTCCGGCTCATCACGGAACTTCACCTTCTGTAGCCCTGTCCGTTTTACAGAGCACTTTATCTGATCATCCCTGAGTTGTACAGATGAGCCAGGAGAGGCCCAGAGAGGTTGTGTAACTTGCTTGGGGTCTCACAGCTATTGATATTAGAGTTGAAATGAAATCCCAAGTCTCCTGACTCCCGGGCTGGCCCCACCACTCTGGGCTCCTCTGGGGGAGACAAGAATGTACACGACCTTTCTCCCTAAACCTTGGCTCTCTTACCTGTAAAGTGGAAAGGGTTTCGCTACATGAGTGATTCTCCTTAGCACCGCCCATCTCCCCTAAGAGATTCATGCTCTGCAGCCCAGACAGGTCATCTTCAGAGGCTGGGCTGACTTGGTTAGAAGAGGAAGCCATAGTCACACATTCATCAGCTCCCTCTTCCAGGGGGATCCTTTGCAGAATCCTGAGGGTATTTCACAGGGGAGCCCTGGAAATGTCACCCAGGCATAAGAAGGGCTCCCCTGAAGCCTGGCACCTCCTGTAGCAGCTGAGCACATGGCACAGAGACACTTTAGCTGAGTGATACCTTTCGGGAGTGGTGTCTGGTCACGGTGCTCCTCTCCCACCAGCTGGAGAATTTGCTGGTAAGACACTTAAAAAAGGAACAGTGTTTTCCTGTAGGGCCTTAGGGATTCCTCAGCTCCTGGGCCCTTTGCCAGTAATTCATGGACTCGGTTAGGAATCCTTAGTGCCTGCCTGCTGTGTGCAGAGTGCTGGGCTGGGCTCTGCGAAGGACGGGTGGGAATGTCCTGCCTACAGGGAGCTTCCCGGGGAGCAGGGCCCATGGGAACACCACCCCAGTATGGGGTGCAGCGGGGCCCCACGAGTTGGCAAGACCTTGTTGATGTCTGAATGCAGTGAAGCCGAAAGCCTCTATTTTGGAAGAACGATGTACTGAATCACTGAGTGATGTTTGTGCTCTTTTTATGGGTTTTTTGAGGGGGAGAGTATTGCCCCTGCCTCTGTGCCAACATCTGCCACTTTTTACGGAAGTGGACGATTTTTTTTAATTGTCTATTTTTGTAGTTTGTCTTGTTTCTGCCTCTGGTGGCAGAACAGCAGTGGCAGTCGCAGACTATCTCAGACCTCATGGAAGATATTTTCCCGACAGCTTTTGACTGTGGAGCAAATTCTGGGTCAGCATATTGGCCTGGAACCATCTTCTCTGAGTGGAGGCTGAGGGGAGGGCATATCAGGTGAGCAGAAACCATCTGCTCCAAGACACGGTGGGAGAAAAACTCGAGACTAGTCTGCACTGGGGAGCAGTGAAAGGCACCGTAGAGATGGAGCCAGGACCAGCCAAGGGGTGGTTGGCTGATAACCAGGAGGTGCCTCGTAAGTAGGAGGCATCCTCCCCCTGCCACAACCTGACATCTTTTGGTGTCTCCCTCATGATCACTCTCCTGGCAGTTGCAAATCCTCATGAGCCCAACTTCCCTGCCTTGTGTGATTGCACCCCAGCCCCGGCTTCGTTTCCGTTGCCTCTTTCCCCAGCAGCCGCCCACGCTCGTGTTCCATCCTCTGCCCGCTTTTTGGCCGAGCCTGATTCTGGGCTGCCCCGCCTCGCTTGGTTTCCTCTGTGTGTACCCACCAGGCATCCACACGTATAAAGCATCTGTGTGTACACGTCTGCCTTAGACATCGACCATGCGCAGCTGGCTTTTCAGATTCTCTCTCCAAGTGGGCACCCTCATTGCCCTCAAAGTTAATTTCGTAAATTGTTAGCGACCGCTCATATGCCATTATGACAGTTCTACTGGGGATCATGTAAAAGAGTGAAAAATATATCCACAAACTTCCTACCCCTTCAAACTTTTCAGTCCTTTTTCATGTTAATTGCCTTGAATGAATATATCAGCATTTACTCATCGTCCTGTCTCTTTAGATATTTGTTATCTCCAGCATTCCTGTATCACAAATAGTGTTGAAGGGAGTACTGTGAGGCACAGTTCCCGTCTCTAAAATTGGTTTTCCTTCGGATCAGTTCCCAGGTCTGATACTCCAGGGTCAAAGAGTGTAAGCATTTTTATGACTCTTAATTCATTTCACCAAAAGGGTTGTATCCATTTACAGGACCACCTCTGGAAATTTTTTTCCTGAATTCAGCTTTCCCCAATTAACAGTTAAATGTAGGAATTTCACATTTAAGGTGGTACCTCATTGTTTGAGTTGAAACATTTTCATCACCTGCTTAAACATTTTTCCCTCGTGCTTTTCTATGAATTCTTTCTGAATTGTCTTTTCACAAGGTTAGTTTTCATGGCGAGGTGTGGTGCCACAGCAAGGGACTCAGTTATTATACCTAACCAGGGGCAAACCTCCTCAGGATCATAGGCTCTCTAGCCCCTCTGTGTATATTTTTAATTTTTCTCTTCAAATTTAATTACAACAGTACCTGACAGAAGTGGAGTAATTGGGGGGTTCCCTTATGCTAGCCACCGTGTAATTTTCGACAGGCAGTACCATTAAACTCCCCCATCTCTTATTACCTGTTCCACCTGGATACGAAGACTCCTCCCCTCCCTGCCTTGCGGTGACTGCTTCTGGTGTCTTGTCTCCTAGCGCCCCCATCCGTTCCTCTTCAGGAAGTCCACGTGAGCAAGGAGACCATTGAGAAGATTTCAGCTGCCAGCAAAAGTAAGCCCATGTTTTTATTCAACCCCCCAGACACCCATTTCAGCCTCTGCGTGACGGACCCAAGGGAAGCCACGTTACACCAGACAGTTCCCACTGCGTTCTTCTCTTCTTTTCACGCTGTGGCCAGAGTCATTTTCCCAAAACGGGGGCCTGACCAAGCCCCTCGGCTGGGTAAAAAAGCACCTTAGGTCGGTCCCCGTGGCCAGATTTCTTGGCCCACACTTCAGGATCTTCTGTTACGTGGCCACTGTCTACCCAAGCAGTCTTGTCTGCTGCCACTTTCCCTCCTCCTCCACCCTGCTCCACACGCTCAAGCCCTCCCCAGAGTCCCCGCACATCCCCTTCCTGCCTCTCTGGTGAAATCCCCCTCAGTGGCTCCTTCCCACGCGCGCTTCTCTGACTTTTGCTTTCTCGCATCTTCATGGTAAGATGGGGGGCTGTGGACTCGGGTGCCACACAGCCTGGAACTGGTTCTTGGCCCCACCACGTCCTAGTCCTTAGGATTGCCATTGAATTGCCCTGTGCCCAGCTTTTCTCATCTCTCTCGTGGTAATAAAAAGTGTAAATCTACTTAGGGGTGGCGGGGGGGGGGGCGTGCTATGGCGCTGATTTCAAAAGGGTACAGGGTCTCTTTATGAGGTGATGGACATGCTCTAAAATTTACTGAGGTGATGATGGAATGTGTGAATATACTAAAAAGCATTGACTTACATACTTTAAGCAGGCAAATTATGTAGTGTATGCAGGATATCTCAATAAAACTTAACAACTTTAAAAAAAAGCCATCTAAGGGTGGTTCTGGGAATTCAGTAAAGTAGGACACTTAAAGTGTTTTAAAGCAGCACCTGGCATGTGGGAAAAATGCAGTCAGTGCTGGCTCGTCTCCCTTGAGCTCCGAGGTGACTTGACCTCATGTACCAGGGTGCCTGGCTGTGCCCTGGATTGAATGGTGGCCCCTGAGGGCTGGGACCAGGGCTCTTCAATGTCCTGTCTTGGTCCAGCAGCCCTTCCTTTCATATGTCCCAATGAGTGTTGTTGCATTAGACACTTCCATTATTAGAAAGACTTTCACGTAAGGGCCTCTCTCTGACCATGGTGCCCATATGGGTGTGTGCGTCCCGCTGCAGGGGAGGGCTCTGGCCAGACCTTCTCCATAGTGCTGCGAGGAGCCGCTGCTGACCTACCACAGGGCCGTTTCTGCCTCCCCTCTGCTTTGGGAGTGAGACCCTCTTGGGACCAGACTGCAGGGAAGCTGGTTGTCACTCACCTGTCCTCCTCTCCCCTAGTGATGTGGTGCTCGGCTGCGGTGGATGTCCTGTTTCTGATAGATGGCTCTCACAGCATCGGGAAAGGGAGCTTTGAAAGGGCCAAGCACTTTGCCATCACAGTCTGTGACGCTCTGGACATCAACCCCAAGAGGGTGAGTGCAAGTCTTATTGTCTTTGTACTAGGGTGTCTTTGGTTGCAAGTGACAGAAATCCAGTGTTAAGGCAGGAGAGGGCGTTGACTGGCTTGCGGAACTGGGAAGCCTGAGAGGGTGAGTCCTGGTTCCAGGCACGGCGGGAGCCACTGGCTCAATCCCTCTTTTTCTCCTTCTCTCAGTTTTGCTTTCCTCAACTGGCTTCCTTCCCAGGCAGGTTTTCTGGACATACCAAGGCTGGTGACCCCAGTAAAAAGAACATCAACTTCTTTCTTTGCAGATCTGGAAGAAGTCCAGGGGGATGGGAGGCACCATTTGAGCAGGTGTAGGTCACATGACAATCCCTTGACCAATCACAGTAGTCAGAGGGAAGAGTTGATCTGGCAGATGGGATGGTGGTGAACACAGGGATTTGGTTTCCCCTGGAAAGAGGTTGTGCTTGCAGGACAGTGGGGAAGGGAAAGGATATTACTACCTCCCAAGACTAGACTCTCCATACGAAGCACAGCTCCTGCTCTCTCTGTTCCCTTGAAAGGACCTACTGCCTGAGTGAATCCAGCCAGTGGGTTCACTTCTTGTTCCTCCTGACTCCAGATAGTAACCTTTAAATATCAGCAGAGTGTGCTGGCTGCGCTCTTGTTGCTAAAAGGGGCATTTTGGGAGTGACTCGTTAGAAAAATGGGCAATAACAGACAGTTCCCAGAAAACAAAACACGAATGGCCCTTAGACCTATGGAAAGATGCCCAACCACCTCCCTCAATGTAATGTAATAGCAAATCGCTGACTGATATACCATTTTCCGCTTACTGGATTAACACAAATCCAGTTTGGTGACATGCTCCATTGGCAAGTCTACAGGAGGCTGGCATTCTCACGCCCTGAGGGCGGGAGTGTGCAGCCTCTCCGTGGGGGGATCGGACAGTGTGCATCAAAGTTACAAAGGCTTGAACCCTTTCACCCAGCAATTTATTCTAAATATACTCCCACGGATGGCTTTCCAAGATGACATTCCTGGGCTAATCCTAAGAAAATCACTAGGATTTAAGAGCAAAAGTGGCCTTTTATGAGGGCCAGATTTTCTCCGGAATGGCATGCCATTTGGGGCGAGTGAGCACAGTCTTGCACAGCGATCTGAGGACACCATAGCAAACGTCATCCCATCTAGGCATGAGCGGCCCGGAAGTTCCAAATGTGAAGTCTGCCCATCACAGACCCTAACAGTGCCAAGGACTGCTGAAGCTTCACTCCCTTCCACACAGGGCTCTGTTTTTAAAAGGAAATGATTGCCTGTAAAATTTCACTAGTTATTCATGGAGGAAGAATCATAAAGATCCAACACTGATGACCTTGGCACTGATGTTTAATAGTATGTCCTGAAATGGGTGGCTGGGAGATCCCAGCGAGTGGCAAATTGGGAGACAAGAGCTGTGTGGATTACGAGAGGATGTTTACAGATGAGGAAACAGGCTCAGAGAGGTTAAGTGACTGCCTAGGGTCACACAGCAATCTTAGAAGAGAGCTAAGTGTGAAAACACTGGGGCTCTTGACTCTCAGTCAGCTCAGGACTTGTTCCATTAGTTCATTTGTCCCTACCTACTGGGCTAGGATGAGGTGATGACCCTCAGAATTCACACCCTGCTATCACATAGCAAGTGGACAACATGGCAGTGTGTGTATGTAGGTGGAAGTGGTGCATGCTGGTGGAATTCAGCATCCTCAAAGGGAGACTAGGAAAACGGTGACAAAAAGCTTCATAGCTGGCGCTGTTGGGAAACCCTTGTCCTGACTCACAGGGCCCCAGAGCTCGGGCAATTAAATGTCAATGTAGCTGGACCACATCTAGAATGGGGTGTTTTCTGGTTATGTGTTGGCAACCCAAACAGTGCCCACAACAGGCAGCCAGAACAGTGAGAAGCTTGGCAACTTCCACATCTGAGGGAACCTGATTATCATTTCCATGTGAAACAGCCTATAGAGTGGCTCCATCTTCTTAAGACAGAAGCTGGGTGTTTAAGGAGGCTTATGCGTGCTCAGCCTGAGAAAAGCTTTCTCACAAGCAAGACTTGTTGAGCCAAGGAGTTGGGTGTCCATTTCAGTGAACCAGCGAGCATCTTGATTGCCAGGGTGCTGCGTCAGCCTGGCCGGAATGCCACCGAGTGGGGTTTTTGCATCAGGTCGATTTCAGACGGTTCCATCTGACTTGGGGCTTCGGGTTTTATGTTTTTTGCTGGTATGCTTTTGTGTCTTCCTTCTTTTTACCTCCATGTACCAGGGATTGGATGTACATCTCAGTTTACTTTGTGTAGCTTTATTGTGCAGGCAGAAATTTTCAAGTAGCTATAAATTAAGGCTTTTTATGAAGGCTCTGTTGTTGAGATGGATTTTAAGGTGTTTGAAGTCTTCCTCTCAACACTTATAAGCTGAGAAGCTCAAAACTGAGTTTACTTCCTGGCTGTACTATAATGATTGCAGCAGAGTGATTACAGTGGAGTGAGAAATGTGGGCGGGCTGGCCTCCGAGCATACAGTGAACTGAAGATAAAAGGCAACTCTTTTGTTCCCAAGCCACCAATTAAATGAAATGCCTTAACTACTGACTCAAGCTGTCTCCATCTTTTTTTGTTTTGAAGTTGTATCCTTCCTGTTTAATTCAAGTAAATGTAACCAGCTGTTGGTCTCAAGGGAGATTTTATTAAACTAGGTAATTCATTCACGTGTTCAATAAAAAAAAACGTTCAGTGAAGAGCGTCCCTCCTACTCACACGCTTTCCGTGTATTTGCCCAGTCCCCCACCTGCTTTCTTGAGCATCCTTACAGAACCGCTTCACACAAATGCAAGCAATGTGAATATAGTATATTCTTGTTTCCCCCATTTTTATACAAAGGGTAGCAAGTGACACACGGTTCTATTCCTTGCCTTCCTCCACCCCCACCCCCGCCCCCGCACACTGTCTTGGAAATCTTTCCATATCTAGGTATCTAGGCAATATAAGTATTAATATAGGTATATATTATGCTTTATAGCTGACTAGTGTTCCAGTGTAAGGATTTACCAAGGTTTAACCAACCCCCTATTGATGGACATTTGCTGTTACAAACGTACTGTGAGCTTGCAAATGTCATTTCACACATGTGGAAGTATATCTGTAGGATAAATTCCCAATAACCCTATGCATTTGTAATTTTTAATAACAGACAGATTACTTTCCATGGATGCTGTAACATTTATGTTCTTACCAGTAACGTTAGAGAATGCTGGCTTCCCTGCTCCAACATTGTATCTGGCTTTTTGCTACAACTCAGTGTGGTGCAGTCAAGCATCTGTTAGGATATTAAAAAGCCATTTGTATTTCCTGTGATCTCTGTTCATATCCTTCGCCCGTTTTTTCTGTTGGATTTTTGGTCTTTTACATACCAATTCTTAAACACTCTTTCCATCTTGGGGAAACTAACGTTTTGTCTCTGACATGAGTTGCAAATAACGTTTCCATGTTGTGTTCATTTTTTGGTTGGCTCGTGGTATGTGTTGCCCTCCAGAAGTTTTCTTCATGTAGTCAGATGTATCAGCCCTTCCTTTACGGTGTCTGGATTTTTAATCATAGTAAGGTCTTTTCCACTTTGAAGTTTTAGAGGAATTCTCCCAAGCTTTCTTCTAGAACTTTTATGGTTACATTGATCACATTTAAATCTTGAACCCATTTGCAATTTATCCTTTATTCTTTTGCAGGTGGCTGTCCAGTTGTCCCAATATCACTTACTCTCACTTACTCTCTAAATCATCCTTTCCTCACTGGTTTGAGATGTCCCCTTTATCACAGGCCAAGTTCAAGGGAGATTGCAAAAGTGTCTCTTCTCAGAAACTTTTCCCTGAGCTTCTCTACTGCTCTGCTATCCTCTGTCCATCTCCCCCACGTGCCCACCCAAGTCTTACATTTCTCCCAGCTTAAGATGCCCAGCGACTCCTCCTCAGAACTTGCTGTGGGAGGAAAGTCCGATGGGTTGTGCTCGTTGGGAGCAGACGAAGCTGGCCTGGTGTGGCGAGTACTTTGATCTTCTCCCAGGCACCAGGCCTGTTAAGGCATCAGCAGTGAAGGAATTCAAGCAGTAAGCAAAAGGCAGCGTCATTGCTTAAATGTGAATCACTTGGCTCGTTTGCAATCTTGGCGAGAATGAGGATTAGTTATGAGAATGTAGTTTCTCCAGGGGTTTTAGAGAGCCAGTGGTTAGGTTCAGAGCTTGGATCCTCAAGGGGGAAACCTTGTTTATAGCCTTCTCTGCTCAAGACACGCTAGTGTCTTAAGGGTTCAGAGAATGACTTCATTCAGGTTTCCTTCTCCAGTCTTGCAAGGCATTGGGTTTTCTCATATGGCCTCCTCGGCTAGGATGTGAAATCTGTTTGGAACCACCAGGGCTGTCACTCCCTCCACTGCAGAGGAATTTCAGCTCCAGTATTGCTTGTCTTGGATTAGGGTCAGACTAGGCTGTCTCCCAGTCTGACTGGTTTGAGAGCTGGCCCTTTCCTAGCATGGCAGGAGCTGGCCTGGAAGGGCTGACCCCCACCTCCCCCAACCACCAAGGATGGGTATGTGGTGGCTGTGGTTAGTGACGAGTCACTGGTGATGGTGGCCGTGGTTAGCTTCTGCACAACCCCTGGTTGGGTCAGGGAGCATTTTGCTGAAGGCCTGAGCTAGCTGCTGAGAAGGCAAGTGATATAGCTGAGCCTTGTGGTGAGTCCAGTGGCCTGGCTCCCGTTCTCACTAGCCTTCTAGCCTCCCTGCATTTTAGCTTCTCCAACAGAAATGTGGGTGTGACCAGTGCCTCTGGATTACATGAAATCTTGTGTGAGACAGCTTAAGACACTGCCTGCACCTGGTAGGCATTTGGGACGTGTGAGCCGAGATCCTGCCATAAAGACGCTCACAGCTCAGCTGAGCGAGCTGCCAGAATAGGCGTCAAGAAGACTGAATTGGGGCTTGTCAGTGCAGAGCACAGGCAGATTTGACTATTTCCTTCCAGATCCTTCTCCCGGTCTTTGGAACCTTCTTTTAGGGAGACCCGAGAAAGCTCCAGCACTAGAATTTGTTGAGTGGGCCGGAGGAAGGGTCGTTAACCTTTCTTGTCCCATCTTGCCTCTTAGGAATGTTTGTGTCCTGACCCTGCTCTCAACCCCTGGGCTCTCTGTCTCTTACTGCAGGTCAGGGTGGGAGCATTCCAGTTCAGTTCCGCTCCTCGGCTGGAATTCCCCTTGGACTCATTGTCAACCCAACAGGAAGTGAAGGCAAAACTCAAGAGGATGGTTTTCAAGTATGTATGCTCAGTTACTGCCGTGGGTAGGATGCAGCTAGCTGCTCTTAAAAATGCTCTCGAAGGGTTTGGCCCTGCTCTTAGCCTGCCAGAGAGGGCTGTGGGCTTCGAGAAGCCCAGCTGTGCTCAGTGGATAATGAGAATTCCCTTCTCAAGGCTGCCCCTTATCAGTACATGATGTCCCAGGTGGGAACTTAAATGCAAGTTTGGTTTTTTTTTTAAAAAGTGCTTACTGCTATTAGGTGTAGTCGTCAGTTACCTGGGAGAAAGGGCTAGTAAAGGTCGGGACTGGAGTGGAGAGCAGGAGGTGGTGGGAAGCATGCTGGGTCTTTCTCCCAGCTCTGTCCCTGCTGATCACTGCAGCTTGGGCAATTTGCCACACTTCAAGAAGCCTGCTTTTTGTGGTCTAAAAAGAGCACGTGCTCCTCTGTTATGGAGAGTGCTTTAAAAATGCATACACACAACACCCCCCCGCTATAAATGTATGTATGTAGCGGGGTCATAAGTCTACTTACATTATAAGTCAGCTGATGTGTGTATATGCACATGTGTGTATAACATATATTTCTTGTATAAATGTTTTCATGTGTGTATTATATACACATGTAAACACATACATCTCTATGTATATGAATGTGCTATACATATATATACAACACACACACATAATAGTCTTCACAGTCCCTCACAGAAGAATGTCTTTAACTTGCCACTTTCATCTCTGCTTCCCCTAGCACTCGTGTCCACTGAAGTCAGTGGTCCCAGCCATTGTTAGCAGTCACTTCCAGTTGCAAAGGCCCTGAGCGCACTGAGGTCCTTGTTCTAATGGCGGGCCTCTGTAGGTCCACCAATGCTCTCAGTAAGCCCGAATCCCCACACTGGGCACGGCGGGAACTTCGAGGGTCCTCCAGGTGCTAGGGGCCCCTAAGTGACTTCATCTCAGCCCTTTCCTCTGACCATGGGTGCCCTGAACAGAATGAGGGCAAAGTCAGGTACGAAGGGAAAAAGCACATTGACGTATTTTTTAAAACTACCCTGGCCTTTCCTTGTTGTCACGGAGCCCTCTACCCTTGAGGCCCCCAAGAATGGCTTCCTGTAGAGAACAGTTGCAGCCATTCCCCTGTACCTTGGGCCCGCTCACACGGAGCAGCCCTTGTCACAGTGAGATCATAGAGCTGTCTGGATGAGAACTGCCAAGAGAGTATGTTAAAATGCAGCTGCTGGGGCTCCCTCCCAGACCGACTGCTTCACACTCGGCAGTGCTGCTTAGCATCTGCACTTTTCAAAGGTCTTTCCCGGCTGTACCACCTGCCCTAGGACTGTGATGCACACTAACTTTTTTTTCAACAGCTTCATTGAGATGTAATTTAAATACTGTGAAGTGCACACATGCAATGTGTACAAGTCAGTGATTCTGAATATATTTTCAGAATTGTGTAACTATTACTATAATATATCTTTAGAGCATTTTCATCATCCCCCAAAGTAATTTTGTAAGTACATTTCTCCAGAGAAGATATATAAATGGCCAGTAGACACATGAAAAGATGCTCAACATCATTAGCCATTAGGGACATGCAAATCACAACCATGATGAGATACCACTTTACACCCACTAGAAAGGCTAAAATAAGAGACAGACAGTATCAAGTGTTGACAAGGTTGTGGAGAAATTGGAACCCTCTTACACTGTTTGTGGGATTATAAAATGGTGCAGCCACTGCTGATGTAGAATAATATTGAATGTCAACTATAATTTTTTATGGTCACAGGATGTAAAGTACAGCATAGGGAATATAAACAATGGTATAGTAACAGCTATATACGATGTCAGAGGGGTATTAGACTTAGAGGGAGGTTATCACTTGGTGAGGGGTGTAAATATCTAATCATTATTGTTTTTGTACACTTGAAACTAATATAAAAAAATGGTGTAGCCTCTTTGGAAAACCATCTGGCAGGTGCTCACAATGCTAAACAGCTACCATATGACCCTGCAATTCCACCTCAAGAGAATTGAAAATATATGCCCACACAAAACCTTGTACCCTAGTGTTCATAGCAGCATTAATTATAATAGCCAAAAAATGGAAACAACACAAAAGTCCATTGGATAAACAAAATGTGGTATAGTCATGCCATGCAATATGATGCAGCCATAAAAAAGAAATGATGACATGATTCATGCTACAACATGGATGAACCTTAAAACATTTCGAAGTGAAAGAAGCAGACATAAAAAGTTATATATTGCATAATTTCATATATACAAAATGTCTGGAATAGTCCAATCTATGGAAACAGGAAGTAGACAGTCATTGCCAGGGGCTGTGGGGAAGGAATATGGGAGAGACTGCTCATTGGTGGAAGGCTTCTTTTTGGGATGGTGAAAATGTTTGGGACTTAAATAATGGCGATGGCTGCATCACTCTGAATGTACTTAAAACTACTGAATTGTTTAAAAGGGAGAATTTTATGATACCTGAATTATACCATTGATACCATATTTAATTATCATAAAAACTTTATATCCACTATATGCACACTAACATTGGCAGGGAGAGAAAAAGTAGCCCGTTGGTTTACGTTTAGGACTGAAAGTCCAAAACTATTTGGGTGACTTTGGACTCAAATCATTTGGCCCTACTTTCTTCTGAAAAACTAAGCAAATCGTAGCGAATTGGTACCGAAAGGAGACTGAATATCTATTCCAGCTTGAGGTTGAGAAGGCGCATGTGGCCAGGAGCACAGAGCCACACGGGAGTCCTGTGGGCCCCACCCAGCTGTCCTTTCCCACCTCTCCCACCCTCCCCCCACCCCCACCTTCTAAATAACTTCATTGAGCCTCTTCTCAGCTGTGTTGAAACTCATCACTAAGGGCTGGAGAGCATTATTCATGACACATGAAATCCAGAGACACGTTAAGAATGTGCCAAATGAAGATACAGATGGCGGAGACTGAAGCCTCTTCATGGGCCTGAACCAGGGCAGCTCCTCTCTGGGAGACGTGTGGTTTAGCACTGTGTATCCTAGGATGACTGTCGAACACAACAAACAAGGCAAAGGGGCAGTAACTCCCTTTTTGGCCACCGTTGCAGGGTCGCTGAGGACACTGACCATGAAGACATGATTATTAATCAGAACAGAGGAATGTGGGCCGAATGGGAGTGACGAGCTCCCAGGGCTCTTGACCCTTTTTCTACAGTGACGTTTTAAATGCTGGACTGATTGAAACAGCTTTGCCTAAAACCCAGAACACGTGCCTTTCTAGACCCAGGCAGTTTCCTAAAAATGTGTTTTGAGGTGGCTGAGAAAGCACGCTGACAATCACCTTGTTGCTACTTTCCAATAAGAAGTTTAAAAACATTATAAGCCTTCCAATATTGTATCCCGTGATAACAAAATATCAGATAAAACGTGGCCAGCAGCTGGCTGCAGATGTCCAGAACTCCTGGCCAGCGGACTGTGCAAGCTTACTCGGTCATTTCATTAATCTCACAGTAACACAGCTCTGAGTTTTCTGTGATTGAAATTTTGGGGACCCCAGCTACCGCTTTCTCAGAGTTTTACTATATTTAGAAAGCGCTACAGAAACGGCACTCACCACTTTACCTTAGTACAGAGCCTCCAGCACCTTCCCTGGCCTCTCTCAGGCCTCATTAACATTGAAACATAACTTTTAGAATAGTTATAGTTACAAAGCGTTTTTTGCTTTTTTAATGTTTTTTGGTATGTATTTTTGCATAAAGCTGCATCATTTTTCATGTTGATCCTTCCTAATGATTAATAATCCAATGAATCAAACTCACATAAATCATTTCCCTAAAAGGACACATTTGGGTTGATTCCAGGATTTTTGTCTATTGCTTAAAAAAAAAAAGGAAAATAAGAAAAAGCTGGGGCTGGCCGAGTGGCTCAGTTGGTTAAGAGCATAAGCTCTGAGCAACAGGGTCGCTGGTTCGATTCCCACATGGGCCAGTGAGCTGTGCCTGAGCTGAGCTGCCAACAGGTCGCAGGATGGCTCAGCTGGTGAGAGCACATGCTCCTAACAACAAGATTGCCAGTTCGACTCCCGCATGGGATGGTGGGCTATGCCCACCTGCAACTAAAATTGAACACGGCACCTTGAGCTCAGCGACCGAGAGCTGCTGACAGGTGGCCAGATGGCGACTGGACTTGGAGCTGAGCTAGCTGTGCCCCCCACAACTAAGATTGAGGGACAACAACTTGGCTGTTCCCCTTCCCCAATTCCCCAATAACATCTTTAAGAAAAAAAAAAAAAGAAAAGAAAAAGCTGTAACCAACATTCCTATACCCACAGTGAGTTTTCTTATGAAGTATTTTTCAAAGTCTGCTCCACAGACTTGAATCACTGGGGGAGGGGAGGCTGGTTTAAATGTCGGGTCTCAGGCTCCGTCACACACCTACCAGTGTGGACTCTCTGAGGCTAGGATCTGAGAATGTACATTAGTAAGCCTCCTAAGGGAGTTTTATGCTCACCGGAATTGAAGACTAACTCAAAAGACAAACTTCTTGGAATAGGCTGCATGGTTCATTATGGTAACTACCAGTGATGGAGTGCTTACTGGGAACTAGGAGGCACCGGGCACAGCATTTAACCCGCAAACAATACACTTACTTTATGTTAACAGGGGAGGGAACGCTCTCCGGTTAAGTAACTTTTCCAAGTTTACCTGGCTAGCATCTCACAGGACTAATATTCGAGCCCCACTGACTCTGGAATCCATGTCCTTCATCACTTGACTACACTGAGGGCAAAACATTCAGCAGCTAGGCCCCCCTCCAAAAACGGAAAAGAAAAAAGCCCATGCTTTGCCATCATAGCTCCCCCAAGATAGCAGTCGATCTGTGAACCTTCATTTTCAACTTAGTGTAGTCCCATGAGAGGAATTGGAAAAATCTTGGTGAAACTCGGGCCTTAGGCTGCTCTGCCTGGAGCCAGACCCTGAGCTCAGAACAGACGCAGAGATGGAAAGCTCCACAGAGGAAGGAAAATGGAGGCAGCAGGGTTTCTTGATTTCCCAGAGTGCCATCCACTAGGAGTCTCACCTGACCTTTGTCAGAAACCAGCAGAGTTCCAATGGGAAAGGCCCGTTAGGAGGTGGACAGGGTGCGTGGCCCGGAGTCTGTGTGCTTTAATTTATATTCAGTGCAATGAGTATAAATGTGCCCCCAATCTGTAGTCTGTGATTTGCTGTTGTTTCAGAGTGATCTAATGGTTTTCTCCATGCGTACAGTTAATAGCTATGATGATTCCATCAGCCTCCACGTTGTCGCCCAGGTTTAGCTGTGTCAGCCACTGGAAGGTTTGGTCTAAAATCCATTGCAGTGGGTCTTTATTTTCTGCCCAGTTGACACTGAGAGCCAACAGTCCTCCATCTGAGGACACGTGCAGGAACCCCCTATTGTGAGATTTAGCAGAGATGCTGCACTGGGATTCCAAGCTCAGTCAACAGTCCCTACAACTGGGCTGTAAGGTTAGAGAATATTAGCATCTTGATGAGAGGGGACCACTGATCTGGAAGCAGTGAAACAATTCAGCCTTCTAGCACAGAACCCTGAACTTGGAAGTGGGCCAGACGGGCCTGATCACAGAAAGGCGCCTCGATGGACCCTTGCAGCAAAGCCCTGTCCTCTCCTGGATTCTCACTGAGATTCGTTATCTGCTTTCCCACCCCAAGGAGATGTTGAGCCGTAACAAGAAGGAAATGATAGAGGAATGCAGAGGTGGGAGATGGGTGTTAGACAAATTATGAGAATTGTCAGCCCGGAGCCATGACGGGGGAAGAGAAAGTAAAAACACACAAACACCAAGAATGACATTCTTACATAACCAACAGAGCTGTGCGGGGTTCACAGAGAACGTCAATTTCTGTTCTTCACTGTTGTGGTTTAGATGGTGAGAAAGTGTATCTCTCCTGGTGGCATTGTCAGGTTGAGCCTCTGCCAGGAGAAAGGGGCCGTCACTACTCATGGAGGAGTCCATTGTTTTAGCCTTCCAACGTCCCCTCTCTGGGTCACCCATTCTTTCTTTCCTTTTTTCCTTCCGGGTGAGCTCAGAGGAGGACGCACAGAGACAGGCCTTGTTCTGAAATACCTTCTGCACACGGGGTTCCCGGGGGGCAGAAATGCCTCGGTGCCCCAGGTCCTCATCATCATCACGGACGGGAGGTCCCAGGGGCACGTGGCACTGCCGGCCAAGCAGCTGCAGGAAAAAGGCGTCACTGTGTTTGCCGTGGGGGTCCGCTTTCCCAGGTAAGAGACTCGGTCACTGTGGGCCAGCCCTCGGGGTCAGCCTGGGGACCATGGTGCGCCTGAGAGACTCACAGCCACGGGAGGGGACGGGAGGGGAAAATCCGCCACGGTCCTCCCAGGACCTGTCTGTTCTTCACCTGTTAGGCTGTTGCTGGAGCACGCTGAGTCTGGAAGCCTGACAGTTTGTTTGCATTGTCTTCAATTTAGCCTGAACATTTGGTTGTCAGTGCCAGAAACGCGACTTGAATTTATTAGGGAATAAGTGGAAACTCACGGACTCATCTAACTGTACCGGCTGGGTCAGGGGTCCCTCAGAGGAGCCAGAGACTTGAAAGCCATTGAGATTCTGTCCCCCACGCATCTCTGCTGTCGCTCAGCCTGACTCTCTCAGGAAGTTGGAACTGGGGCCGCAAGCAGCACCCAGCTCACATCTTTCCAACTCCATCCTGGAGAGAAAAGGCCCATTTCCCCGGTTTCAAGTTCAATAATCCCAGAAAGGATTCTGAGTCACAGGCCCACTCCTGAGGCCAGGGGATGGGGCTCTGTGACTGGCTACCACCCTCCAACCACATTTCTCCAGATGCTGGAACATGCCTTCCTAGAAGAGAGGCGGACACAGGTCCTCAATGCTTTTAACCCTAAAAATGGAGGTGACTTCTATGGGCCCCTAGTTGTGGGTATTCAGTGAAATGACTCTGGTCAGGGTACCATGCCTGCACATAGAAATCCCTGTATTAATTTTTAGTACATTATTCTCTCAGTCAATAAGTATAGGTTGTCTTTCTCATGCCAGGTACTATTCTAGGTTCTGGGGACACAGAGACAACAGTACAAAGTCCCCGCCCTCAGGGAGCTTCCATTCTTGGACAGGAACTAGAAAATAAACAAGTGAATGAATAAATATTTCAGGTGAAAATAAAATGCAATTGAGAAAAATAAAGCAGGGTAACAGGTCACTGATTGATGGGAGTGGAAAAGATAGCTATTTTAGGTAGGGGAGTCTGTCAAGGCTCTTTGAGGAGTTCATTTTTGAGCAGAAATGACAGGCAAGGCCGGCGGATAGCAAGTGCAAAGGCCCTGAGGCTATAGGTAGCTTAGTGTGTTATAGGAACAGCAAGACAGCCAGGGAGTGGCTGGAGCCCAGCAAACAAGGAATGAATTACAGGAGGTATAGGAGGTAGGTGGGAATCAGGTCTAGAGGCTTTGTGGGTCACAGTACACTTTGGAGTTTGTTGTGAGTAGGTTGGGAAGTCTTTGGAGGGTTTTGAGCAGGGAGATGACATGAATTGGCTTATATTTTTAGAAAATCACACTGGCTTGGTTTCTAGGTAGGGTATAAGCTGGCACGGTGGGGCAGAGGGAGCAGCGATAGCAGGGGAAGTGGAGAAACTAGCTAGGAGGCCTAGGAGCAGCTCACAGAGGAGATAATGGTGGCTTGTCACTGCTGAGGCATGCTTAGACTGAGGGTATGTTTTGAAAGCAGAGCAACGAAGTGGCTGGTGAATTGGATGTGGGTGTGTGAGAGAAGAATCAAGGATTCGGGCCCAAGCCCCGGGGGGAATGGCGGTGCTCTCGAAATGGGGACGACTGGAGGAGGAATAAGGGAATTGAGTCCTGTTTCAGACAGATCAAATCTGAAATGCGTATGACCATCTAAACAGAGACCCTGAGTAGACAGTTGGATGGAAGAGCCTGGGGCATCAGAGAGAGGACAGGCCTACAGATTGAAACTGGGGATGGTATCTGAAGCCTAAATAAGATCACCAGGGAGCAGTGCTGAGAGAGAAGACGACCAAGGCGTGTGCAGGTCAGAAAGAGGAAGAAGTTACAGTGCAGGAGACTGATCCCCAGAACCGCGGGGATGTCCCGGACTGTGCCGTGTCCCGGTGGCGATGATGACCACCACCATCTTCATCATCACCGTCATTGCCAATAAGTTGGTATTGAACACGGGCTGCTTTATTGTTGGCTCTTTTGGGAGGACCTTGCTGCATGGCTCACTGCCCCCTTCCCTATGTAGTGCCAAACAGAGTGCCTTGGACATAGCAGTGCCAAGGCCCAAGGTTTGTCGATGAGGATGGAATTTACCACACGGTAGAAATACATGGTCTGTCTGGGGGGGTGGGGGTGGGGGGGTTCTTCTCCAGCTGCTGGCTGGAACAGCGCTTCTCAAACGATCTGTGGTCAAGGTCCAGTTTGTTTTGTTATTTTTTTCTAATCCATCATGGATTGATACTTTTTAAAAATGCAGCAGAAGTGAATTCCTGGAAAATGACAAAAAGAAAGACAAAATATAAGCTCACCTGTTTCTCACGCTATGTAGCAGATTAAAATGACCCTGTCACGTTGCTGTACAGCAAGTTTCTAAAGGTTTACTCCCTGTCTGCTTGTCGAGTTTTGGACCAGGGTGAAACAGGTAGGGGACCTGTACCGGCCCCCAGACCACGCTTTGAGCGTCCATGGCTTAGAAATCAAGAAGCCATTGGTCAGGAGGGGGCATTGCTGAGATACGAATGGCCTGAGCTTCAGACACAGGAACCTCTGAGGAAGCCTCCCAGGCCCACCCGACCCCTCCCCCCACCCCTAGCCAAGGGCCGGTCACTTAACCAGTAATACTCAGAGTGTGTTCCCTGGGCCAGCAGTATTGGTATCACCTGGGAGCTTGTTACAGATTCACACACTTGGGCCCCACCTCCTTGATTCTAATACTCAGCGGTTCTCAACCTTCCTAATGCCGTGACCCCTTAATACAGTTCCTCACGTTGTGGTGACCACCAACCATAAAATTATTTTCGTTGCTACTCTATAACTGTAATTTTGCTACTGTTATGAATCGTAATGTAAATATCTATTTGTTTTCCGATGGTCTTAGGCGACCCCTGTGAAAGGGTCATTTGACCCCCAAAGGGGTCGCGACCCACAGGTTGAAAACCACTGCTCTAGGGTGAGGTGCCTCAGTTTGTGGTTTATCTGACCATCGGTGACCCTGATGCCCACTAAAGTTTGAGAATCACTGCTGTGGGCAGCATGAGGCTCTATCTATGTGACTCTTTCTCCCCTTCCCCCGCCTTTTTTTAGTATTTATTGAGCCCATTCTCTGTTGGGTCTCAGCTCTGGCTAAGCATCTGAATTACCAGGGAGCTTTGAGGTAGGGTGGGGCGCAGGCAGGGCTGTCCACTGAATGCTGATGTGAGGTCAGGGCTGAGAAGCCCCTGTTCTGGGTGCCAGACCCTAGTCTCGGCACTGGGAGAAATGTCTGGTTTCTAAGGCTTCAGAGGAGAACGGGGAGTTGTACTTAAGTGAATTTTAGAGATGAATGAAATTTTTGCTGTATTGCCACACCTTGGCCTATTTTGATGAATTTTTGATGGGCAGGATTCTAAATGCATTACTGACTGCCCTGTCTCCTTAAAAAGAGGTTCCTCAACATCGTGTGACCCTTTCTTCATGCCCTAGCATCATCTTGTATGTGTTTTGGTTTTGTTTTTTTGTCCTGGGTACTAAATGATGTCCTCTGGCCAAGCGTGCTGACCCCTTCCTCTAGATGGGTTCACGTTGCTGGCCTTTGAGTTCTTATGTTCACTGTGTATAATTCTTCTGTTTATTTGTTTGTTTGTTTTCTGTTACTAGCTATCCTTGTTCTTCTCTTGGTGTCACCTAGAACCGCTTGCCTTTGTTTCATTTCTGGTTAGCTCTTCTCATCGGCTCTGGGGTACAGACCCAGACAGCTACACCTGTTAAGACCGTGTCTGACATAAGAGCCAACAGCTTGACTGTGAGGCTTTCCTGTGGGGAAGTTCGTGCACTGTAGGACACACACAGTGTGACCTATGGGGAGCGTCCTTGAGGCCTTTCTGTGGTTTGCTCCTGGACCTTAACTGCATCCTGGGTGGAAGAGGTTGTAGCTAAGTGGTTTCTGGATCAGGAGCCCATGGTCTAGAAGATGGGTGGGCAAGGGGAGGGTGGGTGTGGGGCGATGAAGCCATGTAACTTCTGTGCTGGGCTGGAGTGCAGGTGGGAGGAGCTTCACATGCTGGCCAGCGAGCCGAGGGAGCAGCACGTGCTGACGGCTGAGCAGGTGGAAGACGCCACCAACGGCCTCTTTAGCACCCTGAGCAGCTCTGCCATCTGCACCATTGCCTCTCCAGGTAAGGCCTTCCAGGCTGGGAAAGAGTGAACTTGCCCACATGGAAGTGGGGTGTGGGATGGGCAGGGTCCCCCAAGGCAGGTGGTCAGAACCCAGGAGCCTCCCCGGGAGGGAGGGCCAGAGGAGCGGGGGGGTATAACATCTCAGCCCTGGGCACTCTGCTCTGTTCTATCTCCCTGTGTCAGGCCCTGTAGGTTTCTCAGGAGGAACCCTGAGCTTGTCTCTCTGGGGTAGAGGGTCCCAGGGCTTGAGATGCAGATCTGGCAGGGTCCCTGTGTCTGTCCCCTTTGAAAGAAGAGCTACGTCAGGTCCCCTGCTGTGGTCAGCAAAGGGACGCTCTGGCTCCGGGTGAGATCCCTATATTCCTGGTCGTTTTTGTCAGGGTCCATCCAGTAGCTAGAAGGAAGTACAGTATAGAAAACATATATGCGTGCACAGGATGTAAGAGCTGTGTGGGCGGGGCCCGCGCAGAGATGCCCAGCAATGGGCAGAGCGGGGCCCTCCCCACTGTGCTCTGCCCTGAGGGGCAGGAGGTAGCGGCCAGGGCTGAGGGGGGCGGAACCCCGGGTGGCGGAAGGAGGCATAACCCTGTCTTCTCCATCGGGTGTGTGATGTGGACAGACTGCAAGGTCCAGCCTCACCCCTGTGAGCACAAGACGCTGGAGACGGTCAGGGAGCTCGCCGGCAACGCCCTGTGCTGGAGAGGATCGCGGGGGACCGATGGTGTGCTGGCCGCGCTCTGTCCCTTTTCCAGGTTTGTCCACAAGGTCTGGGGTCAGAGCCCAAGGGCATGGCCTGGGTGGGAAGGGAGGCCCCCAAGGCCGAGCGCTCACAAGCTGCCGGGAGAACAGGTGTCGGAGGAGGTTAGGAGTGGGGAGGAGCCAGGGACGGAGTTCCCAGCGTGCAGGGAGGGCCTCAGCTACTCAGTGTCAGTCTCACTGACTCACCACCCAGGCGCCCAGGGTGAGCGAGGGTGGCAGGGTCACAGCCATTCTGGAGGCTGGTAAGTGAGCCAAAAGCTGCTCTTACAGGGTAGTGGTCTGCACGTGGGATGGTGGTCTGGTACTTTGGTTCCTCTGAGCACCAGTTTCCATATTGACAGGGCTCAGTGAGGCAAGAGCCTTAAGATCTTGGGTGAATACCAGTGCCGAGGCTGTGGGGGATGCTGGAAGCTTTAGGACCGGCGCTCAGGCATTCCAGACACCTGCTCCCTGGCCGGCAGCTTTTCCTTCGAAAGTCCCTGACTGTCCCTCAGATTACCCTTTGATACAGCACCTGGTCAGCACTGGTTATCAGCCTCTCGCCCTTTCCGGGGGGCCAGGGTCGCATTTGAACCAGCTGTGTCGTTGGCCTGCCCTCCGTTGAGATCAGAGCCCGACAGCAATGAGATGGGTCAGTTGAGATGCTGCGAGGCTGGGCCAATGGAGAGTCCAGAGGCCGTCGTGGCAGGAAAAGGCTGTGCCCCGCACGTGGGTCAGAGGAAATGGGGCCTTGTGCCGTGTCCGAGGCCACTAAAGGCTCTCATCAGAACCTGAGCTTTCAAGTGAAAGGAGGCACCTCTTCGTTCTCCAGCGAACGTGTCCTAAGTGCTGCTCTGAGCCAGGCAGTGTGACCGGTATATCACTGCCCCCGAGACACTTGTGGTCCAGAGGGGCATTGGACAAGCAGACCAGTGACCCCCCGTGAGGCGTTCCAGGTGCCAGGATGGGGCCTGTCCTCCCTGGCATGTGGAATGCACTAATGCTACAGGCTCCTAAAATTATGCTTGCATACAGTAAGCTCTTCATCAATTCCCTCGTTTAAGAAATACTGGGGGCTTCCTGTGTTTCCCGCACTGTCTCAGGTCCTGGGGATTCAGCATGAACATTTCAGAAACAGATCTGCCCTCGCTTCATGAGGTGACATTCCAGTGGCAGGAGGCAGCAGTAAACAGATGAATACATAAAAATAAGTGCTATAGAGAAAAAGAACACAGGGGTGGGTTTGGGTGGGGTAGGCGGGGTGGTGGGGAGTGGGGTTGCAATTTGAAACGGTGGACCTTGCAGAGAATGTGGCACCTGAGTCCAGACCCTTGGGGTCGAGGACAAGCCTTGTGCAGGCTCTAGCGAAATCTGGTGACCAGTGTCTGTTCCAATGATGTCGACTCCAAGTGCAGGGAAGGGCGGGGCCCGCAGAGCTTCCTGAGCTAGGACTTGTGGACATAGAGAGGGAAAAGATTTCTCTTTAATGAGCTGGCAGCTTGACAAACTTGATTTTGGAAACTCGGTGAGTTCCTAATTGACTTGGCTTTTCTCCCAAGTGGATGTTTGCTCCAGGATAGACTCTGCTGTAGAAGTGAGCCTATTAGCCTGCTCCTGCTATGGGCAGCCCAGGGTGCGATCTGTTAGAAGAAGGCCTCTTGGGAAAACGTTGGAGAACTTTTTTGCTGTGGCCCAAAGAGGAGAATCTCCTTAGCTAAGGCCGTCCTTGGAGCTGCTGCCAATCAGGAGGAGGGCTTTCTGCCCAGGGATATATGAGGAACCGCTCATGCTGCTGCCGCCCTGTCACCTTGGGGACTCAGGCAGGTCAGAGGCGAGGCCCCGAGAGCTGAGTACTGGGGCGGTGGAGTCAGGATCCCAGCTCTGCTGTGTTCTAGTAACCCAGTGACTTTGGTTGACCTAATTCAGCCCTCTGAGCCCGTATCTCCATCTGGAAGATGGAAGTAACTGTCTCTTCAGGTAGCTGTGGATTCAAGGTAATGGTTTGGACATCTGGAGCGTGGAAGTCACCACTGGAATGGTGGCCCTTGTGTTACCACAGAATGTTAGGGCTCAAATGGACTCCAGAGGCCATCGAGTCCAGCAGTTTGAAAATCCTCTTGAACTGCGCAGCCTCATATGGACACTTGTGCAGACCAGCGGGGTGAAGGGGCGAGCTGTGGCACTGGGGGAGGCCTGGCACCCTGGCTGCCCAGTCTCCTTCTCTCTCCATTTGAGGCTCCAAGGAATGCAGTTGAAAACTACAGATAGAGTTACTATATAGAAGAGGAAACTGAAAACCAGAGAAGGAAAGTAACTTGCCTGGGGTCACACAGCCAGAGTCCAATTGCCTAGTTCCCAGTATGTCCTGGCCCCTGCCTCCCCCTGCATTGTGCCGACCCCAGGAAGTCACTTGTAACCGAAAGCTCTTCCCACAGTTCAGAGCTTTGAACACAGACATCTCTCACTTCTGACATGATAGCCAACCTACATTATCTTCTGTTTTCAATTGTCTCTGGGTAGTTTGAAACAGTCCCTGGTCTGTGTGCCAATAAAAGCTGGGGTGGAATCAAGAAAGAAAACACGGGGGCGTCTTTCTGGACTCACTTCTGCGTTGGAATTTTATGTCAGCGTTTAGTGTTTTAAATAACCTTCCAGGTTTCTGCCCTCCTGTGAAAGCTTTGATCTCTACCACTTGTTTCCTTGGATTGTAGCTGGAAGAGAGTGTTCTTAACCCACCCCTCCACCTGCTACAGGACCACCTGCCCAGGTACAGTCTGCCTCTTGGCTTCTCCTGCTCTCTCTGGGCCCTGGGACTAGGCTGGCTTCTAAAGGGCATTTGTACTTCCGGGGCAGAGGGTGGGTATTTTTGGAGGCAGAGGAGCGTGCTCATGATGCTGTACTCATTCCTGACTTACTCACTGGTATTTTTTTCACTAAGAATGGAGTGGTGGCTTTAGAAGGACCTTCCATAACCAGCGCCCCTTATGCTGACATTGACAAGAGCCAGAGGAGGGTGTGCACTGAGCAGCGGCTTTGCAGACAGCCTCACACCCAGTGCTGAATTCTGGGCGAGATACCTGAGCCTCAGTTTCCTCCTCTATAAAATGGGGTTCACGTTTGCCCCAGGTCCGGAATCCCCATTTCCCTGTTCTGTATGATGAGGGGGTATTAACATGGGATCCGAGTGAAGATTCAGTAAATAATACCCACGGAAGTGTTTCATCAGCTACCAAGTCCGAAGCAGACAGTAGCACTTAGCAACACTAGTAAGCGTCGTTCAGCCTGGTTCCCTCGTGAGCCTTCACCGCTCCTCACCCGGGGGGTCTAGTGCACCCGACTGACCCAGGAGCAGAGAAACTGCAGTCGAGCGTGTTGGCATTAGTCCTCGTGAGGATTTGCTATTTCTGATGCGGTAAGGAGCCCGTCTCTTGGTAGCTGGACCAGCGGCTTTATATGCAGGCAGCGTGGCGCTTCCTACCCAGGGCGTGGTGATCCCCTTGGCATCCTGTTTTAAAATTCCAACGTTGAAGCCCAGGAAAAACTGAAAGTGTGGTCGTTTCTGCACACAAATTAAAGTTCGAGGACTTAACGGTTTTGGAACCAGAGTGACCTGGGTTCGAGTCCCAGCTCTGCTCCTTTCCAACTGTCTGACCTTCAGCAGGTGATTTCTAGTCATTGAGCTTCAACTTCCTTGTGTGAAGTGGGGTTTTCCTAAGGGGATGTCAGTGAAGTGAGATCATGTATGTGGGGTGCTTAGCACAGTACCTGGCACAAAGGAGCTGTTCAATTAAGGCCACTGTTGGTGCTGCTAATGAGCACCTAGTTATTCCTGGTACTGTAGCTGACAGAACGGCAGGCCTAGGTGCTTTTGACAAGTATACACTTGAATTACATTGATGTGACTACTGAGAAATGTGTCAATATTTTTAAGCGAAAGGGACATGAATCACCAATTTCACTGGTAACCACACTCAGCTGCTCATCAGGCCTTTGAATGCATGACACATGAACTCATGAAGATCCTGTCTGTTCTCTGTAACCCTGGGAGGGAGGGGCTATTATCTGCATTTCACAATAATGGATAAGGAACTGGAAAAGGAGCTTAGCTATCCGACCCCAGGGTATCCATACGTAGATTGGATACTTCTGAATGGGCCAGATTTTGACATGGGCTGTAGTTTCCTGGGTGAAATATCACCTTTGAAAGAGGCATTACTCATAATTTGCACTTTGCATGCAAAAGCAAACACTGTCTTACCTGTATGGAGTGCTTGCTTCGTGTCAGGCTTTGTTCTAAGACTTTCCATGGATCAGTTCATGCAGTCCTCACAATAACACTGGAACAAGTTTGGCTATCATCACCCCTTTTTAGAGGAGGATACCAGAGCTTGTAGGGCCTAGTGAGGTTGCCTGCGTTAAGTGGAGGAGGCCACATTCATTGACTCCAGGACCCGAAGGCTCTCCCTCTCAGTGTGCCAGCCTGCAGAGGCTGCTAAGAACAACCACGTGTAGAACTTAAGAAATAGCACCATCCACACCACAGCCTTCCCCGAGTCTTGAGACACCTGCGCTGTTGCCCTGAGGCTGTTGAGGTCTTCATCTTTATTCAGGTCAGGTCCAACACCAGTTAATCATGATGGCTGCCTGGAGCCCCTCCAGGCCTTCTTAGCAGCTGTTGGTTATTAGGGTATGTTGTGTCGGCTTCTAGGGCTGCCGTAACAAAATCACCACAGACTGGGGGGGCTTAAACAACATACATTTATTTTCTCCTAGTTCTGGAGGCTGGAAGCCCAAGATCAAGGTGTCAGCAAGTTTGGTTTCTTCTAAGACCTCTCTCCTTGGCTTGTAGATGGCCATCTTCGCACTGTCTTCACGTGGCCTTTGCTTTGCGTGCATCCCTAGTGTCTGCCTCTTCTTATGAGGAGGACACCGGTCATATTGGATTAGGACCCACCCTATGACCTCATTTAGCCTTAATTTCCTCTTTAAAAGCCCTATCTCCAAATACAGTCACGTTCTAAGGTACTGAGGGTTAGGACGGCTACCTATGAATTGGAGGGGGGATGCGCTTCAGTCCACAGAAGTCCAGGCTCCATGGGCACATCCTCAAGTGAGCCTGGAATTCGTGCAGGGCCCTGCGGAGCTCACCACTGAGTGTTCTTTGCCACCCACGCCCAGCTCCTCGTTGACGTTCCTCACCTGCTTCCTTTCCCCCCTTTGCTACAGGTGTTGCAGTTTCCTAGTCTCCAGAGTAGGAGGGAGCTGGGCTGTGGTGGGGCGGGGTGGCCTGCCGGACTCATGCCTCTAGCGAACGTGCTAGGCCTGTTAACGGGCATCTCTCTGCTAGGCCCCTGTGACTCACAGCCCTGCCAGAATGGAGGCACGTGTGTTCCAGAGGGACTGGACAGGTACCGCTGCCTCTGCACGCCGGCCTTCCGAGGGGAGGCTAACTGCGGTACGTATGCCCAGGACTTCTAAGACGGGCCCCTGGGGAGTGGTGGGGCCCAGCTCCCTGTTCTCACCTCCTACCCTTCTAGCCCCTAGGTAGAAACTGGCCCTTACGTTTTAGAGCCACCTACTTCCCAAGTACACCTCTGCTCTGATGTCTCATGTCATATGGCCTCGGAGCGCTTGGTGAATAAATCCCTCTGGTTGTGAAGCTCTGGGGAGGGCAGCAGCTCCTGGCTTATTAGCCTTAGAATGGCCTCTGCTTGACCTTTGAGCGTCACTGAGCCCAGCTGCAGGCTGGAGCCAGCCCAACTCGGGGTCCTGGTTCTGGGAGAGCCTCTTCTCCCTTCTTCTAGGATGAGGAACAAGGAGCTTCAACCCTTTTTGGGGTTCAAGATATGAAATGAAAATTATAGGGTTTACCCCCTAAAGTTGTTGGGAGCTCAATATCAGATTATGCATGGAAGGTGCTTGCTTAGCACAACGCTTGGCACATAGTAGGGGCTTGTTAACTTTTTAGAAAATATAGCACTGGGTCAATGGGAGGTTTATGTGGAAGAAATCAATCTTGACTCCCCTACCTCACAAGCCACACAAAACTCAATTCCAGATGGATCATAGATCTGAATGTAAAAGGCAAAGCCGTGAACCTTCTGGAAGAAAACATAGAAGCATTATCTTCATGATTTCTCAAATAGGACACAAGAAGCATTAACCATAATGGGAGAGAGTCATAAAATAGATACATTTTAATTTTTAAATAGTGGTTGGGTGGAGACCCTCAGCCCAGGAGGGAGAGCTGTGTATCTAGCCCTAACTGGGACGATGTGCTCTAGTCACAACGCCCCTGGAGCCTGTTTCTCCACCCATCTCCCTCCCGGGAGGGAGGTTCCTCCTGCCCCATGTGGTGGTGGGAGGGTGACCTGCGTGCCGCAGGTGGCCACGGCATGACGGCTGCTGTGATTCTGACAGCCCCGGCACTGAGCCTGGAATGCAGAATTGACGTCCTCTTCCTGCTGGACAGCTCAGCGGGCACCACGCAGGAGGGCTTCCTGCGGGCCAAGGCCTTTGTGAAGCGGTTTGTACAGGCCTCGCTGAACGAGGACTCTCGGGCCCGCGTGGGCGTGGCCTGGTACAGCAGGGAGCTGGTGGTGGTGGTGCCTGTGGGCGAGTACCAGGATGTGCCGGACCTGGTCAGGAGCCTTGATGCCATCCCCTTCAGCGGAGGTGCCACCCTGACGGGCAGTGCCCTGCGGCAGGCGGCAGAGCGCGGCTTTGGGAGCGCCATCAGGACAGGCCAGGACCGTCCACGCAGAGTGGTGGTCTTGCTCACTGAGTCACGCTCCCAGGACGAGGTGGCCGGCCCCGCACGTCACGCCAGGGTCCGAGAGCTGCTCCTGCTGGGCATAGGCAGCAAGGCCCTGCGGGAAGAGCTGGAGGAGATTACAGGCAACCCAAAGCACGTCATGGTCTACACCAACCCACAGGACCTGTTCAACCAAGCCCCGGTGCTGCAGCGGAAGCTTTGTAGCCGGCCGCGGCCAGGTAAGGTCCCCAAGCCTGTGTCAGCTCCGGACTGACCTCGGCCTGACCCAGGGCCACTGGTCAGTGGCGGGCCCTTACTTTTATCAGTAAACCAAGACTTGTGCTAGGGGCTGGAGTCACAGCCCCACTTTTATGTATTAGTCACATGACTAGTAACTTCTAAGTTTACTGGTCAATAAAATGGGACCAATAATAGCACTTCCTGAAGGGCTTTTGTGAGGATTAAGTAAGACAAGCAGTGCAGTGTACACAGTACAGAGTACACACTCAGAAAATTTTAAGTGTTGCTATTTATTATTACTACTAACAATTATTAACAAGGAGCTCAGAATCTACTAAGCGTGCTCTAGACGAGCAGCTTTCCAGCTTCTTTGATGTCTGCCCACAGAAAAGTACATTTCCCAGTGTGCACATACATGCACATACACATGCAGCTGAAACAGATGTTTCATGAAACGAGACTTGTCCTTTCTACCTGAGATGTGTTCTGATGATATCTCCGATTGAGTTTCACAACCCATGAAGTTGATTCCATGACCCACCACTGGGGGCGCTCTAGAAAATGCTGGCCCCTGGAGTAGACCTCCCATCGGTGGGCAGGGCCTTAACCTGCGCGGCCCTGGTGATGTAGCAGCTGAAACACATCCTTGACGGGGGCCGCCTGACTTCTCCTCCAGAGAGGTGGGAGGTGGGAAGCTGCATAAGGAATTCAGCTCCTCAGCCTGTGTCACTCTCACCAGAGGTGAGACCTTCCTTTCTACAATGGGGAAGGATGGGGAGTGGCTGCCCACACCCACCTGGACCTTCCAGTCTGGTTTCTCCATGGCAGCCAGAGTGGGTTTTTTAAAAAATAGTTTTAGATTTACAGAAAAATGGTGACAAGAGTTCCCACATACTCCACAAGCCGTGTCCCTCTTGTAAGATATTAACAAGGTACATTTATCACAATTAATGAGCCAGTGTTGATAGGTTATTAAAGTCTATACTTTATTTAGATTTCCTTAGTTTTGACCTAATGTTGTTCTTCTGTTCCAAGGATTCCATCCAGGATCCCACGTTACATGTCGTCACCACTGTGTCTCCTTAGGCCCCTCTTGGCTGCGACAGTTTCTCAGACCTTGCTTGTGTTCAGAATGGTTTTTAAAAGCCAGTAAATCAGATCTTCTTACTCTGTACTTAAGTCTTTCCAGCAGTTCCCCTCTGCACTTGGAATTAAACCCAAATTCATTCCGCTGTTTTCCGAGAGCTCCTATGGTCTAGTCCCTGGGGGCTCTCTGCGGCCCCTGCATGGAGTAGGGATGGGGGAGTACCTTAGAAGCACACCCCTCACTCCTCCCCAGCTCACACTTACTCCTCCTGCAGTTCTTAGCGGAAACGTCACTCCTCAGAGAAGCCCTGACCCCTTCTCCCAATCTACTAATGGTGCATCTGCTGGCCTTCCCACAGGACCCTGATTTTCCCCTCATGGCTGCTCATATAATTTGTAATTCTCTGTTTGTTTCACGTCTGTCTCTCCATAGACCGTCAGCCCATGAAGGGCAGACATGAACCCATTTTGTCCACTTGGTATAATTACTATAGTACCTTGTATACAGTGCATGGTACATGGAGGGTGCTTAGTAATGGGATGGATGAGGGTGCAGGGGAAGTTGCTGTCATGAAGGGCCCCCAGAACTCAGTGGCTTACATACGATAGACGTTTATTTCTCTCACATAACAGCCCAGAGGTGAGCGGCCTGGGCCAGCGGGGTGGCTTGGCTACCTTGTGGCTCCTCCTCTAGGTCCAAGGTCACTGTTTTTCAGCCAGCAGGAAGGGTGGGGAGGGGGCGGGAGTGGAGGGCAAGCAGCTTCCTTCTGAGGACGTAACTTGGAAACTGTGTAATTACTTCCAATCTCATTCCATCTGATAGAACTTAAGACACATGGCCACACCACCTCTAGCTGCCAGGGAGGCTGGGAGTGTGGTCTAGCTGGGCGTTCATACGTCCTGCTAATATTCTAGGAGAGGGTGGAGGGCAGCTGCTGCAGTGGACACACAGCATACTGTCCCCGCCTTGCTGGCCTGGTCCGGAGGCGGGGTTCCGCCTGGCAGAGCTGGTCCCTGAGGCCCACCCTGCTTGCTTCCACAGGCTGCCAGGCCCAGTCGCTGGACCTGGTCTTCCTGCTGGACGCTTCGGCCTCAGTGGGGCCTGAGAACTTCGCCCAGATGCAGAGCTTCGTGAGAAGCTGCACCCTCCAGTTTGACGTGAACCCTGACGTGACCCAGATCGGCCTGGTGGTGTATGGCAGCCGGGTCCAGACAGCCTTCGGGCTGGACACTCATGTCACCCAGGCTGCAGTGCTGCGGGCCATGAGCCAGGCCCCCTACCTGGGTGGGGCGGGCTCGGCAGGCACAGCCTTGCTGCACATCCATGACAAGGTGATGACTATCCCCAGGGGCGCCCGGCCTGGTGTCCCCAAGGCTGTGGTGGTTCTCACAGGTGGGAGAGGGGCGGAGGACGCGGCCGCCCCTGCGCAGAAGCTGAGGAACAACGGTGTCTCTGTCTTGGTGGTGGGTGTGGGGCCTGTCCTGAGGGACGCGCTGCGGAGGCTGGCAGGTCCCCGCGACGCCCTGATCCACGTGGCAGCCTACACAGACCTGAGGTACCACCAGGACGTGCTCATCGAGTGGCTATGTAGAGGTAAGTGGGGGAATCCACACCTTCAGGGCTGCCTCCAAGGGGGGGGCCCTCAGCCAGAGCCTTCACATCTTTATAGGGACTCCAACACCTAGCGACTGAGCACTTTCAATGTGCCAAATTCTGTGCTAAATCCTGTGCTCATATGAAATCCTGTGGTGGGCACAACCTTCCCCATGTGACATTCAGGGTGCAGTACATTTAACACAGATACCCCTCCCCATACTTGAGAATGTATAAACCCCATTTAAACAAAAAGCATTGCTAGAATTCCCCCAGATCCCCCAGAAGGGTCTAAGGATCTCGAGTTAACAATGACCTTGGAGCATGAGAGCGCGAGGAGCAAACAATGCCAGGCCAGCCTGACTCCAAAGCTTCCTTTGGCCACTGGCATCCTTTCCACCTTTTTAAAAGTGTGTGGCTGTCAGAATAATCATAAGCACTACTACAGCACAGCACATCTGAGAGAAAGGCTCTCCATATACATGGAGGGAGGCGGGGTCTTCTCCCTGGCCAGGCAGTACGGAGCACCAGCCATGTGCTAACCTGTGGCTTAAGGCCCAAAGGAAGGTCTGAGATGTGTAAGACAGTAAGCACCCTAGTGGCCTCACATCTATCTGCCCTGCGTTTCCTTGAGGGGGTTGGGCCCTTAGAGAGGAGGGCTGGGCCTGGACACATTCTGTCTTATAGAAACCAAGCGGCTGGTCAACCTCTGTAAACCCAGCCCATGCATGAACGAGGGCACCTGCGTCCTGCGGAATGGGAACTACCACTGCGAGTGCCGAGGTGGCTGGGAGGGCCCCCACTGTGAGACCCGTAAGTGGGGCCCTTGCTGGGCATGTGAGCTGCGGTGGTATTCTGAGACTTGCCAAGCCCTGGGGACTCTGTTGAAGGCAGGTTCTAGGGTTTGCTCAGGGCAAGGAAACCACGCCATCATCTGTTCATTCATGCACGAGACATTTAGTGGGGGTCTCCTCCGTCCGGGTGTCGTTCTGGGGGCAGGGAATTAGCAGTAAACAAGACAGTAAGAATCTCTGTTCTCGTGGTGCTTCTGTACTAGTGCGGGAGATGGTAAACGAGGACAACATGGAGTGTATTAGATGGGGATCAGCACACTTGAGAAAAAGAATGGCAGCTGGAAGGCCTCCTAGAGGGGCCTCGGTCAGGGCCACAGTGGACCCGGAGTAAGTCAGGACATGGGCACAGATGCAGGTCGGTGGGTAGATGTGGTGTGAGTTCTTATTTGAGTGTTTCTATTTGCTCAGTGAAAACAGGAATCAGCTGAGAGTGAGGGTGGGACGGAGGTGCTGGAGGTTGGTAGAGAGAGAAGGGGACTAGACGAAGGACATAGAGGATGACTGTTGGGCCCACCTGGGGCTGCTGTTCATGAATTTAAAGTTAGAACAGCCAGCAACCAGAAGACGGTTCTGGATGGACTCGGGTTTTCAGCCACCGGCAGAGGATGGCTTCCTGAAGCCGGGGAGTGGGTCTAAGGGGCCCTCAGATAGGGCCTCTGATCTGGCTGCTTCTGCGTGAAGTGTAAGAACAGGACATGGAGGGGCCCTCGAGGCTGCCGGCTGGGTGAGAGGACTCAGACACTCCTCACTTCTTTCCCAGGGACCTTGAGAGGAGATACCCCCAAAGCACGTGGCTCCCGCCGACAGCCTGCAGCAGGGGAGCAGCAGGACCCCTCCCAGCAGCTACAGAGAAGGCCTGAGCACCCTGGGCGCTGACTGGGCGCCTGCCCTCAGCGGAGCATCCTGTCTCATGGGGGTCCTTCGAGTGTCTGCCTCCAGCTGTCTAGAAACCTCCTGCCCACTTTCCTCACCCAGGGATGCGAGATGTAGACCGTCTGCTTAGGGACATGGTGGCAGCTGATTTCATCCACTAGTGATGATGTTGAAAATGCTTGATGTGTAAGTAACAACTCACTTTCTGTACCTGGCTGTGTCCTGTTGAGCTTGTGTCACCTGCCACCTTTCCCCTGAGGAGAAGCAAAGGGACCCGGAAACTTTTGATGGCCTATTTAAAGCTTGCCCACAGCCAATGCTAAATAGAATGTGGTTGCAACAGGGATGCGCAAAAGAAGGCAGTGATGAGAGTGTCATTTCGACCACTGAAGCGGTGGCATTTCAAGATGGAAAAAGTATGGACCATTTTATCCATCTTTTCCCCAAAGATGTCCTGGATGCATTTGTTTTTCGTGTGCAAAGGGGCTTGAGTGGCATTTGTGACTTCTGGTGACTGGATTGGTGTGGAGGAGAGACTTGTCCCCAGGCTGGAAGGTGACTGATCAACTAGCTGGTGGGGTTATGGGGGAGGGGCGGAGTGTGCAAACAGCCCTGGTTCTGAGGGGCCACGTGCAGTTGGCCTGGGTACTGGGCTACATGCTCTAGGACGGGCTTCCTTGTAGAGTTTGCTTAGGAAGGGTTAACTGCAGGGTGTTTTGAGTGCTTTTCGTACTCTCCTTTTAGTGGGGCAAAAAGGCGAATTCTTAAACTCAACAAATACAGCATAAAGAAACTTAGATGGGTTTTGCTTTATGAAACATAGATCTTAGGTTGTCTCATTCTTGTTTTGCTTTTTATGGGTAGTTCTTAAATGAATGTTTCAAGAAATGACGTTGGGCCTTTATGTAACAGGAGTGTTTGTAGCACTATGGCAAACAGGCTTTAGTTGGGCTATTTTCTGGAAAACCAGGTACTTCCTCACCCCTGCAGTATTTAGGCACCATTTCTTCCCGGTGGTGACGTTGTTTTGAGTTCAGTTTTCCAGTAGGAAGCATTGTAGAGCTCTGACCTAAATCCAGACACTTTTTCATAGCTTCTCTTTTTATGTAAGTAATGGAATGTTTTGATGTGCAGATATTCAAGGCTACCTTGATTTAAACACCACTTAGCTTTAAGAACTTCTGGATTTCTGGTACAAAGCACTTGAAGAGGTTATCGCCACGGTATTGTCAGATGGTGAAAATAAAAAGGCTGGTGGACCAAGACTGGGTCAGGACAGTCATTTGTGTCCAAGGGATATTTTCATTCCTGTGACTACGCTGGCCTTGGCAGAGGGTGACATCAGAGCAGGGTCACATGTCCACCCAGCAGTGGCTGAAAGGTGATGTTGGAGAACTTACATGAATTCACTGTTTTTAAGTTCACAGCAGTTTAATCATTTTATAGCAACGGCTGTTTGTCTGGTTCAGGGCTGGTATTTGGACGTCCCATTTGAATTGCTTGGACTTAAAATAAAAACCCACAAAACTGTGGGTTAGATATTGATGGCTTTACTGTTTCTAGTTTTAGGTCCCAGCCCTTGAAAATGTTTTACCTTTTCTAGTGAAGGTGCCACTGACTAGTTCAACCCTTTCTTTCAGCGTCCCCATAGCAGCAGAGGGAATTCCTATTTTACTGCCTAAACAGCCATGCCTTTTTCTTTCATTTAAATAAAACAGGCTTTTAATTTATACAAACAATAAAAAAAGGTTTTCCTTGTAAAAATTAAAACATGGCAGATAAGCCATAAATCTTTTATTTTCTCAGAATGATCCTGATTTCAACCAATTTGCTGAATGGCTGTAGTTCTAATAGTTAATTGATTCTCTTGCTTCTCCAGAAAAATATCACTTACCAATGACAGTTTTGTTTCTTCCTTTTGAAGTTTTATACTCAGTTTTCTCATCATTTTGCATTATCTAGGACCTGCAGGATAGTGTTTTTAAAAAAGCAACAGTGCGTATCCGCTTCTGGACTTGAAAGAACTTTTTCATCATTATATGTTATTTTCTGTGGATCGTTTTATAAAGGTAGCAATGCAGATTATGAAGAGTGTTTATCATGAATGTTGAGGTATGCATTTCTGCTTTCTTCAAGATTTTTTTTCGTGTTTATTCTGTTCATATGATAAATTACCTATTAGTATATTTTAAATTATTGAACCACCTTGATTCCTTGGATAAATGCTATGATTCTTTAAACACTGCATAAATGTGCTTATCTTAAAAATGACAGAGCCAAAATCTGGTGCAGTAAAAAGACAACCTTAAGGCAATATTGAAGACAGACCTGAAAAAGAGGCTTTAAGTACCACTACTGACCACATTTTTTAAATTACAAGAAAATGCTATGACTACAACAGCATAGCTCTGATGCCAAAAATCCAACACATTTCTTGCAAAAGAAAAAAACCCCCAATCTCATTTTTGGACTTATATGACAAAGTTCTTTAAAATAAGCACACTTATGCTAGAAACTTTAATTATTACTAAGTATTGGTATGTTTCTTTCCCCTCAAGAATGATTTGGAGTGTGTTTCAACGTCTAGGCTTTTTCAGTCACTTTCTGCAGATGTTTCCTATGTCGTTGGTACATTGTTACGTTACACTATTAAAATCCTTTCAATCTTATATCTCTGCTACTTTAAGAGGCTTAACATCTCACCTTGTGGTTCTACCAGTTTTTACTGCACACAGTTTGAAGTTCAGCGTGTAAATAACCAAGATGTTTCCCCCCTGAAGTAGAAGTCCACCAGGCCCTGCCCCAAGTCATTCCATGAAATACAAGAAAACCCCCCCAAAATACAATTAACATTTTATTAAAAAAAAAAACAAAAACAAACCTAACTCATCACTTGGTAAAGGGACACCAAGTGTTTTTTATGACAAAGGAAAGAAATGCCCTGGGATTAGAAAGACAATAAGAGTCAAAAGACCTTTTGTTCTCAGGAACCAGTGTTAGGGAACTAACTCAGAACCCCCAGAAATGAGGCAGAGATGACAGGTGAAATGGTTCAACCTGTGTTAATAAGCAATGCCACCCGAAGAAAGGAGTGGGACAGCACAAAGAACAGCGCTGCCCGTTTTCAGAGAAGAGGGAGACCACGAAAACAAAATTCACTACTTTTTCTCTTGGAAGGGGCCTGGACATTAAGCTCAAGTTCAAAAACAGGGACTAAGGTGGCATTATTTTAAATAACTCTTCCCTTAAGAATGGCAGGGCCACAGGACTGAATCTGTAAACACAAGGTAATCTTTTTTTTTCCCCCTATGGTAATGTAAAAAGTCAGTTAAATCTCAAAAGACACTCCACTGTTCTAAATCATAGGATTTTAAACATTTTTTAAAAAATATAATACAGCATCGCTTTAAAAAGTCCTTAATGTGGACAGTGCCTCAGTGTGGTCCCAGGTATTTTCTCCTTTGTTACCATTTCTCAAAAACTGGGCCATAGACGGTTTTACACTGGCGATATCGGTGCCATTGAAAATCACAACTTTCTGTTGTATCACTTCCTTTGGCTCTGAACAGGGACAGAGCCTCCTCTTAGCCGAAGCTTTCCATTTGCAGCTCCCCGGTCCTTGCTTTTCCTTCTAAACAGACTCACCCTCTGCCAGAGTTGCTGCTTTAATGAAGCAAGATTGTCACCAAGGTCCATACTGACAGGAGAATCTTTAGATGAAGCATGTTTCCTAACTGGTTCCTTTCTTCTCCCATTCCTAGGGCGCCATTCAAATACCAGCACCCACCCCCACAAAAAAAAAGGAGAAAGTTATATTCTGCAGCAATCTGCATAGGCATAGAAACAGTTAGCAATTATGTTTCAACCCCCGTATGTTTGTCGCTGTTTGGGGCCCTGTTATGAGGTTTTTGAGGCTGTGGCACAGCAGAGCACTGTGACTGAGGGGTGATATCTGGCAGGGCAGTGAGGGAGCTGGGGCTCCCCTGAATTTAATAGTCCTTGGTGCAGAGGCCTCAAAATTTCTCCAGCAGGTTATCAGGATAGAACTAAGGAGCAGAGTTTGCCAAAAACAAAGGCAGCTCTAGGCATGTCCTTTACTATATACAAAGGAGTAAAGGATTAATAACCCTTTTCATCTAGCCCTCAGGGAAAAACCCAGTCATGGCAATCCATTCCTCGTTCACACCTTCCTGAGCCATTTGCCAGCAGCTAGCTGCCTGGGCAGCTTCAGGCACATCCCATCACCCATCTGAACCTCTTGTTTTCATGGCGGAAGCCCTTTAGAGTCACTGACTCTTTGATTTGAAAACTATCCACTCACAGTCTGTCTCTGCACTGCGGCTCCCTGCCCTGGAATCAGGTAGTTCAAGGGTTCCAGTGTCCTCAGGCTGACTGGTAAGAACCTTTCTGGTTGGTCAGTGCCAACGACTGAGTCAAAGGTACAGCAAAGCCCCATCCCCCGTGCCTCTTCCTGCTGAGAGCGATGCCCAAAGCAGGGAAACGCCACCCGGGTCAGAAGAGGGGCCCCCCGCTTAGGGACAGTTCTGCTGCCACCGGTGGCCCGAAGGAAGCTGGGAGTGACCGCTTACCTTGGCTTTCTGAAGGACCGAGCCTTTGCCTGTGACCATGACGGAAAGAGGCCTGTTCTTGAGGGCTGTTGCAGAGTTGACTGGGGTACAGTCTGCGGCACGGGAGGGGGCAGCAGCTTTGGGCTGTGGTGACAGGAGAAGAGCGAGGCCTGAGCCAGTGGGACGGAGATATGACCCAATTCCCCCAACCCTGGCCCAGGAGGCCCTGCCAGCATCTCAGAGGAAGCACGGCTCCTGGCACTCACTCGGGGGCTCACGTTCTCCAGGTGGGTGGTGTCCACGGTGGTGCCCAGGGTCATGGGCCCAGCCTCGGCCTTCTTCAGGTTGTCCTTCACCTCCACGATGCTGAGCTCGAGGTCCACACGCCTGCTCTCCTCGACCCGGCACTCCTCGTCGATGTCCTTCAGCTTCTGCTCCAGGCTGCTCAGGACGCCCTTGTCTGCAATGAGAATTAAGCTGGCTGCAGCAAGCAGTGTGTCAGCCAAGGCCAGGAAAAGGCCTTTAAAAGGCAAGCGGCTAGGTCATGGCTGACGGATGATAGGAGGATGACCTGGAAAAGCATCTAGAAGGACTCAGATTTCTTTGCAGGCATCTTACGTTTTTGTTCACGTTAAAGAAATGAAGGCTGGACATGAAGGATGATGTAGGACAGGCGTGTTGAATGCAAGGAGCATGCCCTGGGGTCTCGGGAAAAGGAGTTGGCACTTCATCCAAAGATGGACCAAGGAACATGAGTACATTTAAGTGACAATAAAATACGTAAGGTCTAAACTACAATGTTTAGAGATGTTTTCCTTTAACCATCTTTTTATACTACCTCCTGGTCCTACTGACAACAGGTCAGAGGGTCTCTCTGCACAGGACAGCAACCTTTCGGACAGGATGGAGGGGAGAGAGGATTTCGAGGGGGCGCATGCACCTGTGCCAAAGACTGGATCTGTGCACCTGGCCCGCAGCCCCTGCGACTCAGCCCCGGAAGCCCAAGCCCACACGTACCCCGAGCCGAAGGCCCCTCTGACCTCTCTGCCTGGGAGGCCCCTTACCTGTACATTTTAACAGGGTCTCTTTCAGTTCCCGTTTCTCTTTCCGGAGCTGAGCCAGGTGTCCCCGGATTTCTTCCTTTTTCTTCTCAAGCCTCTCCTTCTCCTCTGTGTAGCGCTTCACCTCGGCTTCTGTCCTGTTCTTGCCAAGTTTGATCTCTACAAACCCAGAGAGGGGAACTCCCAGGTCAGCCAGGCTGGAATGTGAGGGCTGTCCCCCACCCACTGCGCAGACTCAGGACAGAACCTGGGGCTCTGCCAGTAGCTCAGAGCTGGACCCAGGCCGGCCTCGCGGGAACAGAAAAGGGCAACTGGGTCCACACCTTTCCTGTGGGGCATTGAGCAAGTCCCTTCACCTCTATGAACCTGTGTCCCTCTAGGAAAGGGAAAGAATTGGCCTAACTTCTCTGACCCATTTTTTTTTTTTTTTTTTTTTTTGTAAGTGGTTTCCTCAGCGGCTGCTCAGCTCGGGCTGGACTTGAACTGCTGTTGCTCAGAGCTCAAACTCTTGAGCGAGCTCTTAACCAACTGAGCCACTCTGCCGGCCCTCTCTGACCCATTTTAAAACATTCAACTCTCATCCAGCATAGGCACCTGCAGAGGTCACCCTCAACCTGTCCTTCACAGGTGCGCTGGCCTCGGCATGGGTGACAGCCACTGGGTCGGGACAGCTCGGTGGGAAGGAGATTTTCTGCTGTTCAGTCTGGATTTTGATGGTCGTGATTCTCAGGGAAGGCTCTTCAGTCTCCAGACTCTCCCGCTGCTCCGTGGGCTGTTGGAGAAAGCAAACATGACTCAGCCAGGCCGAGAAAGGTGGGGCGGGCTCACCTGCTGGGAGACAGCCTGTACCTGCAGCTCTGGGGTATCTGTAGACTTCAGGAGGGGCTCATCTGGGGCAGGGCCTGGGTCTGCAGGGAGGGCTGCAGCTGGAGGGTCCTGGTGGGACGGTGTGGGGGAGCACTCCTGGGCCTGGGGACCCCCTGGGCTGTACAGGAAGGACTTGACAGGCGTGAGGTCCAGGTACACGCGGTCGGGGTCTGGCTCGCTTGAAGCATCTGTGGCGGGGGCTGCTTCCTCGGGGTCCACCTGTAGAGAAAGGGAGTCAGGTGGCTTTCACCATTGCCTCTACCCCCTGGGCTGTGGAGGCGGTCCCCTCCCCATGCTGGAGTGGGCAGGGACCCTCCCCTGGGGAAGCCGCCTATTGAGCTGGAGTTAGGCCAGGGTTCAAGTCCTGGATTTACCACTCGAGGTGGGAGACCCAGGACAGAGTACTAACTTTCCTGAACTTTATTTCCTCATCCGTAGGAGAGGATAGTACCCCCCTATCAGGCAGTTAGGATTAAAGGCGATAACCCACAGAAGCCCTTAGTGCAGCAGGGAGTCCAATGTCTGGTGACTAGAACCTGCTGTCAATATGATGATTCCACCTCCACTTTCAATTTGGGCTCAGAGGCTAAGGCTGTCACTGCTCCCAATCCTGACAGCACACTCCCGCTCCCAGCTCTCACTGACCAGAGCGGTTAACCAGCTGTTTCATCTAGACAAGCCCGCATGCCAGGCAGACTGCACACACCAGCATAAAAGATGACCTTGTTGCACCTAGGTTTCTGCACTGATGGCCCTGCAGGTGACCTGGAATCCACCCATCTTAGGGCCAATCTAAGATGGCATTGAGGTTTAGCAGGCGGAGGACTGGGAGCCCCGGGCCACTGCCCCACCGGCGCCCTTACCGCAGCCGTCAGCTCCGACATCTCCACGTCATCGTACAGCAGTTCCTGGTGATCCTGGCTGGGCAGGCCATCAATGTAAGTGTTCGGCTCGGAGAACTTTCTCTGCATCAGTCTGGAAGACACAGGAGGATTCAGCACCCACCGGCTGGGAAAAGCCACCAGTCTCAAAGGATTTGGCCGTGAATGCTGCCAGCTGTGCGGGAGACCCCAGGACTAGCTGTGGCCTCACTTGAACACGAATTCATTTATGTAGGGGTGGCCCTTCCTCACTTCCCAGAGCCTTCCTACGAGAACTCTCAGGTCCAAATTTCTCTTCCAGAAACACCAACTTCCCTTGCCCCACTCCCCTCCTCTCAGCATCCTTTTGGCATCTTCTGACTGCCTTTCAGGATCTCCTTCAACCACCACCAAATCCTCTCACTTCATCTTCACGACACACTTGGGACAGCACAGGCTGGAGACGTTCCCCGTTTTGTATATAAGGGATTTTGATTTATGGGCTCAGCCAGCTCCCAACAGGGCCCCTGAGCCGCCTGCCCCAGGACCGCTTCTCCCGGAGAGGGCCCCAGTTTGCTCATCTGGAAAGCAGTGCCACCTCTGCCTTGCTTATTCCAGGGTGCACGCGGGGGACCCAGGGAGGGATACATGGGAAAGTGCTGAATCAACAGTAGGGAGCGTCAGGAAACTTGCTGGGAAGTGTCTAGCCCAAGCTAAGGATCCTGTGGCGGCTCTGGGCCCGCGGACAGGCCAGGCCTCCCTCAGGGTGGCAGCCTGGCCCGGGTCCTCCCGTTGCTGGTAGAACAAGGCTGGCTGACCAAGAGTTCTCTGCTGCCACCCTGCTTGACGGGCCACCAGAGGCCAGTTGGGGCCTAAAGACTAGAAGCGTGACTGGGAAAGGGAGGGTGTAAAGCACAAGGCCCTTCATACTCACAGCAGAGAGGTTTTGGCCGCACTCACAATACAGGAAACCCTATCTGCATCCACATAGTCGTAGGTGAATTCTTCTGGGTCTGTCTTAGAGCCCGACTCCAAGAGCAGGAGGCCTAGCCAGTGGCCCATTTCCTCAGAAGATTTGGCCTAGGGGGAGACAGAGAGGGACATGGCAGGTCTGGAGTGTGCCCAGCCCCTCACTGGGCAAGAACGGCACCCCTGCCCTGATACTTAGCCTGGGCAAGGCATCTCAGAGAGCCTGGGGCCACGCTCTCTAATTTTCACCAGTCTACCCCATCCCTCAGGGACCCCAACTAACACTTCCTGCCATTAGTGATACTTGGATGCGATGGACATTTATAAATCACAAGCACCACGTGTGATTTATATACATGTATTTCTAGAACACTAATGGACAAGGACAGAACTATTAAAATTACATGCATTTTAGGTTGACACCTCTATGTTTTGAACTGTCACATGTCAGGGTATCACCCTAATCCCTACATACGTCACTGCCTGGATCCCCTGCTAAGAAATAACGAAATTCAAATTTATTTTTGTTTACAGTTTCAAGAGTCAAGATGTCTTAAATACCTTACACCAGGGCAACAGTCTCCTCTAAATCATGAACTAAATCCCATGGAAATTGGGGCTTGGGTTTTGTTTTCTTTTTTTCCCAGGGGACAATGCATTCTAATCAAATACATACACTGGATATTTCTATTAAAATGCCAGTGTTGTTTCTTGCCTTTATAATGAGAAAAAAATGGGAATTCTATAAATACTACAGGTTTAGTTTCGTGAGAAAAAACAGCTACCACTTCATCTTACACAACACAGCTCCAACACCTCCTGCTGTGCTCTCTGAATCCTGGAGGCAGCTATGAGCTGGGTTGGATATTTAGCTGGTTTCCTTTTCCCATTTATTTTCAAGTGGGTTTCTCAATAAAGCTTTTCACAGTCATCCCCTAGTTCCTGTTACCACCATCTCTGCCCTGGGCAATGGGAACAGTTTCTTAACAAGTTCATATTGTCCCTTATCCCCCCTTCCACCTGGCCCATCCCCTCCAACAGCTGAAGGAGGCATCTCAAAATGTACCTCTCAGCATGTCAAGCCTCCCTTGAAGCCCCTCAGGGTCTCCCATTCATTGCTCTTAGGATCAATCCCCCTCCCCTCCCAGCCTGGTCACACATGCTTCCGCCCCCACCCCCAGCACACCGGCTTTCACTCATAGCCACAGCACCCACCCTACCGTTTTTTTCAGCAACTGTTATTAAGTCATCAATTGGGTAATTAATTGAATAGCATCCCACTCTCACACTAGAATGTAAGTTCCATGCAGGCAGGGAGCTTTCCTGTCTTGTTTACATGTTATCATACTAAGCAGATATCAGTCTAGGGGACAGATGTGCAAAACTTGCCCCTGAGAAGCAATTGGGATGTGGATCTTTTAGCCACCAGAGGGCAGTACTGGAGCAAAATTTGGAATGAAGACCTCTGGAGTAGATGAAAAGGTGTGAACTGGGGAGTGTGGTGTGTTTCTGTGCTTAACTCTGGCTGGGGCCCACCCAACTCAATGCAAGGCATTATGTCACCTCTTATTTTGTAAATGTGACATTACATTACACAGAGGGTGGGGAGTGGGAAAAGCGTAATTGTATCACAAACCTGATTCTTCCCCTCCGATAAGCCCTAACGGTCGTCATTTTTGTGTACTGGGCTCCATCTGGTGATACACAAACTAAATCAAACCCACTGTGAATCCCCAGAAGGTTTTCCCAGCAGCTCGGGAGTTATAAATACTCCCTCCCTAAGTGCAGGAAGTAGCTCATTGTCCGCTCCCAGAACACAACCACCCTGAGGTCAGAAAGGGAATGGAAATGTTTCAAAAATGCAAACAATCTCAGGCAGAGGAAACAAAAATAATGCACATCTACACTGGGTCTCCAGGACTTGCCGCGAGCAGCCTCAACTTCCCCGCCCTTCCTGCCACCACGGGCCTCAGTACCTCCAGTTTGGCCAGCTCCTCGCCATTGTGCAGGATGCGGAAGGAGTACAGGTGGTCCGGGCTCGGGTCCGGGACCACCTCACAGCCCACCAGGCTGAGGGGCTGCTGGGCCACCTTGCTCCGGTTCCGGTCCTGGTAAAAGTGCAGGTGACTGTCCCTGATGCAGCACCAGCGTGACTTCCACTGGCTGTTCACCAGTATGTTCAGGTAACCTGCAGGAGAGGATGTGGCTGCAGGAGGGTGTGGCTGGCGACAGGTGTCCAGGCTGCCACTGCCCCTGGGCCTCCCGGGGGCTCCCCCAGAGCCTCCGTGCCAAGACTTGTCACGCTTTGCCTGAGAAACGTTCTTAACTCACAGAGGCTAATCTCATAGCCTGTTTCTTCCCTCCTCCATGTGAGCAGCTAGACCCTCGGAGGGTGGGCAGCACAGCTCCATTGGTTTTTGCCAAAGGTGTGTCCGGAGGGAAGTGAGCTGCGTCTTGGACGAGGCCAGGCCACGACGTACGTTTACAGGACGGAGGAACCCCCATCTGAGGCCTCGTCTCCATGGCAGTGAGCGCCCGGCTGCAGCACCCTCCTTCTGCCTCTGGTCAATTAGGCCACAGGCAGAAAGCTCGCCCCACAGAGGGTCTCCAGCAGGGGCAAACCCCCCCCCTGCCTCCACAGCCTTTGCTTTCCAGCTCCCGTGACGGCCTTGCCATCCCTGGGTCCCACCAGTCTCAGCCCGCAAAGCCCTCCTCCCCTTGGCCAGGTCCCTGCCATCCTCCCCAAGGCAGCGGGCCTTGGCCCTCCCTGGGCCCTGCACGCCCCGCTTTGCCTGCCCTCAGAACACGTGGATCCACAGCAGAGAAGTTCTGCTTCCAGGCCAGGCTGCAGCTGGACACAGAGCTTGTCAGGGGCAGGCACGTGCCATGCTCATCTCCAGCAGCCAGGCACTGCTCTCTGGGGCCTCTCCAGCAGAGAGCCCCTCTCTGTCGGCACAGAGAGGCTGCCAGGACCCCTCACACAATCCCTTACTATTCTTTCTCTAATGGCTGCGCGGGTTGGGTTCAGCTTCCCAAGAAGAGGATAAGCTTCTCCCCACTTCCCAATTAGATGAGCATTTAGGGACCTGACACCATGTGCCAAGCACAGCTTTGTTCCTGGGGCTACGAAGATGAGTAAAATCCAGTCTTCAGGATGGTCTGCATGTCCCATGGGTGGTGGCTGACATCGCTCTCTGTGCCGCTCACCTTCCCAGGGGCATTGGCTTTCAGTGCAGATGCATTCTCTACCCTAAGGGCCTGGCAGCTGCTCAGAACCTTAGCTGGGATGAACTAGACTCGTGCAGCAGGGTCCAAGTGCATGGCCACCTCCCTACCCACCCAGTGCTGGCCACACAGTAGGGATCATGGATTTCTCAGAGCCTTGTGAACATCACAACCAGGTAGCAAAGAATTTCAGACCAGGATCTACGACCTCTGGCTCATCTGGGCAGACACCTCACTCACCCATCACAGTTCTGTGGACCAGAGAGAATTCTGGGTCAAGAGAGATGGGAGCTCTGATGCTGGCTGAGTCCCAGGAAGGAGAGCACGTATGGTCTCTTTGACCCTTCCCCAGCCACAGGGGACAGCAGCACGCTTCACTGCTGAATAACTTGCAGCTCTGAGCCAGCCACAGTTCCCCAAGTGACTCACTGGGACCAGGCTCCCCTGCCCAACACCATGCCCTGAGGGCACTGGCACAGCAGGCCATTACCCGGTGCCTTGGCTGGGACGCAGAAGGCTCCAAAGGTGAGGCCCCGGCGGCTGCCTTCCCATTGCACATGGCCGCCTGGCAGGCCTCAAACAAAACAAACAGGGGCACAGGGACAGAGCCCAGCAGGAACATGGGTTCCGTGAGGAAGATGAAAGGGCTCAAAGCTGGACAGTAATGACCTTCAGGCCCTGGGGAGAGCTCAAGCAATAAGCCCCAGGTTGCACGCCAGGACACAGGCGCACCCCAGGGTGTTTTCTGAGAAAGGTCTCTCTCTCTCCTCCGTTAGTTTCCTCAAGGCTGAATGAGGGCAGTAGAAATGACCTGTAAGTGTCTACCAACACCCATACACACCCTCTGCCCCCGCCACATGGGCGTTTGTCGGCCCCTGAATGCATCTCACCAGTTTGCATCTCAGAGTCTTTGCTCCTGCCCATGGGCGCCATCCCAGCCCACTCAGCTCCCGTCCAAGCTGCAAGGCTTGGGTCCAGGAGTCCATGTCTGCCCAGAGTGGGAAAGGTTCCTTCTGTCCCCAAGTCCTTCAAGCGACTAAGACAGCAGGTATGTGGTCACAGGTAGAAAGCTATCATCTCTCTTGAGCTATAAGCTCTCAGGACTGTGTCCTCTCTCTGCTTGGTCCCCTTTCCCTAACACTGTGCCTGCCATGCCCTCAAAACATTGAGCAAACGCACAGATTTTTGAAGACCATTAGGAGGACAGCAATCAGTTACCCTTGACTTCCACAAAGGATCCTGCATTGCAGCAAGAGAGGGTCTGGTTAGACATGAGAACTACCTGCAGTGAAGATAAACAAACGGTGGGCTGTGGGCTCACCATCCCAAGAGATGTTTCTAGCAACACCTAAGACCCCCGCCTTGACCATCTGAGCTGCCTTCCTGGACATGGGCTCCATCCCAGCGGACAAGGAGGCGGCTACAGTTCTTACTGGCTGTCTCGAGGGACCTCTCTGGAGGCTCCAGTGAGGTAGATTTCTTCCTGCCCAGGTTCATTAGGTTGCTCAGTTTGAGGCCAGCAGAACATTTCTTCTTGACTGTCAAGATGAGCGAAAAAGCCATTAGCATTGCCCACAGCGTACCGACCCGCCCTTATGAAAGGTGGAAAAAATAGTAGACCCCTCCCACCACATCTGCCCCTCCCTGCATGTGCGCGCGCGTGTGCGCATGCGCACACACACACACACACGCCTGCTCCCCAAACCAGGATCCACAGGCCAGAGTCAGGTGTCTCTACAATCACACACTTGAGAGGGGCACACCAACTTCTTTTATAGAATGTGTCAGCACTTGGCAATCTTTATAGACTGTATTGGCTCAAAGAGACTTGCAATTTGAAATATGGCTAGCAAATAAGAAGAGATAAGAGAATATTCTATCCCTAGCAACTCATGAAACTTCAATTTGGTCATCTCTCCCTCTTTCCTGAATCTGCCAGCTGTGGTTTTTCCAAATAGTTTATAAATTGGAGGCATGTTGGAATTAGCTGTTAAAACTCATTAGAGCTAAGCCAGACAGCCGAGTCTCAACCCTCAATGGGCTTGAGATCCCCTCCCCTCCCCATCCTAGGCTGAAGGCCATAGCGTCGGTACCATCTTTGGTCTCTGGGACCTCAGGGTGGCCATCTACGGAGCTTCCATACTCTGAGGATGACAGGTACTTCTCAGTTATATCTGGCTGTGGAAGAGAGAGAGAGAGAGAAGTGGGTGATCTTACCTGGGAATGCCTACCTAGGAGATCACAATTTAAGAGGAAATAATAGATTACTCTTGAATGTAGGCCAGGGGGTCACCCTGGAGTCCAGGTTCCTGTGGGGGGACACTGGCCGGGCTTCCCTCTGGGGCTCTCTGGAGGACCGGCCTTCACCCGCCCTTCCTAACATTCCCTGCCCTGTCCAGAGCGCCTTCGCCTTGTTCACAAGTTCTCGAAATGGCTGCACAGCCGGATGTGACAGTGGCCCTGAGGCCTGTGGGGAGGGCAGGTGGCCACCCCCAGGGGTGGCATGAGAGTCAGCATCCTAAATGAAGCTGCTGTCAAGCTGGGGACCACCCATACCTGGAGCATGAAGGAGACTTTTGAGAGCTGACTGTGCTACCAACACATCAGGCTTCAGAGAAGGGCCACCCCGTCTGCACAGGGGCCAGACCATGACGTGGGTGCAGGCTGCACCATTCTCCAGCCAGGTGGCTCTCGGAGCCCACTCTGCCTGTGTGTGACACAGGGCTAATACCCCTGTCTGCGTTCCCCGGGGCTGCTGGGAACAAGAGATAGTCCCTGCAGGAGTGCAGGAGCTGCTGCTGCTGTTAGACCAGGAAGCACTCAGATTAGTCCAGTCAGGCTTTTTCTAGAACCACTTGCTCCAGCTCTCTGGAAAACAAGCCAAGGGACCCCAATCAATGGGACCGACCTCAGGCGGGACCAAGGACGGAGGTACCTGGCCAGGGAGAGCTCCTGTATCTCACCACAATGTGAAGAAAACCCAAGTGTACTCCGGTTTTTGTTTCTTGTCGATGGCCAAAGAATGAGTGAGACAACTGAAACAGCCCCTCTTGAGTCACTCTAGAAGGGCCGTGGGTATTTCTCTACTGGGGGTGGCCGTTGCCTTCCCAAAGAACAGGGGGCCTCCTCCCTGCTGAGCGCCCTGCATGCCCTCTATTTTCCTCCCTGCTGGGGTGGGGACCCCAAGATGAGCCACAGTGACCCTCAGGCCTCAGGGCACCTACCTGCAGAGACTCGGGGACATGGAACCGGACATGACCCCACGTGTGAGGCCTCCCCCTGGGCTAACACCCCACCCAGCTTCCTTGACTTTGAACTGTAAGCAGAAGCCCTACAGCTCCACGCAAATTAGCACTAGAGCCTTTTGGTTGGGATCAACATGGAGACAGTTCCCCCAGCCCCGGGACCTCTACTGGGGCATAAGTGGGGAGAAAGAGCCTCAAAAAATAAATCCCCCTGCTGAAGAATGGAGGGCAAAGTGACTTATCTCTGTAAAGCTCGCCCCCACCCCCCACCCAAGCAAGAAAATACTGTAGGTCTGTATCCATTTCATTCGTTTCCTGCCAAGCTGACGTTTCTGCCTTTATCTAAGCATTGCACGTTTCTTACTAATTGGATTGAAATGCTACAACAAAGCTCCCAATTTTATACGTTTAAATTTTACGGAGAATAAATGGAATTGAACTGTCCTTCCAGGAGGAGTGGAGACTTACCTTCTGACAGTTGAGACGCTGGGCATCTGGGGTGTACTGGTTTCCCTCGGACGTGCCTTCTGAAGGCAGGCCGCTCACCTCCTGGATGACCTGAAGGAAGAGGAAAGTTGTCAGCAGAGGCCCAGGCCCCCAACGCTCTTCCGGCCTGGTCTGCACTCACAGCCCAACTGAAGCTGGTGCCCCCAACGCCAGGAGAGAGTGGGTAGAGGTGAGCGAGAAGGTGCACGCTTTCCCAAGCACAGAGAACCACCCCACCCCAACACCTGGCCCACATGTGGCCTGGGACCTGGCTGGGCAGGCTGCAGTGGGGGCAGGGTGGGCAAGGGGTTGTTGCTTAGGCCCTCTCTCCTGCAGGCCCCCACATATTCTGGGGGTGGGGAGGGTGGGCTTTTATAACAAAGCCCAAAGATGACTAGAGCAGCCAGCCCTCAGCTCTGCAGGCCTAGGTGGGGGCACACAGGTCAGAGGTGGCTCTGGTTACACTAAGCTGCAGCCCAACTCTGAGCCAGGGGCCACCTGGGGGATTCCCAGAGGCTAACAGCCCAGAGTAGCCATAAACACACCGCAGCACCAGAAGCCCTTTGGGGATAAAGACGTAGCAAGCATGATTTCAAAGACGCTTCTTTTTCAGTCTCTGCCTAGAGCAGTTTATGGAAAGAGGTTAAAATCTAAAAAGCCAAAGAACATAAAGGAAGAATGGCCCTGGGGTCAGGGAAACTTAAGGCATTTCTTACTCTTGAGATTGGCCTTGGGCCTAAGCCTCAGACACCACCTCTGTAAGATGGGATAACACGTCCGCCACGGGCAGCTGTGAGGACTCGTGTGTAAAGTACCCAGCACAGGGGAGGCAGGATCGTTACCATCGTTATTAGCTGGGGCCTAGATACACGGTCGCCCTGCCCAGGGGAAGCATAGAAAGTCAGGGGTCCAGGTTCAAGGGCGCGGGGTTTCTGCTTCTCTGAGAGAGCTCTGCCTGTGCCTGCCTTTTCTGGGACTCCTGTTCCGTACTCACCATCTCCTATTTACTGTCATATACCTGCCTTGCCCTGTAGGCATAGGTACGATTATGCAGAGTTGAGACTCAGAGGCCCAGGGCAGGAGGCAGATTTGACAAAACAGATGCATCTGGTCCTGAGCCCACTGGACAGGCTAACCAGCCCACCCAACTGCACCCAACTGCAAGTGTGTGCAGCTTCTCAGGAGTCAGGCCCTACGGCCAAGTTCACCTCTGTGTGCATCTGACCAGAAGGAAAGGGCCTCTCTGTGGAGGCCAACAGGGAGGCTGTGTCTTCTCAAAGTGTTCTTGTCTTTAAACCACCAGCAAGATGGGGGTAGGGGGTGGGGGTGGGGAAGGGACTCAGGAAGAGGGCGTGAGAGTTGGGGAGGGAGGCTGGGAGTTAGGGGAAGGACAGGTGGGTCTGAGCAGGAACACTGCTGGGAACTGGGAGTGAGAGCAGTGTATTACTNGCAAGTGTGTATGCATGCAAGCATCTGTGTGTATACAGATGGAGTGGAGGGTGCCCCGGAAATGCATCAGTGTGGCTGTGACACGGAGGGGGCAGGAACACTGCTGGGAACTGGGAGTGAGAGCAGAGTGTATTTCTGTGTGTGTGTGTGTGTGTGTGTGTGTGTGTGTGTGTCTGCAAGTGTGTATGCATGCAAGCATCTGTGTGTATACAGATGGAGTGGAGGGTGCCCCGGAAATGCATCAGTGTGGCTGTGACACGGAGGGGGCAGCAGGAAGGAGGGAAGGGACTCTGGCTCTCTCTGGCCTCACCAGGGGCCCTGCTGGACCTGGAGATCCCTCTGTAACTGGCGGCCCCTTCTTGGTGCAAACCTTATCCCTCTGGAATTGTCCAGCTCATCTTTAATACGGGACAGGCAGGCGTTCCCAGGTGCTACATCACGGTGAGAGCAGGCCGAGCTGACCGTGTGCATGGGTGCGGGTAGGACACAGGACTCTGGCCAGACAGTTCTAGGTTTGCAACCCGATGCTGCCACTCACTTGCCAGGTGACCATGACTGGTGACCTCATCTCTCTCAGCCTTACTCCCCATTCCAAAAAGGGGACATTAACATGACCCAGCTAGCTCCCTGCAACATGGTTAGGTGGGTTAAATTTACTTAAAGTGTATGGCCCATGGTTAAGTACTAAACAAGTGGCAGTGACATCTGTCCTTCTTTCATAAGGAGGCTGGTGATGTCTCACTAGAAGCCGGGAGACAAAATGATTTCAACCAGAGCCCAAGTCCAGGTGACTGAGAAGCACACAGACTTGGTGGCAGGGTGCTGCAATCCATTTCCCTAAGACTGACGGCTACACTTAGCACACAGGAGGCCCTGGGAACCGGAAGGCTCATAGGCCCTTTGCCCTCAACAACATCCATCCCTTTGGGAAAAGCTGGACAGCCAGAACTGCAGGGACCCCGGGAGCCCTAGCAGGGAGCAGGCCTGTTTCCTAGCGGCCTGGCGGCTCCCTCACCCTGAGCCACTGCTCAGCCTGGTCCTTGCTCTGTAGGCCCAGCACGATCATGTCGGCGTTCATCGGCGTGATCTTCAGCTTGTGTTCCTTCTTCCGCACTTGCTTCTCCTTGTACACGACGCTGCTGCCCAGCAGGTTCACGTCCAGCTGAGGGCTGTGGTCCTTGGAGGATTTGTAACACTGGAAGAGACGAGACACTGCTTTGCCAGGGGTGCCAGGCCCAGCCAGAGGAGGGGCTGCTGGGCATGTGGGGCCCACGGGGAGCCGGGCTATGCCCCAACAAAACCAAAGCGCCAGACACCCTAGTGCAAGTCCAAAACTGTCACCTCAAATATCAGCAACTCTTGTTCTCAGCCTCCTTCAAGCCTCCTTCTCACTGGCTCCAGCACCTGCTTATCTGAGCTGCTCTAATCTCACGACAGGCCTGGGCTGGCTCCTAAAACGTGTCCTCTGTGGGCAACTCTCTGTGGGCAACTCTCAGGGATCCAGGGTGGGACATGCTTCTCCCCCTTCTCCACCTCTCTGCATTTCATGCTCAGCTCCCCCAGAAAAGGGGTCTGTAGGGAGTGAAGACTAAGCTTATCATCTGCTTAGTTAGGAAGATGATGTCGTTAGCAGAGAAAGGAGGGGACTTTCTTCCTCTACTAGAGGAAATACTGTGCCCCTCGGTTTCTCACTTGTAAAATGGGGGGCCTCACAGGGCCACGTGACAGGATCACCCAAAGGCACATCTGCACAGAGCAGGGCACGTTGTGACCAGTGAAAAATGGGTGTCTATAATGATGCCGTGGGGCTTCACATCAGGACATCAAACCGTGACTTTTAATTTAAAATCACAGGAAATAGGGCTGTGGTCAGAGTAATATTTTCTGATTCCTTTCTGGGTCTTGCCTTATAATCAGTAATTCAAGCTATTGCAACTTCTGAGAAAACACCTCACCTATGATTCTCAGGCTGCACAGACAAATGCCGTAGCCAGAATTGGGGCCGGGCAGCAAGTTCTGCCCCAAACTTCTTGGGGCCTGGATGGGAGGAAAAAATGAGCCCTCAGACCAGAGAACAAAAAGGTCCCTGGAAAAAACGTGTACGGGATAGGATGCGGGGAGGGGTGGTAACCACAGTCCCCTTTGACAGTGATGAAAACTACTAGACTTTCCTAGTTAGAAAAAACACATTCTTAGATGTTGGATCAGATTTAATTATTTCTTTGGCAATAATCATACAAATCAAAATTTTAAGCACCTTTGTGCATGCACGCAAAGGTCTACGTACAATGTCAGGTTAGGGAGAGGTGAAACTCCAATAGCAAAGGCACCAACCACCTGGTATCAGGGACCATCCCCTCCCCCGGAGAGAGAGAGGAAACCAGAACACGACGTTGAGACCAACTGACCAGGAGTCTGGTGTCCTTGATGACGCAGAGCTGCTTGGCCCACTGCCCCAGCCACTTCTTGCGCCACAGGAAGGCACAGATGCGGGCATCTCGCATCAGCTCGATGCTGGCCTCAGGCGAGGGCCACTGGTAGGGGGCCGACTTGCCCTTGCCGCTTTCCTCCTCGTCATAGGACTCGTAGGAGCTGCTCACAGCCTCTCCATCCTCTGCAAAGAAGACCCACTCGGTCAGGGCCCTGCCAGGCAGCGGATGCTCCGAAACATGCTGGTTTGTTCGGGAGGGAGGGCAGCAGGCCGGAGCGGCCACTGGTCCTCAGGCCACAACCCACCTGCCCCTCCATGCCCTTGAACCAGCTCCACAGCTGTCAGCCACACACCCAGGCAGGCTTTCTGGCCCCAAACCCCTGACCACAGCTTCTTGGATGCTGCCTCTGGCCACAGACACAAATCAAACCAGGAGTCTCTCCCGTTCCCTCCTCAAATCCTGTCATCTCAGACTCCACAGAAACCTCTCAGAAGTCACTGCCCTCAGTATGTTCTGGAAAAGGCAAGTTGCCCACTCGAGGCCTGTTTCCGCAGCTGAAGGTTGACGCAGTGGGGTGAGGATCCTTCTGGGTTCTCCGGGCCTGGCACTCTCATTTCAAGGGGCCGGGAGGAAGGGGTGGCCAGCTGAGCCGCGAGCCGGGCACGTGACAAGCCGCCACCAGCTGCCTCCCCTGCTGGGCCTGCTCTGTCCCTGGCTCTGTCCTGGGAGCAGCCAGGGGATGTGGCTCCTCATAAATAAAAGGCAAAATAAACCAAGGCAGGAAATGACTTTCTGGGGAAGGGGCCACCTTCCCATGTCTCAATGCGCTCCTTCAGGTCATAACCCTTTTAAAAAGCTACCCTCATCCTCCACAGACTCTATTCTCTTTCCCTCCCCACTGAACACCTCTCAGCACAAACGTCACTCCCCCTACACCTTTCCAACTCATATGCTTTCTCTGCCTCTGGCAGCGCGCCAACCTCACATTTCTGTTCTGTTCAAAAGAATCCCAAAACTCACCAAGCACAAACTGCACCCAAATCTATGGACACTCCACACGCCTCAGTTTCTGCCCCTCCACCACCCTGCAAGAGTTGCTCTGTTCTCCAGGCCTTACTATGCTATTCAAGGCCAACAAACACTAGGTAAAGAAAAAATTAAATCAATAAAACGCCCAGAAAGAAGGAGACAGAGAACCCCAGGATCCCTGGTCCAACCCCTGGCTCAGCACAGGAAGCCTGCCCATTGTAACCACGATACTGCTGCAGCCTCTGCTTGAATTCTCCATGGATGGGGAGCTCACTACCTTCCAATTGGTTCCATTACTGGGCAGCTCTATCAGTTAGAGTGGGCCCACCGTCTGCTCATTTCCCTGCGACTTCTACAGATATGTTCTGTCTCCTTGCGTCAGGGTAAATGAAGCCTCTCTTTCCTCCCGGTGATGCCCTTCAGAAAAGTGACAGCCCACAGGCCCCCTGTCTTTCCTTCAGCAGAAGCCCCTGCTACTATCTGCGTAGCTAAGTTCCTGCATACTCAGAAAACAGAACCACATTTGAGTTTGAATACAGGAAAATGGAATGAGGCCAATGCCACAGTTACTCTGCGTAGTTTTGCCAATGAAAACGTGTTTTACGTTGTTTTAATATTTAAAAATAACACTTTAAATATTTTCATATCAGTTTTCTTTAAAAGCAGTGTGGTACCATTCCCCTTCGTGGCTTAATAAAAATGTGGCACAGTTCATAATTTCACACCTATTAAATAAGCAAAGATTGAAAATAGTGGTGCTACCCCGTGGGGGACCTTGAACCCTCCTATTGCTGGTGGCAACATAAATGAACTCAAGCCTCTCAGAAACAGTCCGGTAGCCTGTTGTTTCAAGAGCCATCAAAACACCCATACCCTTTCACCTAGTAATCCCGGTCCTGGGAGTTTATGCTAGGAAACTAGTTTTTTAAAAAGGAAGGAAGAGGGGGAAGGTTAAATGCATTAAGATATTCATTCCAGTGCAATTTAACAGTCAGCAGAAGGGGAATGGGGCGAGTATGATTTCATCCACTTAGGAGCATACCATGCAACTGTGATCAATGAGAACTCTGAGGCTATTCTGCAATCCGATAAACTCGATAAATATGACGGCTAAGTGAGAAAGCACATTTAAAATTCTATATGCAAACAGATCCGTGCTCAAAGGCAACAGGGAGGACTCAAGGTAGTTGACTGGATCTGGTGGTAGGATCAGGGTGACTTTATTTTTTTAAAAGTCCTTACTGGATTATCTGTACAATAAGGGACATGAGAAGAATGATGCAATGTCACTGGGACACCTCTTTCAGTAAGAAAAACGAGCGGGGCAGGCTATGGAGTTGAGTGGTGGCCCAATCCCCTCGCCATTTTGTGTTTCTAGGGCTACCTCACGTGTTCCGTGGAGAAATCTAACACCTGTTCTTCCTCTGAGGGGTCTGGGGAAGCGGAGAAGAAACGACAAATCATAGTACCTCAAGCTACCTGGACATTTCAGACAAATGCATTAATTTTATTTCTCTCTAAGAGCAATCACAACACCACCATAAATGTAGGATCTTCTTAAAACAGATACTAGGGTCCCAGGGTAAAGAGGAGTGAAAGGCAGGATGATCAGATAATTCCACCCCATTTTCGCTGTCCCCAGGTGGGCTGCCTCCCACTGTGTCCTGTAACCTGTCCTGAGGGACAGAGGGCACAACAACCATGCAGCACTCTGAGTCCTTCAGCCATGCTTTCAGAGGCCACAGGCAGGGTCTGTGGAAAGCAGCAGAAGTCTCTCCTGGAAGCACGGCACATGGCATGCAGGGCACAGGGACAGGGACGGGGAGAGGGCAGAGGCCATGCTCGGGGCATGCACCCCGTCTCTGAGAGCCAGGCAGCAGGCACAGAATCAATGGCATTCCAGCTCCGGGACAAGCAGTACCTAAGGTGATCGTGGCGTAAATGACTCCTTCGGGCACCTGCACCCATCTGGGGACTCCAGTGGGGGGAAATCTGCCAGAATGACCTGTATGATATCCAGAAGCACAGACAAAAGCAAGATGGAGAGAGACAGGATGAAGAGAGGGACAGACCCAAGTGCAGAGACACCCGGAGAGGGGCCCAGGTGTGGCGGCGTGGCTGCCTGACCACGGGAAGTTAGCGCTTTCCCACTGGAGGTGGGGGCTGGTCAGGAGAGACCCCAGCCCAGCCAAAGACTTCATTTCCTACCTGTTCACATCCAGAGATGACCATATGACTACTTGCCACCAATGGAATGTGCGTAGAAGCGGTGTGTGTCACTTCTGGTTAATGCTTTTAAAAAGCACATGGGGATTCTCCACTCTCTCTGTGCAGAGGCTCCTGTGGCCTCAGAGGGCGGCCGAACCCGCACTGGAAGGAGCCTGGGTACCTACACTGCCTGCTGACCAGTAATATCCATGCTGAATTGTCTGGGAGTGAGAAGCAGATGTGTATTATTACTGTGAACTCAGAGAGAATTACTTGTTACAGCAGCTGTCATTCCCCCAACAGGAGACATCAGCGAAGGTGCTGATATCGTAGACAAGCAGGACAGACACTATTATCCCCTGCACAGGTCGACAGGGCACTTATTAAAGTTTTACTCAGAGACAGGCACCTGACTCTGTGGAGCAGTGTGGGGACAGTGCTGAAATAGCAGGACAAGAATGTCAGGTGCTGGTCTTTTGCAGGAAGTCAGCAAAATCGCTGCTGGCCAACGAACTAAAGGGGCCAGAGGCCAGCAGTCATTTTCCCTGTTCTGGCCTGCGCTCCTCGTTGCTCAAACAGGTATGGGGGACGACAGGTAGGGACTGGGGGTGGGCCGATTTATATCACAAGTGAAGGCCCCTCTGTGAGGCAAGTGTTGCCAGCCCTAGTCCTGGCAGGAGAGGACAGACAATCTGGTATCTTCCCAAACCCCTTGCTGCGTTTCAGCTGCCCTTACGATGACCCCCCACCCCAACCCCCATCTTGGCAAAAACCAATATGAATTCATAGTTCAGAAACAGACACCGAGCAGCTCAGGTCCTTCTGACCACTTGTTTGTGTCGAGGTGAAGTGTCTGCCCCGCAAACAGGCCCCCGGGAGTGTCTGGGCGGCAGGCCCCAGCTGGCACGGGCCACACCCGAGACAGCTGGGCTGAAGAAGCAGAGAGGTGAGGCGCTCACCCTGGTGAGTCACTGCTTCCACCTTCCAGACGCAGCCAGACAGCAGCACCACACCCTCAGCTTTGGTCTGAAATCACAGCTCAGCTGGTGACACGGCAACGCCTCACGCACTCAGTAGGTTCAAGTGACATCTGCCCACTAAACCCGCCTCTTAGAAGAAAATAACCTCAGACCAAACAGGCCCTCACCTCCCACACAATTCCAAAGAAAGAGAAGAATCCTGCGCCCTTCTCATCCTGGGTCCTATTCTTTATGGAACCAATGACGCCACCCCCTTCAGCCAAGTTCATCCCCACTGCCAGGGAGCCTCATCTCTTACACTGGCAAATCGCTTTATGCTTTCAAAGACCTTTCACTGACAAAGAAAGGAAAGAGAAGGAGGTAAAAAGGGGAGAATGAGAGGACCGGAGTCCAGCTGCACAGGAGAATAGGGTCACAATCATCTCTTCCTTCCAGAGCCTTTGGGGCTTTTCTGTGTTAAACAATTCCTACGCCAAGACCATTTCTGATGTGACTTCCTCAGGCTGAGAACCACTAGCCAAGGACAGATGGCTCCAGCATGAGCCCTGCCCTCATAGCACAGGCAATCTTTTTAATACCTAAGTTAGCTCAGCCACCAAGTAACCCTCCAAAAGCTTGGGGTCTCATTCAGAGGGAAGCCAAAGTCCTCACTGTGGCCTGCAGCTGGCTTCTTCGTCCCCATCTCCCGTCTCTCCCCTCCCTCCACCTCACCTGCTACATTGGCCCTGCCCTCTTGCTGTTCCTCAAACTTGCCAAGAGCTCTCCTGCCTCAGGGCCTTTGCATGGACTATGCTATCTGGAAAGTTCTTCCTGCAGTTCTCTGCCCCACCCACTTCATTCAAGGTCACACTATGTAAGGCCTTCCCCATTTAAAATAACACCCCTCTCCTGCCTCAACCCAGACCCTGCTGTTTTCCATCTTTATCACCACCTGACACATCCTATCTTTATTTGTTGTCTGTCTTTTCCCACAGTACCTAAGGGCTGTGACTGCTGAGCTCTCCGAGCACCCCGAGTTCCTGACTTCTAGAAGCGTGCCTGGCAGACAGTGGGAGTACAGTAACTGTTCGTATAATGAAAGAACCCTGGAAACTGGGCTCTGCCTCAGCCTGACCACATTTCCCTACTTATAAGGGCCTGGTGTCCTGGGCCAACACACCTCTCTGTGCTGAATCCAGCAACATGCAGGCCGGAACACCAAAAGCATCAGACCCGTAAACCGCTGTGAACCATCCTGAGCCCCTCCTTGCAGGCGGCTGCGTCTGCTGTAGGTCTTGGCTTCCCCCCAGACCAGAAGCCCAGTGCTCTGTGGCCAGTTCTCCACTTGGGCCATGCTCTCTGATAACAGCAGCCCAGGCTGTCTGCTTCCAGCACGCGCATCTGTGTAGGAAGCAGTTGACCCTCCCTCAGAGCCCCAGCCCTGCCCCCCAGGATGTACCGTTGAGGGACATGTCATATGGCTCAGCCTCTTCATAGTAACCCTCTGGAGACTCGATCTTTGGGACGGAGAACTGTTTCCGTTCTGGAATCTGTGGTATGAACAAATAAAACAAACGTTTTCAGATAGGACACACTGGCAACAGCTTGGAACTAACCATTTGGGAGGAAGGAAAGAAGGGGAAATTCAGAAGAAAAAAAATGCCCGGCTGGACTTCAAGCAAGTTGGGGGCGGGATGGGGGGGGAAGAACATGAAACACCAGGACTCCCGCCAACCACTGCGTCCACAGGGGTTGCTTTGCATCCAGGGAGGGGCTGTGGGCATGTCGCTTGACCTCGCTGAAGCTCAGCTCTCTCCTCTGCAAAATAAGGCTCGGACCCCACTGCACACACCAAATATCGTTGTGCATGTGACACATAACACACTTAAAGCCCAGATGATGTCAGGCCGCTGTGGTAGCTATGATGGCTTCTAACTAGAGTATACGTTCTAAAAAAAACAAGGGCTATCTGAGGCACACAGAAGAAGATGACCAGGTTTCTAACTCTCAAACTTTTATCATAATAAGTTCAGCCATTCATTCAGCAAACGCTGGATGGCTCCCACGTACTAGCTGCGAGGGACGAACCCAGATGGTCAGAAGTCAGTGCTGAGAAAGACTGAACTAGCTGGTGAATGTTCACAGCTCCTGATCAAGTGCATCGTGAGTAGTGCTATAATGACGAGGTCCAAGATCTGGGGGAAGCAGTGGGGTGTGAGGAGCATTTAGGACTAAGAAAGGATGCTCAGACAGGACCTCTGGGTTGCGTCTCAAAGATGACCCTGAGCTGCTTTCGTGGCATAGAGGTGGGTGAGTACCATCTGAACAGAAAGCATAAGCCACTGTGTAGAGGCAAGGAGCATGAAATCATCTCGATTCCTCCATTATTCCCCCTGTCAAATGGGTACTGGACTCTGAAGCGAATCTTCTAAGCAATATCAGGGGAGAAAAAAGAGGCCGATTGTTGCATGGCTGTTCGTATACACAGGTCATAGATGTATAAGCATCCACCCGCAGGAGGCTCCAGTGTCCTTCTAAATCACGAAGCCCTGAGGAATATTCATAATGAGTTGAGAACAGAAATGAGAAAACCTGAGGCGGATCCTCACTCCTAGTTTTGAGAAGTCCTTGTGTTGAGTGTTCCCCCGAGGGGCAGGCCTGGGCCCTTGGGAAGTTCTAAGTGAAAGCAGTGGGAGGTTCTTAAGATAAAAGGGGGTGGTGGGGGGGCACCTTGAAGAGGAGGCAGCCAACGGAAGGACCCCACAGGGCCCTGAGCTCAGATGGATACCTGCTCTGCTGGCAGGAGAGGAGGAGGGATCCAGGAACCCCTGTCTTGGAACATGAGCGTATTTGCAGGACCTGTGTCAGGACAGCTCCACTAGCACTGGCCCAGAAGGTGGCCTGGGCTCACGTCTCCACGGGACAGTCCTCAGCATGGGCAACGAGAGTGTCCACTCCCAGGGCTGCCTCGCCAAAACCAGGGTCCCCAGGGCCAAATCCTGTGCGGCCTGGCATCTAAAGGCTACTTATGTGAACTCTGGAGTGAACCGACTGGGTTTGAATCCAAGCTTTTGGGCTTCATAGGCTTCACCGCCGGCCTGTGACAGCCTCTCAGAGCCGCACGTTCCCTCTCCGGGAAGACAAAAACAGTACTGGGGTTGTCTTGCGCATTCCATGAGACAAAACGTGGTAGTGTTTCTCCAGGGCCTGGCCTGAGGTCACCTCTGCAGGGGGCTTCCACGGCCCAGGGGTCCGCAGGAGCCAGGCTACTGGACTGCCGTCTGACAAGCTGCTGCCAAACCCAGGTCCACAGGAGGGTCGACAAGGCCACATCGGGGTCCAACATGGGATCCTTGTCACTTCGTTGGCCTCAGACCAACAGAGCTGAGGCGAGTCCCAGAGGCAGGCTGTGAACAGCTTCCAGCCCAGCAGGTGCAACAGCCACCACGCAGAAAGGAAGAGAGTATTTCCTAAGCAGACCAGCGGCTGCCCTGGGCTGGCAGGTGTGGCGGCTGAACGGGGACGGCTGTGAGTGGCACCTCGGACCCGGGCCCTCCTAGAGACCAGGGCCTTGCACTCATTGTACATAGTTGGTCACTGCTCCTGGGTGACCTTTCACCCTTGCTGCCACCCACGGGCCTGGCAAGACGTCTCTGTTTCTCTCAGCTATTCCTGGCCCCTTGGGCAGCTTGAGAAAGGGCTGTGGTTCTCTTAGAGCCAGCTTCCCGAAGTCCCAGGGTACAGTGTCCCTCGCCCGGGCAGCAGCAAGGCCTCCGCAGATGGGACCTGGGGCCTCACACTTCCTGAGCTGGCCAGGCCTCTAGCTCCAGCCGCCATGAGGTGGGGCCAATACGGAGAGAGGCTCCAAGCACCCACGATCGGGCCCCAGTCCGGATTCCCACGATTAGAAGGGGGGAAACGAAGCCTTCTGGGGGAGCTTGTCCTGGCTTATTGCTCCACAGGGGCCCTACTGTCCTGCCTGGGGGTTGGGCACCAGGGAGTGTTTTGTGAGGGTCTCCCAAGCCTCTCACTGTAAAATCACCTGTAAAATGGATCTTAGGGAGAGGCAGTATAGGGCAGTGGTGGGAATCCGACCTCCAGGCCTGGGGTTTGAATCCTGACACTGGCACATCTGAGCTGTGTGGCTCTGGGCAACTCACTTGACCTCTCTGAGCTTTAGTTCCTCACTGTAACATGGAGAGAGTTAAAATACCTGTGACAGGGGGTCGTTGTAAGGATTCAATTGTGCTCAACATTATTAAATACTCAATAAATATTGGTTCATACTAACCTAAAAAATAAAAACTATGAAAATATCAATGAAAGGGAGAAAAGTTGCCACCTGTATAGATGTTTGGTGGAGGAAGAACAGATGTACCTGGGGAGGCAGGGGAGACCTCTGGGCTTGACCAGGCTTCTACCAAGCTCTGCCTCTTGGAAGAAGACAGTCCCTGCTCTTAAGGCTGCCCAGGCAAAAGGGAAGAAACTGGGTCAAGTTAAAAGATAAAATAACTTACATAACCATTCAGAAGAGAGTCATCTAATTACAGACACAAATGGCCTATTACTACATCAGAGGTCAAAAGAGCCAAAGATCCTAACTTCCCAGGGTTAAGATAAGAATAAAGGACTATTATTTTAATCACCATCGGTGTGATGATGAAGACTGTGAGCATTAAATGAAGATAACAGAAGTGACATGACTTCAAAATCTGAAATGACTTTCTGAAGGTTTGCAGGGAGGGACAGGGAAGAAAGCCACCCTGCTCAGTGTGATGTGCCAGAGGTCGGCAAACGTTTTCTGTAAAGGGCCAAATAGTAAATACTTTGGGGATATGTAGGCCATTCCGGGTCTCTGATCTCAGCCCTTCAAGGCAGCTGACGTAGTGCAAAAGCATCCATCGATGATACTTCAGGGTGGCTGCATTCCAGTAAGACTTTCCTTACAAAAAAAGCAGGTGGCTGTGGACCTCGCCAGGCGGCTGCAGTTTGCCAGTTTTGGGTTAGAGCTGAAGATGAGGGGTGGCTCCGATGACAGTTCTGAGCAACCTGACCCAGAGAGCACTGTGGAAGGTTCCTGGGTGGGGTTGGTGGGTCCAGCCAGCCTCAGCTCCCCAGGCGGACCATGGTGCTGTCCTTTTGTGAGTAAGCTGCTTCCATGATCGAGTAGCTCACTTAAAGCCAGCAGCAATACATGCTCAGGCCTCAAAGGGGAGATAGGGCGGAGATGGCTGTGCTTTTTGGGAGCAGAAACGGTGCCAGCAAACATCTGTTTCTCCTGCAGTGACCGCAGCACCTGGCTGTGCACAGTGGCCGTGGAAGGCCCACCGCTTGTCTGAATCATGGGCCACATCCACGAGGTCGCTCTGGACCCTTGGCTGACCCTTCCATTGCTGGTGGGGTCTGTGGTCCACTGACTCTGGGGGATCGAGGGGGGAGCCAAGTCATCAGAGAGAGAATCGGGACATCCTGAGCTGGGACAGAGGCCACACTCCTGGCCCAGCCATAGGCATTGAGAACCCCAGGCAGATATCCAGCTTCTGCCATGGCCATTAGCAAGCCTGGGGCCAGGAGTTCAGGTGGGCAAGCCACCATGGCACCCTGAAGCTGGGGTCAGGTCGGGGAGGGGCACGGTTTTCTCCATCTCAAGAAGAGAAGTCACACGGTCACTCCAAGCTCAGACTGCCACCATCACTCCCTCCCCCCCCCTCAAACTGCTGCTGCTGCTCTGATCGTCCTCCCTGAGAGGCAGAAGACATAGCTGTTCCCCACTCCACCCTGACGCCACTCCTCTGGGGGCCTCAGACTAAACGCTATGATGCCTGAGCCAGACTTGACCAGAGAGGAGGCCTGCGGGAGAGCAGACGTGTGTGTGTGCACGCGTGTGTGGGCAGGAAGGGAGGGGGAGAAACCCCATATTACGCCAGTCGTCCCCTGGCCTCACTCCACATCCGAATTCCCTGGGGTGTGGGGTGGGTGCCCAGGACAGAACTAGGAGGGACCTAGAAAAGGGCGCTGCAATCAGCACCCCTTGTCCCTCTCAGCAGGGACATTCCACAAGGAGGGAAGACTGTAGACTCCCCAGGGCCTGGAGTTTGTCCACAGGTCTGGAGGCCACCCTGGACTGTGTTATTCTTGGGTGGTGGTATTTTCTGTAATTCCAGCACCAGGTTTCTCTCCAATGCCAAGAGCCTCTCCTGGCCCCGAGCGGTCCCCAGTCACAGACAACACAGGGAATCTGCTCTAGGGAAGGCCACTGGCCCTGCCTTCCTCGCTTGCAGTCCCTGCAACTCATACCCCAGAGCTGTGGGGGCCTTTGTACCCATGCCACAGGAGATTGGCAAAGGAGGAGTAAAAGCCAGCGCCAGAATCCCAGGGGCTGCTGGGACTCATGTGACCTGACTCCTTTATAACTACAGCTCGGTCCCAGACCCCGGGCCTCTCAGCCCACCACGTTTGGAAAGCACAGATTTTCAGAGCAAGTCAGCACCACCCAGCCCTCGGCGCTTGTAAGACTACCTGGTGAATGACTGCCCCTCCAACCAGGTGCTGCAGGAGGGGCCGGTGGTGACACTTCCGTTACACAAAAACAAAGGCCTTGGGTCAGAATCAGATGCTGAATTCAGGAGAAGGACATTCCTGCCCGGGCTCAGAGCAGCCATCTCTCCTCTCCCACCACCCAGCAAGCGTACCTGGGACACACCTGAAACCACAGCGTCTCCTACCTGGTTATAGCCAGCACAGTTGGGTGGGAGTAGAGGGACACGCGTCTTCCCCAAATATTGGGGCAAAAAGTGAGGGAAGCCTGTAGCTGGAAGGAACACAACCTGAGCCTTTACTCTGCTGAAAAGACCAGCGTAAGTCTGGGAGGCTGCACGGTGGCCTGGAAGTCAAGGACCTGCATTCAGTTCCTGGCCCCGTCACCTCCTGGGAGAGGGACCTTGGCTAACTGTTTTAACTCATGGCACCTCTGTTTTTTCACATGAAAAACGAGAAATCGGGCAGGCACCCCTAGATGGGCGGTGAGGGGGACCATACTTGTGTGCACAAGGGCAGGAGCAGCTCAGGGTGTGACAGTTAGTCACTGGCGCTCACCTGGCCTGAGATGGAGTCTCTGCCAGTTGTCACCCAGCTCAAGGGGCCTCATGCAGTGGGATGGTGTCCCAGACACTTCAGAACTGCCCGACCCATGTGGCCACAGGACAGCAGCTTGAGGAACTCTGCCGCCCCTCAGGAAGGCATGAATGATGGGGGCAGGCCTGGGGTTGGGACCCCTCAGCAGGAACCAGTGATGGATGGCTTGGTGGGAGCTCAGTGTCCATGGAGTCACACACCTTCCTGCTGCTGCGGACCCCAGAACCGCTGCTCCATGAAAATCCTTCCCCGCCCGCACCTCAAACCTCTCCAGGAAGCCTCCCCAACCAGATCCAATAGACGAAAGCGCTTGGGTTCAAGTCCTGGCTCTGCCACTGCAAGGCTGTGCAACATTCAGACATTATAAGCCTGGTTCTGGTTTCCTCACCCATAAAATATAAACACTACTACTTACTTCACTGAGTGCTAACGTAGATGCCCCGCACAGCCTTAGCCCACGGAGGAAGACCATCTTACCAAAGAGATGTCCACATTCCTTTCATTTAAACACCAGGAAACAAAAGCCAGACACCTTCAATAACCAGCTCAGGGCCAAAGAGCTAATGCCTGGCAGAGCTGGGATCGGAACCCAGACCTACGATGCCATAATTCCACCCATCCTGCCATCCTTCCATCCATCCTTCTTTCCCTCCCTCCCTCCCTTCCTCCTTCCGTGTGTGGGTCACTGTGTGTAGATACAGGGCATGACACACTAAATGAGCGAGACAGTCCCTGTCCTAGGGAGTTCATATCTGGCCTGGGAGGCAAATAATACACAAGGCCATTTCAATGGTGGCAAGTGCCATGGAGGGGATAACTGGACAGTGGCGCAGACAGTAACTGGGGTAGGGATGGAGGTAGGATGCCTCATGTAGGCAGGTCAGAGCAAGTCTGTCTAACAACGTCAAAGAGATGAGGAGGCAGCAGCCACTGAAGAACCAGGGCTCAGGAAGTGCAAAGGCCCTGGGGCAGGACGGACCATATGGCACAATCCAGGAACAGCAGGGAGGCCAGCGAAGAGCCAGGAGTCTGGAGATGCAGCTGGGCCACACTGGTAGGTAGGCCCTGGGGCCGTGTTAAGAAACATGGATATTTTTTCCTAAGTTCAGCGGGAGCTATTGGAGGATTTCAAATGGGAAGAGCAGTGTGATATGATTCATAATTCTAAAAGTTCACAGTAGCCTGCCTGGGTGGGTGACCACAGTTGCCCACGGCCCCGCTCATGTGGCATTGGGTAAAAAACCTGGCATAGCCTTGCACACAAGATGGCACTTGCTAAAAATGATCTCCCTCATCTCCTATTCCCCTTACCCTTAGCGTCCCGGGTACCACGGCCCTGAGCAAATGATGTCACCTAGACAGGCCTGCTTTTGCTCTGTCGCTCACAGTGACTTGCTCCATGCTCGACACCCAGTAGGCACTCAGAAAATGCCAGATGTTTGGTGGACTGATGCCTGGGAAAACAGCTGGAGGTTCATGAGGCCCAAGTCAGAGAAATCAGGGGTCTTGGACCCACACTTACGATCTTGGGGGGTGGGAGATCCGGAAGGCTCTTCTGAGGGGCTGAGGAGTGCTGGCTGGGCTCCCCGTTGGTCAGTGGGCTCTGCTCCTCGGGCGCTGTGGGCAGCAAGCAGGAGAAGGCTTGGTGAGGGGTGCCCAGCCTCACAGCAGGGTCTCATTACCCAGGAATGTCTGGTCACATGTGCCCTGAGTTCTATTTGAGCAGGTGTTAATTACCCAGGCAGGCGGTCCCCTGGGGCCAGTGTTGTTTTTCCTCCAAGAATAGGGTGCAATGGCGGTGCCTCTGCCACAGATTCCTCAGAAGGAACTGGTTTGAGTTTCTGGCAGGTTCCCCGCCCTCTCCTCCACTCGCCCCATGTCAAAAATGGCCTGGCCACAGGGTTTTGGCGAGCAGAGGACCTGCCCTGCGGTTGCTATACTGAGCCACTCTGAGCGCCGACCCTGTGATTACTGCTCTTTCCATCCCACAATCTTTACCCGGAAGGCCAACGACTCTGGGCACAGCGGCCACTTCCATATGGATGGGTCTTGCCGAGCCTCAGGCCTGGCGGTGTGGCAGGAGGCAGGAAAGTCACTCTGGAAGGCTTGGCCAGCAACCCTCTGTGAGCTTTTAAGAAGAGGCACCAAAGGCTCTTCTGTGTCTGATCATTTCAGCCACTGGCCTTGCCAGCTCCAGGACAGACAGACTCAGGCAGACCTGACCTTGGGGCTTTGGTGGCTGATATCTTGAAGTCAAGCTTTTAACAGAACTGAGGGCCTTGGGGTGCTGTGTCCTGCACCTCTCTCTAAGCCTGTGCATTTGAGAAACAGGCTTGGGAGTTGGGTGATGGGCTTCTAACCCCCCCCTCCTCCGAGACCAGGCAGCTCTGTAAATCTCTGGGCCTCCCTGGAGTCCTGCCAGACCCACCCCTAAGGATTTTCAGAGAAAAGTATAGGGTAAAACAGAGCAGAAGAGTAAGACAGCACGGAAGATACACTATGTCCTTCCAGTGGAAGATAAAATGTTCTGCCAAAGAGAGCACCTTTGCACAGAACCTTTAAATACCGAAGCGGTTGCAGCCATTATCATTCCCTCCTCCCATCGCCCCCCTACACACACATAAAATCCAGACTTCTATCAAAAGACAACGCTGAAACCGTGGGATCAGCACCATCCACAGCTGCTTTCTTGAAACATCTGAATTACGACTTCCTATTCTTGGGACGATGCTGGGAAAAACTGAGAGATTTTAGGAACAGATTCCTTATTCATGAAGAGGACGTGAGACCTTTAAGAGGCAAGGAGGTGTCCCGAAGAAACATCCCAAAATACGTCAACCCAAAATACCATCAACCAAAATATGACTTCCAAAACTATCTCCACCCGGCCTGTCTGTGGTACCAGCTGCGAGGAAGGAGGGGTGTGACAGGACCAACGCTTAGATCTGCTCCCGACCCGGGAGCTGGCCACGCCATGAACAGCCCCAGTCTCGTACCTTTGTCTTGGGACTCAGCATTGTGTTGCTTGGTGACCATCACTTTGTTCATATAAATGTACTCCTCATCGGAATCTGCAGAGGGAGGATGGAAGACACAGCTTTGCGTGAGTCCATGAAGGGTAAAGGCTTCAGAGAGAAACGGTGTCCCCTAGAGACATGGTCATCTGCTTGGGTTCCAGCACAAGCACACAACATTTTGAGTTGATTCCATTAGAGAGAGAGTTGACAGATATCCCCCGCCCTTCCCTCCCCCCCCAAAAAAAAAAGCCAAGTGGCTGACTGTTAGTCTACTGTTAGGATAACAGAAGTCTTACTTGCAAAGGCACCCATACCTCAAGCGTCTGCCTCATCTTCCACCAAGCAGAGACTTCTCTGGGTTTCCTGGCATCTCATTTAAATTCTAAAACATTTCCTATCAGCCATTCCCACCCTAATCTGAATTACATGCATGGGCTAATCACAGCAAAGGATCTGGGAGTTTAGCTCCCAGGCCTCCAGGTGGAGTGCCGCTGTGGGGGCCTGAGACATCCAAATCATGAGCTCTGGGTTTTGAGGAGTGAGTGTGCTGGGAACTGGAACTGGAACTCTGCCAGCCACCTGCAGCAGCACAGCCCTCCCTTCCCTTTAGAATAATGTCTGAGCAGGCTGTCACTTTCCCAGTGTCGTTCTGGGCCAAGAAAGGCTCTTCTCCTAAACACTTACTCAATCAAGTTTCTAATGCCCCAAGGACCCTTTTTTCAGAAGCCTGCAGAGGAAGCTCATCCAAGTGTTTCTCCTCTTAGAAAACCTCTTGCATTGCTTCTGTGGCCCTTAATTTGCATTTCCTAGAAACTTGTGGCTGATAAATTCCAGTGGTTAGAGACCACATCACCGAGCCAAGGGATCGAATTCAAACCCCTGGCGAAGGAGGCAGCTCAGCGCCAGTCAGTTCCTTGCCACAGACCGCACAGACACCAGCCAACAGGCCTGCAAAAGCAGAGTCCCAAGGACTCAGAGGAGCAGGACGAAGATACACCTGGATCTGTCCCCCGCCATCGGCCCATGGGATTGCCACCTCTGTGCCCAGCCCTGCCAGGGCCAGTCAGCAATGTCACCCCCATACCCAGGGTTAATAGCAGTTCATGGGAAGGAGCTATGAGGTCCAAACACAGGAAGCCACAACTTGCACATTTCCACCGATGGAACCCCCGAGGGCTGGGTCACTACCTTCTCTAGAGCATGGCAGGGGAGGAAAGTGCTCTGCAGGGAAGATAGGAGATGCAGGTCTGGCCAGGCTCTGCCATTAGCAGTGTGATTCTGGGCAAAACACCTACCCTGCGTGGCCTTGGTTTTGTGGCCCGAATAGTATGAAAAATAATCATGATGAAATAGTGCCTGTTTCTACCGAACTCTTAAGTTTTCATGAGTACAAAGCCTCAAATATTAGGAAATTAGCAAAAAGGAAGGTAACCTTATAACTAACAAAGATGAAGAATGACAGCCTAAAACATGGGAAATAATGCAATGTCTTAATAACAGGAAAATGGTGAAATAAACCATGTCAACACATGTTAACAGCGTGTCACCTTTAACAGTAAATAGATTACTGAAGAGTGTGTAAATTGACACAACGTTTTGGAAGTGATGTTGTAGGATAATATAACTTGCAAGGGTTCATATTCTTTGACCCAGCATTTCCAATGCCAGAAATTTCTCCTGAAGATAAACTCTGGCATGTAAACAAAACTTTATGTGAGGATGTTCACTGCAACATTGCATGAGGTTTCCTTTTTCTAAAAAAAAGAACAAAACTTAAATGCCCGCTAATAGGGAACTAGCTGACCAATACTGTTCATCCATCAGAGGACACTCCCCAACAGAGAAAAATAAAGTAGCTCTATGCCTGCTGTTTACAGAGAGATCCAAGACTTCCAGTTATATCAAGGATCACATTTCCGACTAACAGAAACAGAAAAAGTATGTGTGCTGTCAACACATAAAAATGTGCACATGCAGCAATTATAAATGTAAAAAAAATGTAAAGTGGAATACAGAGGCAAGCCACTGCTGCACAAAAACATTCAGATGACCCTGATCAAGATCAAAAAAGGAATCTAAGGAACGTAAATAGTGTCTAATGTTCATTTTATGTTTATCCTTTTTTTTCATACTGTTCACTAAGCCCACACTCTCATACAAAAAGTAAAAAGCAAGATATTGTTATTGTTTGAACTGTTGGATTCTGAGCCGGTGCTTCCTCCCCAGAATGGCAATTGGTAAGTTACAGAGAACACTCGCCCTGGCCCCCTCAAGGGCTGCGTCTCCGGCCTTGGGCCCTCTGCAGGCCCTAATTAGGTCTTTATCCTCAGGGCGTTGCTAATCTAGTACCATCCAGGATGGTCAGTAAGAGGCTCTCAGGACCTTATCTGTAATCATGGGAAAAGCCCAGTGAACTTGGCCCTCAAAAAGGGGGGCTGCTGAGCTGGCCATGGCTGGGAGGCAGCAGCCTGAGGATGGAGAACTCTCTCGCATTCATTTTCTGATGTTCACGGAGCACCAGTGCTGTACTATGTACTGGGGAGATAGCAGAGAACAAAATAGACATGGTCTCTGCCTTCATAAAATCAACTGTCTGAGGGGTGTGTTGGGGGGCCCGGGGGGTAGACTGAATGGGAAAGTTACAAAGGTATGTGGGACATAACAGCCACAGGTGTGGTTGGAAAGGGACACTCATCATGCCCTGAGCATGTGTGTGATACCTGGGGGAACGGACATGTCTGCAGAGGGTGGTCCTGTCCAGAGAACTGGGTGAAGGTGGGGAGGAGGGACATGGACCCGCTCGGCTACAATTGGATAGAACACTGGAAGCTCTTCCTATCAGAGGGGCAGCCCCTGAAACTTTCCTAGAATCCCTGAGCAGGACATTGGGGGGCTCAAGGCAGGAGCAAACAGCAGGTCCCCAATGAAAAGACCTCAGTCTATGCCTTGACCTCACCATCCAGACAAAAAGCAAAGATTTGTGTTACAGTAATAAAACAAAAGATGAGAAAGTCCAAATGGAAAATTCCATTTGAAAAGTGTAGATGTTGGGAGCCGTCTCAGAGTACTGAGACTCCGGGTTGACTGCAGGTGGAGAATGGCAGGGGGCTAAAGACCCCCAAGTCCTGTGTGCTGAGAAAAAGACTGCAAAACTGCTTGTTAGCTGAACAGCAAAAAGGGACCTGCTAAAATCAGTAACCCAACAACGCCCAGCTCATCTCCTGTGCCCTGGAAAAGCAGAAGCGCCTAAGCCACAACCACCAGACCCTCAGATGTCACTGTCTACGGACTTATGAACTCTTGGGACTTTTCCATCATGGACTTGCTGACTGTTGCTATTTGCCTTAAGTTTCACTTAACTTAAAATATAATATTAGTCTATGCTATGTGATCATGTAACTTGTTGCCAAGACATTATCTCACCTCCAAACCCCTAAGTCAGGAACATTGGTTCTTCCTTCCCCAAACACCCCCTACAGAACCCCTATGCTTAGATAAGATTTATTCCTGGTAAAAGAGGGACTTGCTTCCTATATAAGCACTATGCATTTTAATAAAATTTGTCCTGTCTGCCATCCGCAGTCAGTGACCCTCCTAATCCCAACTTTAGTGTCTATGCCATTCTTTCATTTCTCATTTCCTCGCGCCGATCAATCCTGCTCAGGGACCGTTCGGTGGGTTCCTGGCCTGATCATCCAGGGGCCAGAGCTGTCGAGCCAGCTCTCGGCATGTAAACACACACACACTCACACTCTGCCCCAAATGTGTGAGAAAAACAACAGCTCGGCCAGCACAGACCACAGGCTATCTCAAAGTGATCAGCCTGCCTCTACCTGTGAGTTCTGCTGGGCTGGGCTAATTTTCTGGAAGATACACAGTGAGGCAGTCCTGGGAGGCTACGAGAGGAAGACAAATGCTTTCATTTCAGGGGGCTTTGAATTCTGTCCTATGTGGCACAACAATTAATCTGATACAGATTAGCCTGAAAGGTCGGGAGGTGAGGAGAGCATAATGATTAGGTACACCTGCCTAGACCTAAGCCCTGGTTCTGTCACTCACAGCCAGGTGCCTCGAGCAAGTGACTTTTCAAGTCTCGGTTCCCTTGTGGGTAAAAGGGGACAATAACAGCTCCCTCACTGACTTGGGACAAGAATTTGATGACATAATCCTGTCATTTCATATATTAAGCACAGTGCTGAGACATGGTAAATGCACGAAAATGTTAGCGGCTGTTGTAACCACTCTGCCATCTAAGAGGGTCCAAAGAGGACTAGAAGGGAAGTTCTCAATGGTGGCTATTAATAAGTGGACGTCAACCGTAAGAATATAAGTGGCAGCCACAGGCCTCGGTACGGATGTGCACATTTATTATTAGCAGTCTGGGTGGCATTCTGGGGGGATGCACACTGAAGAGCCCCCCGACTGGTTCTCAGCATCCTCCTGCAGCCCTGCAAGCTGCAGAGACCAAGGGCGGGAAGACCTGACTTTATAAGAGCAGAACATACAAAGATCTGGGGTGAAACAAACGTCATCCCAGGCAAGCGACATAGCACTTTAAACCAAAAGGGGGACCCCATACAGGGAGCGCTGACAGAATGGTTGGAACTGAGAACCATGGTTCAGACCCCGTTCCAGAGGTATTTTCAAAATCCCAACAGAGGTCCCTTACCACTGAATATTCTCGAGTCAGAGCACATCTCAAAGTGCTGGGGAATGTAAAGGACCCCACCGATGAATCCTTTCATGGATGATTCATCCCCCTCTAACTTACCTGCTTTGTAATGTGGATTTCCCATCTGCCATTCCCACCTTTGATGTGCTGCTGACCTGCTCTCGCTGCCAGGCCGGCAGACGCTCACTACAAAGCCAGGAGGAGCCTGGGAACCAGGGGGAGGCCTGGGAAGCGGACAGGCAAACAAGGACAGGCAACCAAAGGGCTCAAGGAAAACACCTCCGATGAAAGGCTGCGGGCGCCTGGATTATTTCACCAGAAGAGAAGGCTCCTGGGCATACTGCAACATGCTTCAGCTTTACAACTTATCTGTTATGCAGAGACTAGAAGCTAGTTCCACTGGGAACAAAGACAAGGAAAAGGAACCTTGGAACGTAGCCTGGTGGATTTAGGTTGGCTCTAAGGGGGAATTTCCTGACTGTGACGTTCAGAGCAGGTGCACGTCCCTTCCCTGGCATGGATTTAGGCTGCTCCTGCCGGGAGGCAGATGGATTAAGATGCCCCCTTATGGTCGCTTACTGTCCCCAATCGTCACCTCCAATTCTCAAACATCCGATATAAAAATACACTCAACTAAACTGTTATGACTTCACAAGAAAGCTTTTCTTTCTTTAAAAAAATATCTGAATGCTAGAAAGGACACTATATAGCCACAAGGAGACTTGTCCAAGAGTGTTCAGAGCAGCCTTATTCATGATAGCCCCAATGTGTGGACAACCCAAACACCCATCAAGTCAGATCTGGTAGATTCACAGAATGGAATACTACTCAGCAATACAAGGCACAAACTCCTGACATACCGGATAGCATGGGTGAATCTCCTGAGCAGAAGATATGCATGGACATATCTCCAGGCATAAAGTACATCCTGTACGATTCTGCTGAAGCTCGAGGAAAGGCAATGCTAATCTATGGTGGGAGAAACGCAAGCAATGGTTGCCGAGGTGTGGGGGTGGGAAGGCCCCCGGGCCACACTTACTGCTGCTTTTGGTGTAAAGCCGGAGGAGCTCGGCCAGACCACTCTTCTTCACCACGGCTGTGCTGCTCAGGTTCTCCTGGTCGAGAATCTTGAGGAAGTCTTCCAGCTCTGTCAGCAGCTGCTCCAGGGCTAGAGACAAAACAAGAGACGTTTGCAGTGGCTGCCTTCTTTTCAAAGGCTCAGCTGACATACACCTCCGGATCCTGCAGCATCCAACCGTGAGGGGTTTGGGTGAGGCCTGGCCACACGTGGGAAGCCCAGCCAGAAAGTGGGATTCCCAGTGGCCGGGTCTCGGGGAGACGGAAACGAGCCCTAGGCTTTGAGGTGAACAACCTTGGCCAAAGACACAGGTCTATCTATCATTTGCTGGGGTGACAGTGGTCAAGGTGGCCCACGCAAATCCATAAGGCCATGAGAGTCTAGAAACAGGATTTTCTTCCTTGTAAGAAGTCAATCAAAACAGCTCAGGGTCTGGGGAATTTGAACAGATCAGCCATCAAAAGAAGTGCTATGGTTGACCAGTTACTCATCCTTTCCCAAAGGGTGGGGCAACACAGAATCGCTCTAAGATCAAACAGTGATCATTCTGTCCTCGCAGAAATATGGACGACCGACCCATCAAAAGCCACGCTTGGCCAAACAAAACCTTGCCCTGAGTTTCTTCAGTGACTGAGCCACCTCAATTGCCACCGAGTCCAGCATCACTCCCAAGCTGGTTGAGGTCCCTGGTCTCACAGATACAAATATCAAATACGGCTCTCGAGGGCCACCACCATACAAGAACTTGTCAATTCCTAGCTGAAGCCACCATGCAGAAACGCTAGTGCAGAGGGCAACAGTCTGGGAGCAGAGCATTCACCATTATTGTTGCCGTCGTTATTCGTGACCTAAATCTCTACGGAGAACAGGACACTGCATTTGCTGACAGGTTCATCATCTTGGCTGTCCCTGACCGGATGACTGTCCAGAGCATGCTCATGAACGGCAGCCAGCTCCTTGAGGCTCTGGACAATGTTTTTTAATCATTGGAATCACCTGGAGAGCTTTTAAAAATCCTGATGCCCAAGCTGCATGCCAGACTGGTGACCAGAATCTCTGGGACGGGAACCCAGGTGTCAATAGTTCTTAAACATCCGCAGGTGACCGCACCGTGCAGCCAACACTGAGAACCACAGGTTCAAAGCCAGTGCCAGGGGCCCAGAGAAGGTCCCTGCTCCCAAAGACAGCAGCAGAGAAGTCCAGACTTGTCCTGCATCCACCTGGGGAGGGAACTCTGAGCAGTCTCGCAATCTCTCCAAGCTCCGTTTCCTTATCGGTCAAGTGGAAATGACCACGTGGACCCTGCCCATCTCGCAGGTGGTAGTCAGTGACAAGATCTGCGGAGAGTTTCTCAACTGTGCTTGTGAAATGCTACACTGACAACAGAAACAGTGTTGGCATCATCTTCTCATGCTGATTTTTCTTCTCACTGCATGGCATCATTCGTTATTTCTTATTTTTCCAACAGTAGCAGTCATCGCTAAGCTCTCCTTTAGAAAACAACACGGAATCTTGCGACGTGTCATTCCCCACGGTTCCATGTAAGGGAGAGGAAAGAAAGGAAGACGGCCTCCTCAAAGAAGCCTTCCCTGACCACCCTCTCCAAAGTAGATATTTCTTGTTATTTTTAAACTTAGCATCTAACTCCTGCCTTCATAGCCCTAATCACAACTTATTAACAATATGAACACAAAATAGTTTGAAAAGTTTAAAATGAGCAAAATCAACAATGAATAAAATGTTGTACTTGTTTTGCTCCTTTTTAACTTGACTGGACCCTCAGCCTAAACTTACTGGGAAATTCAAAAGCAGGGTCGGTACAGCGTGATTCCTGCCTTTTGCAAGCTCGCTGGCAAGACAAGACCAGTACAAGTGAAGCAATTTATAGACCAAGGCACACCACCAAAAATTCAAGAGTCAAGTGGGTGATACCAGCTTCCAGTGTGACAGGAGATCAGATAAGAACACAGTCCTAGGCCTGGAAGGCTTCTGGGAAGAGGCGGTGGTAGGGGAAGGCGTTAGGTGGCTTTTTTTTTTTTTTGCTTGGTTTGATTTGGTGTTTGTTACACAGCAATTTATGAGTTTCCTGTTGGCTGCAGGAACTCAACAAGCTAAAAGGCAATGAACTTAAAGAAGTCAAACCAGGGAAAACAAAGGATAAATTTGAAGAACATGACACTGAGCCATAAAACTCAACTAAACTGGAGAAGGAAAAGTGAAAGGGCCTGGAAAGGCAATTAGGGTCTCCGCTGTACTCCTGACCTCCCGGCCTTCTCAAGGCTGTTCTACTGCCGCTGCTTCTGGAAAGAAAAAAAAAAAAAAGCACGAAAACTGGAAGTGTCTCTTCATTTCCACATCCTCAGCTATTCCCAAAAGCTGCCTGATTCCTGGAAAACAGCCTTTGTTTATCTTCACATCAGCAATGTGTACTAAGCCAAGGGTAAAGAGTGTCTTGCCTGGCTCTGGAGGGACAGAGGTGACCCAGATGGGGTCCCCAACCCTTCCAGGGGGCCCCATGTCTGGAGATAGGGGCCCAGGAGAATATGCAGAGTGGGAAAAGAAGTAATTCAGGGATGTCTCCAAGGATCAGCAATGCACCAAGGAAACGGACAAACTTTGGTGTTATCAGGGAGAGGAATTTATAAGCTGGGCCTTGAGAAATGAATAGGAGCTCACCGGGAGGAGGCAGAGGCACTTCAGGAAAAGCGAATGAGATGCTCAGAAGACTCAAAAGCTGAAAGCACACAGGGTGTTTGAGAAGCCACAAGTAGCTCCAGGTCTCAGCGACATGAGGAGCATGGGGCAGGGTGGGGTGGGCCTCAAAGGGGAGAAGGTGGGCTCTGAGGCCCGAATCGTGGGATTGGGTCCTGTGGGCAGATCATAAGAGCTTTATTTGCTTTGCAAAAGAGGTAGTACCTTATCCTGCAGGGCCTCTAGGCAATGCAATGAGGAAGGCCGTGTGACACTGTTCTTCAAACAGGCTCGAAATAGAGTAACTCTGCAAACTGCAAACAACAGGGAGGACCATGGAAGGGGACCAGGGACAAGGAGGTGGGGGGGGGGTGGGGAGGCCAGTCAGGTGACCGCATTAGTGCTGCTGAAAATGGTGAAGGGATGACCTAATCTCCGCAGCCAAGGACCACGTAGGCTGCTCTACACCCACCACTTACAATTCTCCCAAACACCGTGCAGGTGCGCAGCGTGGAAATGGGCTTCCTGAGGCTGAATTACCACCTCGCTTGGTCACATCCACAGTTAGCAGTGGTACTGGGGCTTAAATCCAAGTATGTCCAAGTCCAAGGTACTTGCTGTCTGCTGTAACCATTCCCAAGAAGCCAGAGAGGTTTGTGAGGATCATCGCGTCTGCCTCCCTCCCACCACCACCCCTGCCCCATTCCACCACAGTACACAGGCAGGGGAGGCGGAGAGGAGGGGCTGGACTCGAGGTCTGTGACAGGGAGAGCCACTAGGACCTGATGACAATTCCATCAGGTGTAGAGACGGTAGGAGACGATGCCCCTGGGTGACCGAGACATTACCATCAGACACAGCCCGGGGCACTGCCATCAGGGACCTGATGGGCCAGGCTGATGGGTGGGGGAGCTCGGAGAAGGCAGAGAGTCTCTCCATTCCCTCTGAAGAGGCTGTGCTAGGTGAACAGGAAGCACCGGGCTGCAGAAACGCAGGACTGGGAACCGGAGGTCACAAAGCCGGGATGTCCTTTCCCCTTGCTGTCTGGATCTGCATCACCTGAATTTCAGGGTGCCTCCAGGTCCCTTCGCCACAACGACACCCACGACCAGGGACACCCTGCTCTCCTGCCATCTTCTGCCTCCATAGGTTTCTCACTGTCAGGCATTTGTTCACAATCGTCTCACTGTGTGCCGAGTCTGTATCTCGGGCTAGGCAGGAACTCTTTCTGGTTAAGGGGTCGGCCTTGGCAGGTTTGGGCCTCTGACAAGGTACTAAGCACAGCAGGGGCCAGTGACTCTGCTGGGTCACACCCTCCCGGGGCCAGCTACAGGCTCTTGGAAATAACAATCAACAAAAGCAAGGCCCCAACTTGCGCCAACCCTGGTGACATTTCTCCACCCTCAGAGCTCAGAGGGGCGCGCAATCCCTCGGAGGAATGTGGCTGTTTCATTGAGGCTCCGGAACGCGCGCCCCTCAGTCCCCTTCCCCACCCCCACCCTCCACCCTTCTCATTTTGGTCTCTTCCTCACCCTCCAGTGGATGGAGGGAAAAATAAGTGTGTTGTTCACTCTGGGAACTGTAGGCCCTTGTGTGGGCTTTCCATCCTGCCTCTGTTCAAGTTCAGGGCTGTCTGCTCAGGGTCTGAGGGGCTGACAAATCATCAATAAGATTCTTGTTCAAGGCTTCCAAGGCCCACGCAGAGCTGGACGGTTCAACTGCTCGATTCACTGCCCTCGACCTCGAAGCTATGACCTCCTCCCCCGGCTTTCCTCATCTTGAGGCAGTCTCGCTTTTTGGTCACTAGGTTCCCAACCCTAAATGTCTTCCCAACATGCCGAAAAAGCCGCCCTTCATGGCTCCCCTGCTGTTTTATCCACACATTTTTATTTATTCAGCTGCATTTGCCGAAGACCCATGATTGAGCATGATTTTCCTTCCAAACACGAAACTAAACAGTTCTATTCTTTTGGTATAAAGACGCAACCCCTCCCAGCCCCAACGGTTCCCAAGATCGAGCCACGGGGCGTATTATCCGCATGACCTGACCTCTGGGGACCAACCAAAGTTATGACGCTGGTAACAGTTTCTGTGACAAGCAACAGAACGGGAGGTGGAAAACGCCACGTAGATTCTTCCTGATCATAGAGAATCCCCACGTTCTCAAGAATGAGCTTTTGAAAACCAGGCCCCTTCACTCCACCTAAGGAGGGAGAGACTTCTGGCGAAAGCCCCCGTTCTTTAAAAGTGCCACATGCCGGGCCAGCCTTTACCAAGTTCCGGCTGTGTGCTTGGCGTGTTGACAGGAAGTGGGGTCTTTTCTTTCTTTATTCTCTTTTATGGTGGCAAGACACACATCACATTTGCCATTTTACCCACTTTTACGCCTCAGTGGCATTAAGTACATTCACAGTCATGCAACCATCACCACCACTACCTCCTTCCAGAACTTTTTTATCACCTGAAACAGAAACTCATTAAGCAGTCAGTCCCTATTCCCTCCTCCCCCAGATGGTGACAAACCACAAATCAGCTTCCTGTCTCTATAAATTTGCCAGTTCTGGCTATGTCATGTAAATGGAATCACAGAACTTGTGGCCTTTTGTGTCTGACTTCCTTCACAATGCATAGTAATGTCCTCAAGGTTCGGCCATGTTGTAGCATGTATCTGCACTCCGCTCCTTCATATGGCTGAGTAATGTTCCATTGTATGGACGAGCCACATTCTGTTTATCCATTCATCATTAAAGAGGAAGTGGGTTTTTTAAACAACAACAACAAAAATTATTTTAATTGGGATATAATCTACATACAGTAACATCCTCTGTTTTTACTGTGCCGTTCTAGTGTTTTGACAAACATACTCAGCTGTGGTAACTATCACCACAGTCAAGCTATACAATAGAATATTTCCATCATCCAGAAAACAGTCCTGTGTGCTCTTTCACAGGCCACCCTGTCACCACTCTCTGGCCCTGGCAACCTGCATAGCCTGACTCCCTTCACTTAATATAAGGCCTTTGAGACTTATCACACTACCACATGTATGAGAAGTTTCCTTTTGAGTGCTATGTTGTCTTCCATCAATGGAGGTAGGAAGCCCATTTGTCTCCACAGATCCATGTACGTCCTCTGCCAGGTGATTCTACACCAACATGGCAGGTTCCTATGTCCTGACACCCGTGTGTCATGCTCTTGAGTCTGTCAAGGGCATGGCTGCCTTCGTACACTTAGTGGATGACCATTCAGGGGCATGGAAACAAAACGGGAAGCAGTGATTCTCAGCAGTGGCTGCTCCCTGAAATCACATGGGGAGTTTCTAAAAACACCCCTGACGCCTGGGGTCACCCCCCAGACACCCTGTTGTTATGGCTCTGGGTGTGGTCTGGGCCTCAGGGGTTTTTAAAGCTTCCAGATGATTCTAACGTGCAGTCAAGGTTATGAGCCACTGAGATAAATAAAGGTGTGATTACTGCTTCATGAAGTCCTTTTACTTTATAAAACTATTTATAAGATCCCTTAAAAAACAAATGCCCATAGTGCTTCTATATGACTCAATTCTTGTACATGTAGAACTTTGTATGTTCATGCCTCTTGTATATAGTCAGATACACTTGAAAATGTGTTTTTCGTCCTCCTAAAGTTCTTTCCTTTCTTGATAGCATGGGTGTGGATGGCAAGAAGCAAGATGTCTACGTGTCTCCACATCACTGAACTCAGTTCTTCGCCCTGCTTGAACAGGTGGAAGCTCTCATCACTGACAATCAGCACCCAAAAGACTCGGTGATCCTGCCTGTTTGGACCCCAGGAGACTGAGCCAGAAATGTGAGTAACTTTCTCCAGGAGAAATACTCCAGGAGTTTTGCTTTGCTCCATCTCCAAGAAATGGTGAGGGGGAGAGGGTTTTGCTTCATTTCCTGGCACTGTGAACGCACTGCTCCCAGCTGGGCCTGACCTTAATGTCAGCTTGTCATCCTCTTTGCAAGATCTGTTTTTTCTCACCTATCTTGGAGTCTCATCCCTTAAAACGTTCTCTGACCAGAAGCCACCCTCTGCATCCCCAGGTTAGCTGTGCGGGCTGAAGTGATGGGATGGAGGCTTTGTTGCTACCCTACTGGAAAAACAAGTTGAGATGCTCACTGGTGACCTATCTGCGGAAGAAACCTCCCCACGAGTAGAATCCCAACCGCCGCTACAGAGCCAGCTGAAAACAGAGCTGCTGAGACAGGGCCCTTCGGAAATTCACACAGTAACAGCTGAAGACTGTCAAACCGAGCACAGTGAGGCCTGCTCAGGGCCACCGCCACTCTGCCTCGGCCTGCCCAGAGCCCCATCTGTCCCTCCAGTCCAACAGCACATGAGCTGTGACTTGGTGATTCTCCCCTCTACTGTTTTCTCTTTGTCCTATGGATGCAAATCCTTGGTCCCCAATGAAACTGAAAGCTCTGTGTAGGCAGAGACCACATCTCTGGTTTGGTTTCCCCCACTGTGGAAACCATTCACTGTACATAAGCCTTACCGACAGACAGACAGACGCACACGCACACACAATGAAAACTCCTCTTGAGCTGTCTCCTACTAAATAAAAGGGTCTGGGCTGCTCTGACCAGTAGGCCTGGGCCAACAGCTCACCAATCTCTGGCTATAGTTCTGGTCCCCATGTGGGTCAGTTGCTGTCTCTGGAATGACCACCAGAGGCAGCCCTTGACACCTGATGGGGCTGGGAACACACGCGGCATCTCACACTTGGACGATGCTCTGGTGGGACTTTCTCAAGGGCACAGGTGGGAAAGGCTTGGAGGCAGCTCTTCCTCTCTGGACCAGGA